AGCATAGTTATTATTTTAATTGCCAAATAAAATTATCAAGGATCGTAAATTCACTTCATGTAACTTATTATTTGTTTGTAACTTTATTAGGTCATGAATTTAATGTAATATTATAACATCTATTAGTTATTATTAATAACTCATTTGGTTAATCATGAATTATCATAAGTAGTATTCTTTGTGAAGGTGGCAGACCTAGTACAAGCTTCGGCTTCTTGTCTGGCCTCACCATACTATTATTTCAAGTTCCGTTAAAATGTTTGCCTAATAAACAGTATTCAACTTGCCTGTATAAACCAGGAAATTAACCTGAAACCGGAAACCTGAAATCTGAAACCTAACTGTGGAGTGGTTTGGGGATAGAAGTTTTGTAAACTCCCATTGACTGTGTACATTTCAGGCGGAAGAACATGCACTTGGATAACATCGCACTTGGCAATGCAAGTTGAGAGCCGGATCTCAATGGCTACAGCTCTATAAATTCATAGACATGATTTATATATGGTAGTGATGAAACATAATAATAGGCGTATACGCCATCAACTTGCTGCACGTATACAGCGGATATTTCGTCCGTGTTCTGAATGGTTTATGTGTGTTTTTCGTCTTGAGATCACCCAGACTGGAAAGCTGAAATAATGTCGACAGGTAAGGACTAACTTCGTCCACGGTTCCTACAGACGCTTGATAACGGACATTAATACTCGTTGGCTTGCAATCGCGAATTTTCCAGGTGTGCCATTTTGTCGTGTTTTTGCATGACATCTAAAACGGAAATATTCATAAAACTGTATGCAAAACTACTCTTAATGTAGGACATAATTCTTCCAAAATTGTAAAGAAAAATAATACTTCAGTATATAACAGATGGTATTGTGCAGTTGTTTGTTGTCATAGATGAAGTATTTACCCGGAAAATAAACGTCAAATTTTGAGGAGAACACCGTTTAACCCAAATTTCGTTTTTAATTAGGCTTCATTAAGAAGTTTTAGACCGATGTGATCCCGAACCGATGAAACAAAAGCGACATTTAATTGTTCATTTTAAAGTTTAAGATATTGTGCTCGATATTAACAAGGTTATGTAGTTATCACTTATCAGAATTCAATAATAAAGACCAAAAACGTAGACTCATGAATATTCAAAAATATAACTAGCTGGCTTGACAGACTTCGACACCAGATCGGGCGCAGAGCCATGCAAATCCGAAAGCCACCGCGCGCAGGGGTCTTTGTTGACAAGTATTCATGGCATATTTGCCACACGAGCCGTTATCACGCGTCTTATCAGGAGTTTGGCCGAGTCGTTCATCCTTGCTTGTAGGATCCGTGCTTCGTCTGATCATGGAGGAATTATCAGACCTACGCATGCACGGGATCGACCAAAAGACAAAACTCAATTCATAGGCAGATTTTACCTGTTTTGGAGTGTCAAAGATGTGCGTTAAAATAATGATGTCGTGTTTTTACGTATGCATGAATTGCAGAACATGAAAGTACACTTAGGGTCCTACAGAGCACACGTCCATGACAACGAGGACAGCGACAAGACCGACAGTTAAAGTGACAAACTTAAAGATGTGTCAAAGACGTATTCAAATTGATGGTGTCAAATAGTAAACGTACATGAACTGCAGTGATCGCAGTACACTGATGATCTTAAGCCCCCACGTTTATTCTACGACAACAAGGGCAGCGACAAGATCTACAAAAAAAAAGCGACAAGAGTGACAACCGACAATGGCGACAACCGTTTCACAGCGCCAATAACTACACTTAAGGCAACGGTTGCGACTACGATTACGATTACTTGTGACAATAGTGACAATTCAGGGCAACAATCACGACAATTGAGGCGACAACATCGATAATATTAGCGACAATTAACAGCGATAATAGCGACAATTAATATCTACAGGAGAGAAACAATGGTGACAATTTTAGCATCGACAACAACCATAAATTGACCACACTCATCACAACCATAAACCATAAAGCACCGCAACTATATGACACAGGCCATTCAATTTAGTTTCCATTACGGACACCTCTCGCAAAATGTGGTCCGGCAGCTTTCTATACAAAAGCCTCGTTGGCTCGGGGTTTTGTACGTAAACCTTATCAGTCAGCCGATCACGCTCAATTGACTTCGGCCAAACCGCAGTCCCATCATAAGAAATAAGTTAACAATGTTATCCGGACCATTTTTTTCCGAGACTGTGTCTCTAATGTCTGGTCTGTCATAGATTGACAATTTATTTCAGGAACCCTTACTTGAGGATTCATTTTTTGTCTATAGGTTACACACGATTTGAAAATGAAGAGGCTGACTTCGGCACAGAAGAGTCTAACCAACCGTCTTGCCCTCCACCCGAGCAAGTCGATGCCCCACCCCCTCCAGCTACTGGACCTTATACCCAGTGTTGTCCCAATGAACTACCACCGAACAAAGGCACCCATCGTCCGCAGTCTGTCCCGTACATAGTACAGCCCTCATCTACTGGGTCGTCCAACTTGCCCCTTGCACCCCTCCCATCTGCTTTCAAGTCGGGCCAAACCCCGCCCTATCCCAGTGTTGGTCTACCAGCGGGGCAAGTTATTAATGCCCCGCCCTCGCCTTATTCCATCGAGACTCCTGGTGGCGTACCGGTCATTAGCTCTCAACCTCGGCCTGAAAGATACGTGAACATGAATGTAAGGATTTCTACAAAGTGTAGTCTTCGTGCAATTGTCAATATAATCTGAATCACAAGGACAGCGGGGAGTCGGTCAGTCGGGGAGTCAGTCAGTCAGTCAGTCAGTTGGTCATGGGTCATTCAAATACAAAGATTACTATTGGCCAGGCACGCGCCTCCGTACCCTAACCAGCAAATTGCGTACGAAATAGGATCTGGTACACGGTACCCCGTGGAGACATGTGCATAATAAGGAACAAAAGATTGTATACGTCTCCACAGGGCATTGCTATAGGTGAATATGTCTCCACAAGGTGTGTTAATCCGTCGCATATGGAAGTATTTTATGTAAGGGATATTAGTTTCGAATTTCAGCCCAGGAATTAAATTCTGGTTTAAATAGGAGCATTTTGAAATTACACTTTCAAACTGTAAAATGTTAACTCACGAGAACAAAGAAATGACTCCACAAGGATATCAATTCCAAGATGTGTATTTTTAATGATGTGTTCCTTGTTTGTCAAACAACAGGCGGTGCCCGTACGTGTGCATGTTCGCAGCCGCGGGCCGGTCGTCGTCAGCAATAACATGAAGTTTGCGATCTTGGCACTGAAGTTGTTCTTCCCGATTGGAATTGCAGCCGTGGTCATGTCTTGTCTGGTAGGTTTCACCGTATAATTCGAGTAATAGGGGCCTAGACAACTTCGTACTCATGACGTCGAGCAGTGCGCTGCCACTTCAGTTTAACAAGCAAATCCAAAATTTTCAAAATGGCTGCCATTGCTTGTCATTCCACCTGTATTTTTTTCTAAGGACAAATCTGCCATGGCCCTATAGCCAAAGTTCTTTTTTTGGCTACGTGCCAAATGCCATGCTTGTATCATCACAGGCACAATCCCATCACCTATCTGTCGTACTATTTATGTTCGTATATTTTTTTGATCTACCTTAGGTTACACGGCGCATGGAAGCTGGAGACATCGAAGGTGCACAGTGTGCCTCGAAAAGTGTTCAGATTCTCAGTGGCATCAGTGTTTTGTGTTTCATATTAATGATCGTTATCGCGGTGCTCATAGCTACAGCCCACTAATCCGAAAAATCGATAATCCGAAGGTTCTTTAGTCCAAAGGTTCGTTAGTCCGAAGGTTCGTTAGCCCGAAGGTTCAATAGTCCGAAGGTTTGATAGTCCGAAGGTTCGATAGTCCGAATGTCCCATTAGTCCGAAAATAGAATAAGATTAATTAATCCGAAGTCTCGATAGTCCGAATAGACGATAGTGTGGGATAGTCCGAATCGACAATAAGGTTCAATATTCCCAACAGATGATAAGGTTCGCTGGTCCGAATTGGCAATACGGTTCGTCAGTCTGACACTTCGGACTATCGGACCTTATTGTTGATTTGGACTATCGGACCTTATTGTTGATTGGGACTATCGGACCTTATTGTCGATTCGGACTTTCGGACCTTATGGTCTTTCCCGACTATCGTTTGGGGGTTGTTTGCTGTAGTATACATTGTCTCAAAACAAATATCATTGTTTTGGACATACTTATACAAATTGATTTAGTTGTTTTATGTACGAATTAATTAAATTTTCAGGTGCTGGGCTACAGCCGACCTGTTGAACATTAATTCTTAAACAAATGAACACTCTTACAATAAAATACATGTACATGCAGATATTAGCTTCAAAATGGTAATACATGTTTCATTTGTGGCGTTTGTGCGAAGCTGTTGGTTTCTCCTTCAGTAACTATGAAATTGTGTCTGGATTAAGCAGTAACGCGCCATGGGAAAGAGGGGGCGAAGGGGAATCCCCTAGCGTATTCATTGCCCCCTGCCTAGTTAGCCCCCCCCCCCCCTCCCCCGGCAAAAAAAAATGAGGAAAGGAGGGGGAAAAGGATGAAGGTTAAAGAAAAAAGTAAAAAGAAGAGATTCGAATCAATTGAATGTGTATTTAATGTATGTGTAAGACTGGAACGGCCGGTGGGTTTTTTATGTTGCCACCCATACGTTGGTATTTTTTTGCCCCTCGCTAGTACCCCCTCCCCCCTCCCCCCCCCCCCCCCCCCCAAAAGAAATGTACCAATTGCAGAGTCTATCGCCTCCATTGGGTTTGAGGTGATTTGTATCCGTCTAAAATCCCATTGACTGTGTACCTGCGTTTGGATAAATTCGCACCAGCCTGTGAATTGTGATGCAAAACATTCAACAGAAGATGAAAAGGTGTATTTTTCACGCGTCACTGAATCTCAATGGCTAGAGTTCTAGTTCAAATAAATAAAGCAGTGACGGAGCATTTGCTACGTGTACATGTACACCATAGACTTGTACAATACGGGGCGCGTAATGGTTACTCCATGTTTTGACTGGTTTGTGCGGGATTTTTGCCTTGAGATCGGCGAGACTGGAAAGTTGTAGTAATGGCAACAGGTAAGGACTGATTCGGTCTACATGTAACAGAAGAATTAAAGATCTTATTGAGCAACGTTTGGCACGCAATACTGGCGTATCACAAGTGTAGGCCTATACATGTATAATTATGTATAGCTGTCGAAGAGGTCCATATTGAGGCTAGCCCATACACGAAATGAAGTGATTTGGTACGTACACTGCAAAAACTGTAGTGTTAATTTAACACCATTCGGTATCTATATAGGACAACACCAGTAATATTTAACACCAGATGGTCCTATATAGATACCAATGGTGTAAATTTAACACTCCAGTTTTTGCAGTGTATACGCGTACAGCTCGTGTCTTGCAGAGCACTCGTCCATGCAACGACAAGGACAGCGACAAAAGTGGCAACATCATCAGTTAACAGCGACAAGAGTTACACAAGCGACGATTAACAGCAAAGCGATACGGAAGCTTTAATTATAGCGACATTAAGATCTAGATCGACAACAGCGAGAGTATTAAACGACATTTCACAACAGCAAATCGATAGAGACATTGATTAGCCACAAGACCGACAACAGCGACAATACAAGCGACTAACAGCAGCGACAATCGTGACAACTAGCGACAGAACCAAGAACAGCTGCAATCGACAGTGACAACTAGCGACAAGAGCACCAATACAAGAGCACCAATAACGTGACAATAATAGCAACCACCGACACCATCACAACCACCTCAGTACAGTGCACTGTAACCGTGACAAAATATGGACAATTGAATTTGCTTTACGGCCTGCCATTGGTTGTTTATTTCCTTAAAAGCTAAAGGATCATTTGCATTTATCCCAAAAGTATACCACGGAGTTATTTTCAAAATGTATAATTGGATTATCAAAGAATGTAATGGTATAGACATCTGACGTGAAATTATTCCGTCTACCTTGTTCACTTAGAAAGAAATATCAATAAATGTTGGTGATTTTCAATAATCTATCAAATTGACTGATGTTTGGAAACACAGCGTTCTTTAGGGCCTTTACGAAATCGTGTTTAGTGATCTAAAGATTTTACTTTTTTTCACGCTTTTCTCGAAAAGTGTAAAATCCACTGAGCTGAAACTTCAACATGTTTTTATTATGGAGTGGTGCTATTATGGGAAACGAACAAAATGCTGGAAGAGCAAATAATTTATCCTTATTGAAGGTGCATATTTAAAAAATAGAGGTCCTCATTTAAAAAGAAAAGAATGGGGGGGGGGTTTAAAATGACCCAGAAAATATCATTTTTGACCCTGAAAAGGACTGATTAAATTTGGGTTAGATTGCGGGTCAACTGACTCAGGAGGTTTAGAGTGTAAAGAGCCAACAACTGCAAATCTAAGCATTTCGTTGGTGTTCTTTTTTTAATAAATTAAACTTGGAGTTGTTGATCTAACATAAAGTAGTTTTCAAGCTCAAATTCTATCCGCCAACAATCACCAGACTACTGTTAGGACATTTAAGCACTGAACTGATTCAAGAAATAATGATCTTCATTTGCCTTGAAGGATTCACACGATTTGAGAATGAGGTAGACACCGACGATGTCCCTCCAGCTACCGGACCACATGGTACCCAGATCTCTCCCGACAATCTTCCCAACTACCAAGACCTGTACCCGCAACCTGACCTCTGCTTGGTGCATCCCACGTTAACCGGGTCGTCCGACTTACCCCTTACACCCCTCTCATCTCCTAACCGGTCTGGCCACACGCCAATCCATCCCAGTGCTGGTCTCACAGCAGGGCAAGTTAATAATGCCTCGCCCCCACCTTACTCCATCCTACCTCCAGGTGGAACACCTGTCTTTAGCTCTCAGCCTCAGCCGGGAACTGTCGACATGAACGTAAGTATTAAGTCTGCTCCATACTCTAATAGTTTCCATGCAGTTGTCTGTTACTGACAGTCTTAATAGGTTGTCATCATTATTATGATTGAAAGCGATCCAGTTGTTACTACTGCAGGCCATGCTTGCTCGATCGGTGCTGCAAATTGTAGGCGCGTAGGATCTTTCAAATCTCGACTTGAGTCAGGTCGAGTCAATAAGGCGTCAACAATAGTCAACTCGAGTCAACAGTTATACAGGGTGACCCCATAAAAAGCAACCCAAAACATTTGCCTTTAAAAAAAAAGGGATTGGTGGATATTTATGTATGAGGTATCGGATTAAAGCCGAGAGATTTTTCCATGAAAATAGCACTTTGGGTTGCTGAGAAAATGCCTTCTTCTTCTTCTTCTTTCTTCTTCTTTCTTCTAAATCATGTAATCATGTAAATGTAGTCATTTGTTATCCTGTACACACACAAAAATACCACAGTAAGGAATTTTAACTGAACTTTTTTGTGCGTGTCGATCCTAATCCTTACAAGCAACACGGCAGCCTTTCCAACTCTTTTTGGCATTATAATTTGTACGTTAAGGAGAATACACGAGAAAGTGTGGATTCGTAATTTAAGAATTCACGAGGCGCGAGGCGCCGAGTGAATTCGTAAATTAAGAATCCACACTTGTGAGTGTATTCTTCGACTTAAACCATTGCGTCAACAGAAGTATTGGAAAGAATGCTGCAACCTGACGCCACTTTGTTTTCATATATCATGTCAATGAAGGCCATTCGTTGCAAAAATGATGATAAGACATGAATCTGGGACTGACAAATGTTTCCAAAATTGTTAGGAAATACTTAAAATGACTCTCCATAGACGTTGTACACAGCGCGGAAGTGGCGTCAGGTTGCAACATTGGTTCCCCGGCGTGTTTGGTATCGACACACCCGTACAAGTCATTTTGTGTGCATAGGCTCCTTACGTCAAAATGGATAGTTCAGACGACGATTTCTTTTTAACTAAAAGTAGATTTTGCAGTCACGGCGGAAAATCTGACAGTGAAGATGCATTGGAAATTTTCGGAAAACAAATTTTCACGCAGACGGTCCTATTCATGCTCATTATGGAGAACACTGATTGTCCGACATGTTCAAAGTGTGGATTCGTAATTCCGAATCCACACTTTACTAAAGATTCGTAGTTCCGAATCCACACTTTGTGACCAGTGTAAGAGATTCGTAGATCCGAATCCACACTTTGAACTAACTTTCCTGATTTTAAAATGGATCATTCTCATCACACACTTGACATAGCGCTCGCAAGTTTCAGGAGGCTATGAATTATGATCAAGCCGAGTTAACCGAATGTTACATCGGTTGAAACACTGTACTTTTGTTCTTATTACATGTCCATGTACATGCATTGTAACGCTAGGTCTGGGTACCTAGCAGCTGTTAGGTCTGGGAACCTAGCAGGGGTGGGGTCTGAGTACCCATACTGGGGGTGTGGTATGCCCCCACAAGTTGTTCATTGTGTGCGGTTTGCCCGTTTACTTGGTATCCAGCACAAAACTTTGTGACTAAATAAACACAGCTGTTGCAGAAATTCATACTATAGTTCTTTATTGTTTTATTTCATTGTCGTCTGAGTATATGACAAAAGTACAAATGAATTTGATAGAAATACCTGTTATTTTCTACCTCAACAGGTATCTCATCATTTTTAACCTTGCGCAGAGTGACCTGCTGCCCTTTGGGCCCCAGGTAACCGAATTTTTTGAAAAACAAAAATTGAGGGCCAATGACGGTCACCTTCCATCTAATCCTCATTCGACCCTTGCCAAATAAGCTGGTTCAATTAACTTTGCAGCCAGGGCTACACCCAGGCCGTGTCAACAAACTTTCGACCAGGCCTCCTGCCAAGTCTCATTGAAACATCAACAAAGACCTGTAACTTGACACAGTCATCTCCCTTCATAACTGCATACCACAGCCGCCAGTCAATTATCTTTCCAGCGCACTGTCTGGCAACTGTCTGGCAACTGTCTGGACACTGTCTGGCACGTGGCTTTTTGTTGTATTGCTATGAATAGGGTCTTGCGTAGTGCGGGAAAGTACCTGCTGCCCTTGGGCAGCAGTTGACGAGTTGTAAAGTTTTTTCTGTAAACGCTGCGCAAGGTTAATCCTATTTTAAACCCTTTCAGTATGTAATGTCAGTCTACGTTTGTCCCGAACAGGTAACGCCCGTACAATGTGATTACATCTCAGTCGTCAAAAGTTATTATACTTGGGGATACATACTCATGGCAACGTGTTGCTTCCCATTCGGAGTTGTATTTCTGATCGTGCATTTCTGTGTGGTAGGTTCTAACGAATATTTCGAGTAAGGTTATTATACAAATAACGAATGTTTGTGAGTGCGATGGTAAGAATAATTTCATGAGGTGACAGATTGAATGTTCTATTCCACGAGGCGAAGCCGAGTGGAATAGAACATTCAATCTGTCACCGAATGAAACTATTCTTTCCATCTTACGAACGTAAAACATTCGTTATTTGTTTTATACAACACCTGAATAAATTCTCGTCATTTGATTGGTAAATTATAAACTACAATTTATTTTGATTTTAAAGATGTTGAACTACCCCTTCACGAAAATGTTTGAACCCAACGCTGTAGCGCTGGCTCTTTGGAACAATACGCGCTACGCTGAACGCGCACACCAGCATGCATTTTGCACGCAAATACCGCGGCATGGAACAAGCGCAAAGTGAAACGGTATAACGCATGGGTATAACGCATGGTCGCACCGTGCATTATACCGAATAATAATATGTCACGTGATCTACAATTCACCAATCAGATGACGCGGATTTATTCAGGTGTTGTATAAAATGACATAATCATCGCAATTTGGGCGATTCACGATGCAGTGCGTCACCAAGAGTTTGCCACGGATAATTCGTTTTTCCCAGTTCATTGTCGACACATTCGCAGCGCGGGACATTTGAACAAGTTAGTTTTTCCTGTCAGTAGTTTCGTGAACGTATGATTTGAGTATATGTTTGCCCTTCTCTTTTAATAAATATGGTGTTTTTGTAAGGCGGCGAAACGCTATATCCCAATCTATAACAAATTAGCTCAAGTTGTCTACTGATACTCATTCAAATGTTCCGTGCTTTGTCGACCACAAACTTGAAAAAAAACGGACTCTCCATGACAGACTCTTGGTGGCGCACTGCATTGTGAATAACATAACATCTCTTGTAATTGTTCTCCTTGGAAGAATTCAACAAAAACCACTGAAATCCATGAATATCTTAAGGGGTGAAACTTGCGTTACATTATGGGACATAAAGCGTGCGCGAATCTTGCCGAGTAATCGCCAAACGGAATTTCAGTTGTTGTCAGTGATTCAGAAAAAATAACTACATCTCTCACAGGGGATCAGGACATATTGGGTGTTTTTTTTTCTCCCTTCAAAGATGATCACCTCTTGAATTAAGCAGACCGTCGTCATTTTGCCAAATAAATTATCCCTCATTAAACATATGGGAAGAGTTCCTTGAAGTTGGAGTATGATCAAAAGAGGAACATGAGGCCCACCATAACATGTGTGTGTCTGCACGCGTATGTCCTGAACGGTGTAAATCGAGGACACGTGTGAAACATACTTCTTCTAATCGAGTCCAACTGAGGGCGTCCTCGGTTGGAAAAAGTGTACAAAGACAATGGGAGCTGTTGCAAAAGGTGTGAACGAAAGAGGAAATAATAGGAAATCCTCGATATACTCCACCATACAAACACGACTATATAATGTATGAGCGGCCGTCACCGCCTTATGGATAAGTTGTTTATTGTCAAGGGACACACTTACTGAAATTTGTATCCTTGTGGAGACATTTCTTTGTTCTCGTGTAGTAAAGTTTTGGAATTTGAAAGTGTAGTTTCAAAATGCTCTTATTTTAACCAGAATTCATTTCCTTGGCTAAAATTCGGACTTATATCCCTTTTCTAAAACTCTTCCATTTGCGACGGAGCAACCCACCTTGGAAATTCCTAGTTTCTGAGTAAAATCCATATATCTATTTCGTGAAAACCTTGTGGAGACGTATCCATCTATAGAAATTGCCCTGTGGAGACGTATTCAATCTTTTGTTCCCTATTGTGTGCATGTCTCCAGAGGGTACGGTGTACCAGATTAGTTATGGGGCACTTGTTGATTAAGGAACATTAGGACCGAGTTATGAAGACTTTCTGCTATCCCCATAGCATTTCCAGTCCCCATAATACCGTGGGACAACACGTGTGTAGTCCCCACATCAATTACGGAACAATAAAGTATATACTATACATGAATTGTACAGGGTTCCTGATGGGGAAGAACAATATACCCCATAAGGAAATCTTTGTAAATAAATTTGTCCCATAAAGGAACCGCCGTATGGAGTTTGAGATTTGCCGTCCTGTTTTTACTCTCGTTTTTCTCCTATGTAGGTGCGCAAGCGTGAGGAAGCAGGCGACTACGAAGGTGCACAGAGGGCGGCGAGTGCTGTTCGTTTTATGTTATACGGCGCTACTGTGATTGGCTTAATAGCGTTAATTGTTACCTCAGTGGTCTATTTAATCCTTTAACTTCCAATTTAAAGGCCATTCATAATTACCTAACACAGTTCACCCATTCCTATTGGTCGAGAGCCCGATGTGGCCGGTTTTTAATAAAGACCGCCTGGCTGCAACCGCGTCCCCAGTGCTTTATTTCCAACTTCGTTTCCAATAGTAAGCCCTGGATAGGAAACTTTCTTCCTGTATCCTGAATCGATACCGCAGTTGGCTAGTAATGGAATTTTATCGTGTACTTGGTGTTGTTATTCACAACGTGCAGTACGTGTTTTCGCGATCATTCGTCAACGCCTTCTCGAAAATACTCATTTCCTTTCCACTTTGCTCATATTAATATGAAATGTGATACTGCATGTTGTCTCGATAAGATTGTAACAGTTTAATTACATAAATCGTGGTGAGAGAGTAGGTAGTTGTGGTCGCGTACTGCTCGACATCCTGGGGACGAGGTTGGCCTGGCTGGTCTTAAACACTTTTGCAGTGTCACATGAAAATTGGACTCTGTGCAATCTGGTGCATTTTACTGTTTGGTTGAACGTTAACAATCCTCAGGTAGTCATGCGCAGTACTAGCATGCAACTGCAGTGAGTCAATATTTCAAAGTCCTGAATTTAAAATACACCGGCACAGCTGCGTTCTGCGAAAGAAACATTTTATAATGTAGCTAGAGGTGTGTCCCGAAAAACAGGAAGTAAAATAGCTAAACAAAATCGTTGTAAATTTATATTTTTTGACTTGTTTTGACTTTTGGACCGAACAGTTTTGATTATTTTTTGACCGAAAAGGCATTTATGAATGGGAATAAGTGTAGACCGGTTCTAAACACTCTGTTTAAGACTGGTTGGAGTCTAGATGCTGATAATTACCAGAGCCGAAGGCGAGGGTAATTATATTATCAGCATCCAGACTGCAACCTGTCGTTAACAGGTCAGCCAAGCACACATTTTATTCCCTCATTAAAAAGATGTTGATGATACGTTATTTAATGATCGGTCGGTCAGTCGGGTATTACTCAGAAAACGCACTTTTTGATGTGGAAATTTGCACTTGCAAAACTTCTAATTCGCCGACAAAGCAAACAACCAATGATACTGAAGCGCGTGTTCGGTACAGACACATGCAGAACTGGAAGGGGGACTCAAGGACACACAGCTGATAATCCAGTCAATTTTCTGGATGTTTGTTTCCAACTTAAGATTTTGAAGAGGCGAAATCTAAAACTGTTTTGATCTTTGACAATACAGTGCAGTGCAGTGCAGTTTTTTAAACAGTATAGTAAATGCTGTACACGATGTACTAAGTCTCATCCTGTATACGTCAGAATTAGTACATAAAAAAACACAAGCCTACCACTACAGGGTGTTCCAAAAAATGTTTACTCTTTTTCAGACGCAGATGTCTTAAAATCAGAAAGACATGTTGGAATTAATCGCGGCCATTTCCATACAAATGGTCAAAAACCAGTTTGTCCACACACGTATGGTTGTCGTGTTGGCGGTTCTTAATGTTTGGTCGCGTGCTGTTGTGTTGAGCATGTCCATAGACTTGCGTGCGGACAAACTGGTTTTTGACCATTTTCTGTAAATGGCCGCCATTTCTTACTTTAGTTTTTTTTTTCAACGCCGTTTTCACCACATATACCACAAAGACATGGTAGTTTAGGAATGTCCTAAAACAATTTCAACATGTCTCCCGAATTCTGAGAAATCTGCACCTGACAATTTCGTTGGACCTCCCTAGATGTTTCCCTCTACAGTATATAAGTCCCACATTTATGTTTTTATTTTGCAAGCTTCAAAACTAGTCTGCCTTCCTTGCATGTATATTATATCGATGATTGTTGTACAAATAATGGGGTATGTTTCTGGGAGATTTACTCGGATTTAAATCATGGATTAAAACAGTTGTGTTTTATTTGCAAAAGGACTTGACAGCATGTGTGTTATTTTTTGTATACAGAGTATTGTCTGCAGGGTGAGTCAAAAGAAAGGAAACCAAAATGGCAGAACCACTTTTGTAATAAAGTTCTGCAAGTAGCACTTTTAAAATCTAGGATATGAAAACCTAATAAATAAGGTTTTTTTTAGCATAAGAATCATTCAAATCACTTGAAGTTGCGGGATTTAAAACACAACCGCCGTTTCAAGTTGTGTCCACGGATCACAAACAAGTTTTTTTTTTTAAATATAGCAAGACGAAAACAATTCACATACATCCCTACATGAATTGTTTTAATTTTGCTGAAAGAACTAAATTTATAAACCTATACATACACGAGGCAATCGAACAACAATAAAAGTGCATGGAATAGAATTTACACCTTAACATATTTTGTGAAAAAAAAATCGATATCCCCTCAAATGTATGAAAACTACGACACCTCCCCTTATGGTAATGTTATGTCAAGTGATCTTTCATAAACATGAAGTTCCGTGCGTCACCTGAGAGCTGAGGGCGCTGTTGCTGTGACGTCACTTAAGGCACACCGAGGGGATTTCTGTTCAAATGGCAGTAGCAGATCTAAAGGGGATTCGGGGTTGCAACCATCCTCCCAACCCCACCCACGCACCCCCACTCCACCCTACCCCCAAATGAAAACAGTAAAATGGGGCCAAAAATAATGATTTAAATAATTTTCGCATTGCCTTAGACTGCAGCAGAAATCATCGCAGTTTAAAACAGTTTCGGGACGTGCCGCGACGGTTTCGGAACATTAAAAGCTAAAAGTGCTCAAGCGATTTCGGAAACGAAGCCGAGTTTTGAAAAAAGGCCGTTAATGTCGTCATGTTTATTTTTAGCCGCGGAGCTGGCTGACCTAGAAGTCTGGGCGTCGGGGAAATTGTCCGGTCGGGGAACCAGACGTCATTTTCTCCAGTTTTCTGGAGGAACTTTACTTATTCTAATACTTGGATGAGGCTGCTGATTGCTCCTTCCACATCTGCCAACTTGGGTCTAGATAGGGAGTACTTTGTGCAAAGTCCCATTGACTGTGTACATTTCAGGCCCAAGTACATGCACTTAGATAACATTGCACTTGGCAAGCATTGTCATGCAAAACTCTCCACAGAATAAAGATATTTCTGTCTGGTATGTACTACCACTTCACTGAATCACAATGGCTCTAATATGATTGACGTATCGTGGAGGCGGAACCTAGGCCTACACCTATGTTGTATCACACATACCTGCACCGTAGGGTTAGCAGCAATTTTGTCCATGTCTTAAATGGTTCATGTGGGATTTTTGTCTTGAGATCGCCCAGACTGGAAAGCTGAAATAATGGCAACAGGTAAGGACTAACTTCGTCTGATCGTGGAGGAATCAGCAGATCTACGCAAGCACGGGCTCGGCCAAAAGACAGAACTCAAATCTCAGGCAGATTTCATCACCTGTTTAATTGAGAGTGTCAAAGACGTGCGTTCAAGTTAATGCAGTCATGTAGCAAACGTATGCACAAAATGCAGAACATGAAAGTACGCCGAGGGTCCTACAGCGCACACGTCCGTGCAACGACAATGAGGACAGCAACAGGAGCGACAATTCGGCGACAAAAGTGTATGACAACGGACAATAGTGACAACCGTAGCAAGAACAATAACGACGCTTTAAGGCAACGGTTGCGATAATATTTGCGCCGGTTAATAATGAACAGACGCAAACGTTACGATTGCCTGAGTGACAATATCGACTACTAAATGGCGACAACAACGACACTTAAGGCTACAACAACCATGATATTAGTGGAAATGAACACCGACAATAGCGACAATTAATAGGTACAACAGAGAAACAAAAGTGACAATTTTAGCGTCGACAACAACCAGAATTAAACCCCGCAGTCCCCGGTGACCATAAGCACATCAATCACGACCAAAAACCCCCATTGAATTCGCATTCTCGTCTGTCATAGCCAGACTACTCCCTGATAATTCATTCCAGTAATCCTGACCTTTTTCATCTTTTAGGTTACACACGATTTGAGAATGAAGAGGCTGACATCGGCACGGCAGAGACTAACCAACCGTCTTGCCCCCCACCCGAGCAAGTCGATGCCCCGCCCCTTCCAGCTTCTGGACCTTATACCCAGAGCTGTCTCAATGACCTCCCAACCTACCAAGGCCCCCAGCAGCTTCAGCCCGTCGCCAACACAGAGCAGCCCGCATCGACTGGGGTGTCCGACTTACCCCTTAAGCCCCTCCCATCTGCTGACGAGTCGGGCCAAACCCCGCCCCATCCCAGTGCTGGGCTCCCAGCGGAGCAAGATAATGCCCCGCCCCCGCCTGATTCCACCCTGCCTTCTGGTGGCACACTGGTTATCACCTCTCAGCCTCGGACTCAACCTGTCACTAGGAACGTAAGTATTAAGTCTGCTTTACACTTTAATAGGCCTATTGACATGTGTATAGTTTTCGTGCATTTGTCAGATGCCCCGGTCTTAATAAGTTTCCATTATCGTGATTGAAAGCGGTAACGTTCAGGCTCGCAGGATCTTTCAAAAGTCGACTTCGGGTCAAGTCGAGTCTTACTCACGCACTATTATTGGCTATTATGGATCACGCTTGTGAAATTCGGTCAGTCAAGCGCTCAAAACAAAACCCTAGTGTGGGCTGCTTTAAGCGTAAAAATACCTCCTCTCTCTTTATGTAACATAGTTTTTTTCTCCACTTTTTTTTTTTTTCAATTTTCCTATAAATTGAAACTTTTTTTTTAACTTTTATTTTATTTGTTTCACCCTGATACCTATACATGTTTGCATTTCTCCCTCTGTCTACAGATACCTCCTTGTATTACTCCAAACTAGTTCAAACGTGTGCGTCATCCATGCATTATTTTTCCTCTATCATATATCATTTTAGTATTTCAACTTCTACTCATTATCATTTGTTCGCCCTTTGTCCGTTTGTTTGATTGTTTGTTGGGTTGTTGGGGTGCTTGTTTGTTCGTTTGTGCGTCCGTTACATTTCTTCTGTTCTGTAATTTGTACATATATATGTTGTACTTATGTATTTACTATCATATTACAAAATGTGTACCCCGGTATTGTTCTTTTAAATCTACGGCATTCCCCTTACAGGCTTCGGATGTTTGTGGGTTTTTTTCTTCATGTAATTATTACAGTGTTTGTATGATTTGGAAATAAATGTTGCATTGAATTGAATTGAATTGAATTGAATTGAATATTGGAGTCCACAGTTGTCGACTCGACAGTTAGATCTCAGCCTATGCAAAGTCATAACTAACTAACTAACTAACCCAGAACTAACATTACCAGGACTTGTTAACAGTGTCGGCTCCTATATCCTTGAAAACTAGACAAAGACAGAAAATCCAACTAGACCAGACCAGACCAGTCCGGACCAGACCAGACCAGACCACATTAGACCGGTTGAGTCTCGATAGTCCCAAGTTCCATTGGTCTTCGTCAAGCTTTTAGTGACATAAGTGCAGATGGGGGCCCCGCTGGTGTGGTGCGGTATGGTGTGATGTGCTCTGGTCAAGTCTGGTCTGGTCTGGTCTGGTCTGATCCTGTCTGGTCTGGTCTGGTCTACTCTGGTCTGATGTGGTAGGGTGTGATGCGGTCTGGTGTGGTCTAATATAGTCCGAAGTACCATTGGTCCGAAGTACCATTGGTCCGATGAAATAAAATACTGTGTAGTTCCACTGGTTCAGGCTGACTGACCCTAACCCTAACCCTAACCCTAATCCTAAGGGCCGTTGGACCAATGGGACGTCGGACCAATGCGACGTCGGACCAATGCGACGTCGGACCAATGGCACTTCGACGTTCCCCATTAGACCACACCAGACCGCATCACACCCTACCACACCAATCCAGAGTAGACCAGACCAGGCCAGACCAGACCAGACCAGACCAGACCAGACCAGACCAGACCACATCACATCACACCACACCAGCGGGGTCCACATCTGCTACTATATCACTAAAAGCTAGACAAAGACAGACAATCCAACTTGACCAGAACAGAGGCAGAAATTAAACTTCTTTTTTACAGCTATTTCAGCACAAAAAGTTAGAAGAATTCAGAATATTTTGCTGCTGTAAATGTTCTTGCCTTTGGTGATTCGTTGCTGGGTCAGTATATGACAGTATTGCCAATTATAAAGTTTTCTCACTAAAGTTTTCAATGAGCTGAGTTTTGTTTTCACAAATGAACAGAAAACCCGGCCTAAACCAAACGGGGTTTTCCTGAAGTGACATCGCAGCAACAGCGCTCTTAAATGTCCGGAAATTAGTATGGGCTATCTTCAATGTTTGAAGAAGTGTACTTTTGAATAAAATGAACCTAAAAGGGATAACATAATAGTGTTCATACATTTGAAAAGGAAAGAAAGTTGCACGAGATGTGTCCCTCGGAAAAAAAAATCATTTCATGGACACTCTCAATGTCAAATCACAGTCATTTAGCCATTGAGTTTTTCAGTCGGCAAGTACAAAAAGAAATAAGAATATAAAATAGCCCTCTGGGACCAGCAGAATTATGTACAAAATAGGCGAATCAAGGTGCAGTCCATCATTTGTAATTTGTGCATTTTGTTCGTTTGAAGCACCAAACGCGCTCAAAATCTAAAGAAGGGTGCTGAACTACTAACCTGATGAAATTTCAGCTCAGCTTCAGCTACACATTTCGAGAGAAAAAAAAACAGCATACTAGGATCTCGATTCCAAATCAAAAGTTGCTGAATCGTGTTTTGAATTGGGCCAGAATTGACCTATCGCGGTAGAACCGCGTCAACGCAGCTTGTGAAATATTGTCCAATTACATGATACACAGTAACACAAATGGACGCGGAACGCGCAACATTTGAGAGAAACAAAACTTAGTGTACAAAAACTCCATAGGGTTGTCTAAGGGGCGTGGATAACTCGCAAACGGCGATAGGTAAATTCAACGTCCGAGGCACGTTCTCACGAAGCCGATTGCAGCTATATCCGAGGAATTGTAGCAACCGCGCGCACGTGTGCGTCGTGCCAACGCTTGCGCGCGCTTCGCCGAATAAAAAAACGAACTACAAACGAACGTTGGATATGGAAAGGCCCTCTTTCTTTGATTTCTTCAAAATTACAGCTTACCAGAAAGAATATCTTCACAGGGAGTTTAGTCCCCTTGCTATCTTTCAACCAAGTACGTTTTTCAACAAAATTTGGATAGCTGCAAATGATGGACTGTACCGGTAGCTTTAAAATAATAATGTCATTCCTCGTTTGTCCAAAACAGGTGACGCCCGTACAACGTACTGACATCGCAGCGGTCATTGAAAGTACTTGCACCCCGACAGGCGTTCTCATAGGATTTTTTTGCTTCCCATTTGGAATTCTAATCCGGATCTATTATTTTTATGAGGTAGGTCCCAGGTATAATTCAAGTTACAATAAACCGCGGCGGGTACACTGTACATGTATAGTTAACTGGACTAAAAGACATGTCAAACTTGCACTTAGTTGACTACAGCAAGGGTCAGCTGGGAGCAAAGTTGACTACAGCAAGGGTCAGCTGGGAGCACGTTGACTACAGCAAGGGTCAGCCGGGAGCAAGTTTGACTATTTTCTAGTCACACTTAAATAGGCTGTTTTCAGATTTACGTTCCACGTTTTGTCCCATACGTAATGCCATGCTTTTTTAATTGCACAATCAACGCAGAGACCTATAACATAGAATGATTGTAAGTATCTATCACATTTCAGAGGGTTAAACTTTCGTTACGCAAATTCTTGGCCTTGCACAGTAATTTACCAAACGCAATCTCAGTCTGTGCCATTGACCTTGCTTGTATGGTGCTGGGCAGTAAACTACTTTAATTTCCCCCACCCCACCCGCCCTCCGCTTTTCGAATTTTCAGAGCCGGGCAATTTCTAGATTTTGGTCATCCCCCATCACTCGCCGTCACAGATCTAATTACGCTACTGCCAAAGATGATCGCCCCTTAAAACAGGCCGTCGCCATTTAAGAAAAATTATGTCGATACTCCTTCGCAAAATACATCGACTTTTCGGTCCAATTTCAGGCAACATTATCCAACAAGTACAAGGTTCAAAGACTGGTTTAGAATACGGGCGATTCATAATGGACCGATCCAGTAAGCCCCGCCCACTGCGCACCTGGGCAAATTAACACGCATGTCGGACTTATGTGCACGCATGTCAGACATAAATCACGGCTGTGATTGGTCAGAATACCATGGGGCGGTGCTTACTGGATCGGTCCATAGTGCGCCTCCAAGAGTTTGCAACGCGTTGGCCAATCACAATGCGCGAAATCAGTCGACCCAATGCAAACCTCGTCCCCAGGGTGTCGAGCAGTACGCGCCCACCACTACCTGCCCTCTCACCCTGGTATTGGATCATTTGCATGTGCAAGATTTTTGCACACGTATGCAAATGAGGAACAGTCTGGTGCCTGGATATGCGTTACACATTAGCGTTTGTTTTTGTATGCGGTGTCTGGGGTAAAAACAGAGTCAATTCGTAGCAGCGCGAGCACGGCGTGAGTTACGAAAACACGATTTTTGAAATCAAACTGTTACGATCTTATCTTAGGGGGGCCAAAGGGGGCCATGCCCCCCCCCAAAAAAAAGAAACCAATTTTTGTTTTGTTTTTATGTGACATCGCAATAAAGGAAGGCAATGAGTACACCACCATCTTTTCCTCAAAAAAACATTGGCTGAAGTGGTCAAAAATTGCCTCAGATCGCACCACAGCGCATCTAGAATCCAAAAAATTTCGGGGCCCTTAAGCGGGCCCCGAACCCCACGCAATTTTTTTGACCCACTTTTTGGGGGGACCAAATTTTTTTGGGCCTTCCAAAAAATTGTGTTCTGGATCCGCCCTTGATGCACGTTAAATAACCCAGTAACACTTGCCGCTAATACTGAAGAGAAAGGGTTTGCCCCGGTATTTCTGGCAGTTGGCTGTAATAATTATGCGCCACAGCACCTTGTGTACCCTTTATAAATGTGCTACATAATGGGTCTCATATTTCGGGCATCAGCTTTACGCACTGATTCGATAGCACTGGCGGGCTTAAGTAGTTCAAGTGAGTGAGTCAGTACTATACACATCAAAAAAATGTCCTCTCTTAGGTCAAACAAAAAAAATCTGTCTCTGGTCAGCGCGCGTGTCGATTTTAACCATGCACGTCAACCTTTTTTTTTCTTAAAATTGTCTGCGGTAGCTTCAACAGCGCCCTCTATTGCCGCACCTCCTCAAATGTTTGTACCAAGGAATGGGGAAATTGCACCAAGGCAAATCATGGAGGGCACAAAGGCAAATTATGGGGGACACCAATGTATATGAGGACACACAAAAAAGCAAAAAAAAATAGTACCCAACCTTGTCTGTACAGTCCAAGCTTAAAAAAAAAAGAGCCCCCCCCCCCCAAAAAAAAAAAAACGCGTCGCCGCATCAATTCTGGAACTTTGGTCTGACCAGAGACCGACTATTTTTTTTTTGGCCTTAGATCGGCAACTATAAAATGAAATGCGGGTTTTTATTCTCGTAGGTTGATGTGTATATCCACAGCATCTTTTTAGTGGCTTGATTTCATTCTTGTTTTTTTTCTCTCCTTACAGATGTACGCGCTTAAGAAAGCGGGTGACTACGAAGGTGCGAAGAGGGTGTCGAGAGCTCTTCGTTGTGTATTCTTCAAGGTTATTGTTCTTGTCCTAGCATGCGCGATTGGTACAGTATTGCCCTTATTTAATTATTTGCGTAGCCACTAAAGAGATGCTGATGATACGTTATTTACTTATCCTGATCAGTCGGTCGGTTATAAACGCACTTTTTGTGGACATGTGCACTTCCAAAACTGATCATTCACTGAGAAAGCAAAGACCAATGATATTTCAACTGGATTTTTGAAGAGGGTAAATCTCAAACAAGTTTGAAGTTGAGCAATACTGTGCAGTTTTTTCAACCTGTAAGTAAATCACATCCTGTATAAATGTTAAATAAACTATACCCACTACAGGGCGTTCAAAACAATATTAACACTTTTTCATACGCAGTTTCTTTTTTAAATTAGACAGTCATGACGGCATCAACAGTGGCGATTTAATGGTTAAAAACAACCACTTTTGTCCACAAGCTTGCAAAGGGTTATGGTCATCGTTATTACAGTTCTTTGTGCACGTGCTATTGTTTTGACCATGTTCGTCATATACTTCATGTTCGTCATTGGCCTGCGGACAAACTGGTTAGTGACCACTTTTATGTTAATAGTGGCAATTTCTCAATTTCGGATCCATTTCAACGCCGTTTTCACCAATTAGACCATCAGCTTGAAGGTTTGGCCGGTATCAAACGAGGGGAGTAATGCTCATTGTGATTTTTGGCAAGGAACGTATATGCACCCATGTATTTGGAAAATACAGCCTGTCTAAAAAAAAAATGGTACAGTGTGAAAAAAAAAATTGGTTCAATATGAAATTTCAAAATAAGTCATTTTTTCTTGGCCTAATATTAAAGAACAAAGACTGGGCTTTCCAATAGTGTTTGTTTGATCTTATTTGCTTTTGTCAATTCAGAGATATAATCAATTTAGTGCGATACACCAAAATCGATTTTGTGCCACTTTTATGCATGGGCAGAGTTCAAGTGTTTCGAGTACTGTGCCATGCTGTCTTGAAGCTCACAAAAGAAAGTGGCACAAACTCGTTTTTGTGTTCCGCAGTAAACTGGAGTTATCTCTGGATTGACAAACTCAAATGAGATGAAACAAAAAGTATTGGAAAGCCTGGTCTTTTTTCTTTAATGTAATGCTCAAAACGACTTTCTTATGTTAAGATTTAATATTGAAAAAAAAATCGTTTTCGATTGTACCATTTTTTTTTTAGACAGGCTGTATGTGATAGCATTGCAGCGGTAGCAGTTTTTGGGGTGCTATCACTTTTTTTTTATGGCAGCCAAAGCGAGTTTGTTAAATTAATCCGGTTCAAACATATCGGCGGCCATTTTGAAATAAAATAAAAGTGATAACACTTGTATACCTTGTGTATACCTTGCCAAAAATCGCTATGAGCATTGCTCTTTTTGATCATTTGATACCGGTGGCCTAATTTGTAGACCGAAGCTGATAGCTTTTGGTCATTGAAAACTGTAGTTTGTTGTGACATTCCTATTGAACACTTTTTAAACTAGTGGGAACTATTCGTTTTACTGGATTCAGTCACTGAGGTCTATTTTCTGGAATGAAAAAGCTAATTAAACATATAATAGCTTAATTAAAGTGTATTGGGTCGCTCGAGTAGCGTCTGACTTGGGTTGGTAACAAGTCATTTTTTGCAATCCCCAGTCAAGTCACAAGTCATTGTTTGCAAGTCCAAGTCAAGTCACAAGTCAAAGCTGGTATTTACAAGTCAAGTCACAAGTCACAAAAATAGCGACTCGAGTCCGACTCGAGTCCAAGTCACATGACTCGAGTCAGCAACTCTGGCTTATACCACCAAGACCTTGTAGTTTAGAAATGTACTAAAACAATTTTAACATGTCTCCTAAAGTTTGAGAAAGCTGCGCCTGAAAAAAGTGTATAAACTTTGCTGTTGTTTTGACCAACCTGTTCATGTACATATTTTTGGTTACTATTTTACAAGCGTAAAAAATAGCCAACCTTCATTGTAAGTTTTATGTTGTATATATAGCGATGTTTGTGGTACGAGATAATGGGATTTAAACGAGTAAATTTACTTAGATTTAAGTTATGGACTAAAAAGAGGTGTATTATATTTCCATTAATGTATTGGGCAGCATGTGTGTTTTTTTATGAAGTAGTGTATATTAGTTTATCTATCGTCATAACGAAGAACATTGCAAAGTAGGGACACACAATTTAAATGGAATGTTAAAGCTCTGAAATTTATTCTTGACTTGCCTTAGAATGCAGGATAAATCATCATAGATTTCAAAGGTTTCAGGGGCATGCATTATTTCCAAGTGTCCCAACCATTTTGGACTGATCGTAGCACCGCCTCCCCCCCCCCCCCCCCCCCCCCATTTTCACATCTATTCCGACCAGAGCTCCGGTCGGAATAGATGTGAAAAATGGGGGGTTGCTACAATCCCGGCCAAAATGGTTGGGACACTTGGAAATAACCTTGGCCTCCCACCGTCACCCACTACCCCGCTCCCCCGGTCAATGTTGTTCTCTCCAGCTGATGGAGCACACACCACGCAATGACAGACAACATTTACAGGGGGCCGAGGGGTTGGGGGCCCAGCGAGAATTGGCCAGGATTGTAGTTCCCACTTAAAGAACTTAAGTTTATTGGATCACCTCTGCGCGCACATCTTTGTTTCTTTTTGAACCGCTATCCGAGCTGTGCATGGACTTTCCTTGAACAGATGGTTATCAAAAATACTAACTCTTTTCTGGCCATAAACAGTAGAAAAAAATCACCAGTGTCTCCGTGAATGAAACTTTGTAGCATTTCAAACTGCAAAGAATGTAAATACTGAACAGTATTGTCAATGCGTATAAAAACACATTAGTGCTTTGTAATTAAAAGAAAAAGAGTTGAGTAAGTCGGGTGATCTCTGTACACCCAAATGTCTTCTGTGCAAAATCCGCTTTGTTGCGCTTTCTATCTACCAAAATGTTGTCATTTAATTTGCTGCTTTATATTTTGAAATTACTGGGTACATAGTATCTTTTAAGTATCATTAATAATGTTTTTTTGTGATTGCTACATTTTTGTACGTACTGCATGATGGTTTCATCGAGCGTGTTAAGATGAAAATAAATATGGTGTCTTTATTGACACAAAAAAATCACCCAATGTTCTAGCTGGCTGGTTTCATTGTTTCTTAGTTGACTGGGTCCCATTTTTTTTTCTGGAGAAAATAAATTACAAATCTTGTTTCTAAGCTCAACCCTATTAGTTTAAAGCCAGAGTCCATCATCTGCAGCCATCTGAAAAAGTAACTGGCGTAATTATTGTAGAAAAAACATACTTGGTTGAAAAATAATAAGGGGACTAAACTCCATGTGAAATTAGTCTTTCTGGCAAGCTGTCATTTTGGAGTAATCAACGAAAGAAGGCCTTTCCAACGGTGCGTCTTAAGACGCACCATTCGGCGAAGCACGCGCAAGCATTGGCACGACGCACACGCGCGCGCGTTTGCTATAATTCGTCGGATCAGTGCGTGACATCGCGTATATAGCTGCCGAACTGGCTCAGTGAGAACGTGTCTCGGACGCTGAATTTAGGCCCAATTCAAAAAATGATTCAGCAACAGTTGATTTCAAATTGAAATCCTAGAATGCTGTTTTTCTCGGAATATACAGCTGAAGCTGAGCCGAGACTTCATTAGGTTAGTTGTTCAGTATCCTTCTTTAGATTTTGAACACTTTCGTTGCTTCAAACGAACAAAATGCACACATTACAAATGGACTATATCTTTAATTGTACAAAGTCACACGGACTGCGTTCAGTTCACAAGGAAGTGTATCGTTGGAAAATCGTGAACTTTTCTACGCATTGTGACGTCAACACAAATTGTAAGATTATTGTATGAGCAAAACGGGTTGATTGGATTTGAATGGTCGGGCCTAAGGTGAAAAGGGCCATGTGCCATTGTGATGACGGAACACGTACATGTATGATTCGTTGGCTGTTTTTGGAAGTGGATTATACTAGCACTGAGGATCCAGTCTGTGTACATGTACATTGACTGTCGAGCCTAACACGGAGTATACACACGCAGGAGAGGTACACATGGGCTATGGATATGTTTGAGTTTCGTGTTCATCTCACCGACTAGTGAACCAATGGCATCAGGTATGGGTTGATTATCGACTTGTTTACTGCAGTCGTTCAGTGTGTTTCTGGACATCAAAAGCTAGAAAACAGACTGCACGTAACCCTAAAAAGGCTGGGGCGGAATACGCCCCCCCCCCCTCGACTTTTTTCCGCGATAGCCTCGAAAAGAAAATTTCGCCACCCGAGCTGTTATGGGTTTTTAGCCATATAAAAATGTTCCGGTGAAAACTTAATTTTCCCATATACGTTGTTTACAAAATACACAGAGTAGAATTACCATTCGTACATGTGAATAATTATTGAGCCATAATTCCAAAACCCTTTGACCTATGAAATTTCATGGATATGTTCATGATGTGTTGCTCTGTGCATGTACCGAGTTTCAACATTTTTCATCACTCGATGGCCGAGATCTTAGGGGGGAGAGGGTCAAAATAACCCGGCCCTTTTAGGGTTAAGAGGAAGTAGTTCAAATTTATGCTCGTTATCAATGCCACATATTGTAACAGAAATTCGAATGACAAAAATGGAAAAATCTTGCAACCTGACGCCACTTTTTCTTCATTTTGAATCATCTCAATGAAGGTAATTCATTGCAAAAAATGATGATAAGACATGAATCTGGGACTGAGAAACATTTCCAATTTTGTTAGGAATTACTTAAATTTTCTTGACTCCCCATAGACACCATCGCGGAAGTGGCGTCAGGTTGCATTTTTTTTACCCCAAAATACTCTGTGCATAAATCCTTTTATTTTTTTCTGATCTGTGCTGTATCCTGATAAACTATAATGAAACCGAATGAAAATGTCAAAAGAGACACGTAATTATTCGGGTTAGATTTAATCCGGAATCAGGATGACATTTGACTTCTCAGGATCAAAAATGACAGTATCCCGGGGCACGGATGACACTTTTGCAAATTGTGAAGGATGCAAGTGACTAAGACGACAGAGTAGAGCAGATATCGTTTTGACCCGTAAAGGATGTGATTTTGACCCTGATAATGTATCAAGGCAAATGTTAAAAGTGGAGTGTCATGGCCTAGCGGTTAAGAGTACCGGACTCATGCTCTGATGTTTCAGAGGCAACAGTACATGGGTTCGAGCCCGGGCCCGCACACTTGTGCCCTTAAGCAAGGCACTTAACCATTATTGCTTCGTCCTTCGGGTGGGACGTTAAGCCGGAGGTCCCGCATGTTGTATAAGGCCTAACGCATGTAAAAGAACCCAGTAACACTTATCGCTATTAAAGAGAAGGGGTTTGCCCCGGTGTTTCTGGCCTCCTAGTTATACTCCCTCGTGGAAGTCCTTAGGAGAAGAACCAACTAAGTACCAGAACCAAGTTACCCGCATTAATTGGACCGTGTCAAAGCTGGGCCTTGACTTTTTATAGTTTACTTGTGATACTGTATATCGAGATGTCCTCTCTTCCCCCTTCTTTCTAGTTTATTTGTGTATGCTTAATGTTAACTTTTAGGATACGAGCGATTTGAAAATGAGGCTGATACTGGCACGGAAGAGACTGGCCAACCATCCAACTCACCATCCGAGAATCGCAATGACCCGCCCCCACAAGCAACAGCCTCTGCTAGTGCTGTTAGCTCCCCAACTGACCCCTCGGCTAGGCAAGGCTGTGGCCCGCCCACATCAGCAGGCTGTGCCCCGCCCACATCAGCTCCTACCCCTCCTGATGACACGAGCTCACCAACTGGCCCCTTAGCCGGGCAAGGCTATGCCCCGCCCACAATTGCTGATGCCCCTCCGGATGACATGAGCTCACCAACTGGCCCCTTAGCCGGGCAAGGCTATGCCCCGCCCACAATTGCTGATGCCCCTCCGGATGACATGAGCTCACCAACTGGCCCCTTAGCCGGGCAAGGCTATGCCCCGCCCACAATTGCTGCTGCCCCTCCCGATGACATGAGCTCACCAAATGGCAACTCAGCCGGGCAAGGCTATGCCCCGTCCACAATTGCTGCTGCCCCTCCTGATGACATGAGCTCACCAAATGGCAACTCATCCAGGCAAGGCTATGCCCCGCCCACTCGCCTTAGTGGCCCACCGGTTGGAGTCCCGCCCCCACCTTATACAAGTCATGTTGGGGACACGCCCATCACGGACCGCCCACCGGACTATACTCCGCCCATATCCTGCACACTTGGAGCTTATCTTGCAGAAGGTCAACCAGTGTGGCAAGGCTGTGGCCCAATCCCAACGTGTGAAATTCCAATTCATGGGCCGGAGCTACGTCCAAACCGGGTAAAATGAATAAAATTAACGCCACCTATTAAGTACGGCCGATATCCCTAGAAAGACACGTTAAGTCGTGATTTATTTTAAACACTTTATCAACGGTGAAAAACCGAACAATTAAATAGTGCACTATCAATCGTAAGCTCGTAGCTTTCGTACCCACTCACGTACCACCACTCATTACGGCCGTGATGAATTCCATAACCGTTTGGCGTAAACGGTATTACCAAAATAACATGAGAAAGAAGCCGTGGTGACTGTCGGTAACCGACACATGCCTGGTGTCGTTGGGGACATGCTATAGACCAGTAGGTCATGTTATCACTGTACACTCACTTGGCCCCAATGGCGAAAGCATATATGTGACGCCCCAACTATGTGGCATCGTCCCAAGTACAGTTAGTATCGTCCCAACTGTCATGAGTTAGGAGTTCCTCAACAATGGACCGATCCAGTAAGCCCCTCCCACTGTGCACGTGGGCAAATTAACACGTGCTCCTCTCCAATGCCACACTGCATTTTCCTGCCACGCGCATCATACGCGCGTGCACGCATGCCGGACTTTTGTGCACGCACGTCAGACATATCACGGCTGTGATTGGTCAGAATACCATTGGGCGGTGCTTACTGGATCGGTCCATTATGGGACCGCCCCGAATATAGAGCCTGAAAGTGCGCCAATTTTTTCTTTGATAATTGAGCTTTTGGACCAGATGCTTACCCTATTCCAGTTACGTTGAGATAAACCATCATATAGGGCAGAAACTTTGTACAATTGCTGAAATATTATGATTCCGCCATTGATGGGGGCCTCCCTGACAGTACAGTGCTAGCGTCCTTGGAATGGTCCGTATAAAGCATGTGACCCATGACGTCATACTTTACGCAGGTGGCGCACCGACGTCTTCGTCGCGGACGGCGTGTTTCAGACGACGGGACAGGCATCAGTAGCTACTTTGGTCTGGCTATGGCTGTTTTGCTCATCTGTCCTCCGCTTGGATTTGTCGCCATGATCCTATCGTCAGTGGTAGGTTCTTTAATTCGAGCAATTCACAATACAGTGCGTCATTAAGAGTTTGCCATATAAGGGTCAATTTTTGAAGTTTACGGTCGACAAGACATGGCCCATTTGAATGATCGTCAGTAGACAACTTGAGCTAATTATGTGCATAGCGTTATATTCCGCCTAATTATTTGGGGAAAAAAAGGGAAAAACATGAGACTCGAATCATACGCTTAGGCAACTACTGACCGGAAAAAAATAACAATTTCAAATGTCCCGCGCTGCGAATTGAATTTTGTAGACCATCTCCCACAATGCACTGGGAAAATAAACTCTCCGTAGCAAACTCTTGGTGGTGCATCGCCAAAATTGTGCTTGGGTAATCTACGAATCTTTAAGACATAACCTACTTAAGAAATGTGTATTTGCAAGTTAAAAGCGAGTTGCGTATCACAATCGATCAAAGACCAAACAAATTGATAGGTGTGAATAAAAAAGTAAAGGGGAAGAGCGCCCCCTAGTGTCAAAATGAGGTTCCCACTTTTCGAATGTCCAGCGCCCGGCTGGACGCATGACCATTCAGATTGCAGTGTGCTAATGAGCGGACGCTATTTCGCCCCGGACAGTTTTTGGCACGACACTGGGCTTGTGTGTGATAGACATGATATGGACTCTGCCACAGAATATTTGAATCTCCTCCCCTTGATTTTGGTTAATAATTTTGCAGGTGGACAAACGCTGTCGGGCTGGGGACCTTGCCGGTGCTAAGAGATCTTCAGTAGCTGTCCGTGTCGTTTCCTTCTGTGGCGTCGGTTTGAGCATAACCGTTGGTGTCCTACTTATCATATTCCTGTAAATGAGACTGAATGATTTCACATGCAATATTTTACGTGGGGAACGTCGTAAAAGGCAGTGCAATGTTTATAGCTGTTTTGTAAATGAATTTTGGTGAGAGTTTGTTTTAGGGATGTAAGTTCTCTGCAATTGCTTGATTCCTGGTTGTCACTTTTTCAAATTTGAATTATAGCGCAATTATTAAGGGGCACCATAATATTATGCGTCCGCTAGCCACCACGCGCCCGCAAATAACATAATACCCGTGGTGGCGATTGTCTACCCAGCAGGAGCAGAATGTGTATCGTCCTTTATACCAAATTTCAGGCATTTATTAATATCTTATAGTCCAGTTGAGTTGTGCAGACTGATGATGAGCATTCTACAACCGATCTGAATCGCGGCCATTTAAACCGAACCAGCCGGTCAGTCGGTCGGTCGGGTCGGTCGGATCGGCGGTCGGCCGGCCTGCCTGCCGGTCGGTCGGTCGGTCGGTCGGTCGGTCGGTCGGTTAGTAGTTTGTCTGTACTGTCAGCAAACAAATGAAAAGAAAAAGCAGCATTTTCCCAGCAATTAATTTAAAATTTGACAGAATTATACCCGGGGTATCTACAATGCATATAAGGCCGAATTTTGAAGGAAAATAACCTTTATTAGCGAACTGCAGGCGCGTCCGAGTTGTCTTAGTTGCACTGTACTGTCAGTAAAACAAACATTTTGCGTTCTTATCCAGCTTTATACTTCTATCACTATTTGACCACTTGTTACGTGAGAAGCTCGTTCTGTGAAGCTTGAGCCTAACTAATTTGGGTAGGCTTAATATTCGTAATGGCTTTTACTCAGCAATAAATTGTATCATACTCCATTACGAAATATGAAATAAAATGAAGATATTTTTACATCTTGCAGTAAGACTACTATTTTTATTTTTGTTGTAGTTGGCTATTAATGCGCGGACTTATAATAAAAAAAAAACATTTGAATGATTAAAACTGATCGAGTATCAATCATATCTTCATAGCGCTTATCAATTTTTAAAAAAAATGAAAAAGGGTATTGTTTTTCGAAGTTTGAAGGTCTTTTGATCTGAATGGGGTACTAATTTTGTCGTGGTACATTTCGGGTCCGCAGTCAGTGCATTACGCCCTCAAGTGGTGAAAATGCGAAATTATCCAAAATGGCGCTCTCCTTGGAACGTCTTTTGTCAGGAATGGAGAAAGTGTGGCACTTTGGAACAGCGCCAGCGGCTTTCTAGAATTGTAAGTGGCAGGGGAAATAGATAATATACGGGTTTTAAACGCGAAATGCTTGTCTTAAAAAAGTGATTAAAAGTGATTAGGCCTATTGGTGATTACTGATCTAGTTTCCCACTTTCTTTGAACGCAGTGGCTATTGTTACGGCAGCCGAAACGCATTTCCCATTTTCTATCGTTACGATAGACTGCAACTTTTATAAAAACATGACAAGAAAATATAAAATTAGAAGGTGAATTTGAACGTTATGAAATTTGGACTTTATTTCCCTTATAAAAAAAATCCTCCAAAGCCTCAGGTTAGAAAAGGAAAAAAATTCGAGTGCAAAACTGAGATTCAAACCCGCAACCTCGCGGTGCAAAATCTTATCCTCTAAGCTCTATCGGCTGAGCTGTCGCACTGTTCGCTAAAACGTGTGGAAACAAATAATTATATACCTGCGTGCGTATCAAAAAAGTATCGTAGAGGGCGCTAAACAGCGAGTGCCGTAACGATAGCCACTTCATTCTTTGAATTTGAAAGTAACAAAAGACATGTCTTTTGTCTTTTGTTTTTGCCATGTGATTTAGCGCAACTTGCGCATTCACTGCAATGAGTGCGCAAGTTGCACTAAATCACACGGCATCAACTGTAAAACGCGTATGAAAATCGTAATTTCTACCCCAAGAAACTGTTTTAAATTACAAATAAAAGACTGTGTCATTAGAATTGACAAAAGTCTATGGAAAGAATTCCACACAAGGCCACCAACTCGGACCTCCTGCACAAAGTATAGTATGACTATGCTATGGGCCATGGCAGAAAAAGTGAAGAGTATTTACAAGAATTTGTTGCCTCCTTAAATAGTGTTTCTTCATCAGATTTACACCTTTTGGTACTTTTCAGGTCATATTTTTTATTAAGGAACATGAGTGGTGCCCCAGTAATGGCAGTATGGAATTGTTTCCAAAAAGCTTTGGACAGCAAAGTTTTTTTTGCCAATTTAGGTGTCTTGTGCGTCCAAAATTTTGTGAAAACGGGACTTTCCATCATTTTTTCGATTGCACGAAAAATTGCACAGAATGCAGGTTCAGTTACCACTTCCCCCATAGCCTTGAATGCATTTATCTGCCGCGTTAATCCCAATTTGTTTTCTTGAATCTTGTTGTGCACATGTGCGTATTGAACTGAATATAGTCAGAGCTGAGTGAGTAGGCTATTATCTAACACTTTATACAGCCTTTTACAGGTCATGCAAGTTTCGTGCTTCATTTAAAGGGAATATACATCATTTGCTTTTGCTGTAATTTTCAGAAATGGATGGAATTGGGGGGTTGGAAATATATAGCAAATATAGTTACACTGACTTTTTTGAGGTTTTGGGTTCAAAAATGCTATAAAAACCAAGAAAAACAATCATTTTCCTGTAGTCTGGTTCCCTGACTCCATTTAAGAAGAAACAGAGCAGTTTACATACATTGGGGAATTGTAAGGTCAGGGAACCAGTCTAGCTGGCTTGTACCCGTTCATAGGTGTGTAATCAATTGCAAACAAGTGCGATGGTCAACTGGGGCCAGTATTTGAAAAAAAAGCCAGTTTTTTTCCAACGCTGATCGGCCGATCAGCGTTGGAAATTGATACAAAAATACCACTTTTCTTGAAAATGACAGTATACCAGGTGCCATGATTTTACAGGATGCTTTACACTGTCATTCACTAACAGTCCAGCAAGGTATTTCAAAACGATTTGGTAGTTTTATTTTTTGATGTTTGCAAATGTTGTATTTTCCCTTTAATAGAAATGTTTGTTAGATTCATTGAATAAATGACTACTAAATATTTATCCTACATTTTTTTTTTTTTTTTTTTTAGGTGAGCAAGAAATAAGCCTACTAGTACTATACATTGTACCAAAACTAGTAGCGTTACACAGAGTTCCCGTGCCTTGCTGCACTTTTACGGACAGCAGTCAAATCAAGGCACCATGCCAAGACTCATCAAGAAGAAGGACTCCCAGAGGATCCAAGGAAGAGAGGGAGATGACGCCTCTGAAGATGTGAGTATTAACGCCCCAACTCCTTCAAAATCCTCTTTGCCAAAGTGGAGGAATTTAGAGGATTGCTCCCTGGGGAGTATACAGCTTGATGCTGCAAAGCAGCTTAAATCAATCACAATAACCATCTCTGCCCTCACAGGTACCCATTTACTCCTGGGTGGGGAGAAGCAACGAGTGACAAAGTGCCTTGCCCAAGGGCACACGCACCATAACCCCAGGCTGAACTCGAACCCACAACCTGCAGAATTCGGGCGATTCACAATGCAGTGCGCCACCAAAAGTTTGCCATGGAGAATCCATTTTTCAAGTTTACGGTCGACAAAACACGGCCCATTTGAACGAGTGTCGGTAGACAATTTGAGCTTATTTGTTATAGACTAGGGCATAGCGTTCAGCTGCCTTACAAAAAACACCATATTGATAACAAGAAAAGAAAAGGGCCAAACAGATACTCGAATCGTACGCTTACGAAACTACTAACCGGAAAAACGAACAATTTCAAATGTCCCGCACTGCGAATTTGTCGACCATCTCCCACAATGCCCTGGAAAAAATGAACTCTCCGTGGCGAACTCTTGGTGGCGCACTGCATTGTGAATCGCCCGAATAAACTGCAAACCATAAATTCAATGCTCCAGACCACGAGGCCACGGCGCTCCACTCGATAATTAGGGTGGCATGGGTGGCTTGTGCGTAAAGCGCTCGCCTCTCACCAAGGTGACCACGGTTCGAATCCTGGCCGCGGATCGCATGTGAGTAGAGTTGTGCGTTGGTTCTCTCCTGTGCCACGAGGGTTTTTCTCCGGGCCCTCCGGTTTTGTTCCCTCCGGAAAAATCAAACACTTTCGATCTCAGGCTGTGCTCCGTGGTCATATATGGGTCGATGTGGCCGGCAGCCATAGGCGCCTTTACGTGCCAGCGGCCCGACCACGTTCTAGCCGCGTCCTTTGAAATTCAGCATATATAACAGCTGTGAGTAAGGATGATTAGCCTCCCAAATTTTTATTATTATATTATTATAATTACTACCCTCCTCCAAAATCCTCCAATACCGACTGGGTGATTTTGGACGATTGAGAAGAGTTAGGTCTAATGTCAGAAGTTTGCTCCATTTGGATTTAATCTAGTAAATCTATCCTAATGCAGTTTTCACAATTGTGAATGATTTTTACTTCCTAACTTTATAGTAATTATCAAACTAAGTAATTGCCTTCTTTGTTTATTCTCCCCAGAGTTGTTCATTTTCCGCTAAATACCTACATGTACGGCCTGCAGCCGATGTCTTGAATTCTGGAAAACTCCCTGCTGTGACGGTACAGATTTTTTTTGTGTGTAAAATATGAGGCTGTGTAGTTAGTTACAGGCTGAACTCTAACTCCCAAGTGTCTTTTACTAGGAACTGGACCAATTCCATCAAAATCCATCAATCACTGTGCATCCAATACAAAACTGTACGTGACATAATGGAATCCACCACTGATGCACTGGTTGACATTCATGGACTTGCTTCACATGGCTTTTATCACAATAGCAGTACAGGAAGCTAGGCAAAATCAATCGGATACCCCTAGCACTGCTTTAGGCCATCAGGCCCAAGTCCATCATACTCCATCAGTGTTTAATCACGCCAGGCCTCCTAGACCAAGTCCCCCCAAATCCACCAAAACGGGGGATGGATTTTGATGGAGTTGGGGTGGCTAGGGTTAAGCCTCCTGCTGTCTTACATGTAACAGTCACAGTCACAAAATCAGTCCTCTTCCCCTGCCATGTTTTTATAATTCTACAGAGGCTAAGGCAAAGTAAAAAAAAACACAAGTTTCTCGTCCCCGCCCGCTTCCTTTTTGGAGGCCGCCTGGATTTTTTAAATTATTTTTGAAAAATGCAGTAAAAACACTGAAAAAGTCCACAAATTCATCGGAAAATAAATACTTGCGAAATATGTGAGTCGCAATTTTCAGTATAGACTCTGTCGATCTCTTTGTACACCACATAATATCGACGTGTGATCGCTACCCCTGCGACAGTGCGAGCATGGCGAGTTCACAACAACTCACCCACTTGGTTCCCAGACCAAAAGATTCTGACTATTCCTGATGAATCTACGCGCCCATGGGGTCGAGGCTGAGACATGAACGTCAGGAATAATTGTCAGGTCTAGGGAACCAGACTACGTACATGTATGTCTATTGATAGTTTTAGACTACAGTCGTTTGAAAATTCAACCGGAATCTGTCTGCCGTACTGTATGCGGTAAATGCTGACATCAAAGCCAGAATACAACCGGTATGAGACTAGCTCACGCTGGAGCATGTGTTTAAAGAATTCGCTCGCGACTTTTGGCGGTTAAAGCAAATGCATCTAAAACTGTTCATTGTAGACCAATACAACTCTAATTACTAAAGGACACTGTAAATATGTTCAGTTCACTTGTCCAACTTGTCTTTCATTTTAAAAGTGTCTTTGAACAGTGGAAAGACCAACGGTTGCAGGAAATTTTAAAATGGTGGCCATCTTGAAAAAAATAAAAAAATAAAAAATTAAAAGCCCCTCTTCCTCCTATTTTTCAAAAACCCGAACGAGAAACTTTTTTTTTTTTTTTTACTCGGCCTAATACAGTCCCCAACAGATCGTATTTCTAGCAAGAAGTGTGACTAGTTAAAACCAGACAAAAGCAGGTAACCGGTATGTACAGCTGGCTTATCAATCACAGCCAGTCAATCCTGCTTTATGTAGACAAGGAGCACTCAACTGTTAAAAACAGTCACTCAATTGACTGCCGGGATGGCTTTGTGGAATTTCTCATTGGGGGTGGGGGGGGGGGGGCAATCAGGTTGCAATCGAGCCAATTATTGTTTTTGTTGAGATGGTTTCTCAAGATGTAGAACAATTTGAAACACATTTGAAAATTATCCAAATTAATACAGTCGAGTCTCGTTATAACAAACTTGTTCGGACCTAGCCAAATTGTTTGTTATATCACAATTTTGTATTAAGAGGAACATCAGTCCCATTCATTGTGCATATAAATGCACAGTTGGGACCAAGGCTTTATGTTTGTTATAACCAGAATTTTGTATTATTACAGAGTTTGTACTAACGAGAGTCGACTGTATGCATAAATGCAAAATTGGAGGGTTTTGTGGGATTGGAATGGGCAGGGGTGGTGCGGTGTTAAATAGGACAAGAGTTATTTAATTACATGACTAACTCGTTAAGAATTAATGTTCCCAGGAACTCGGGGAAGGAGAGACGGTCCAGGGAGATGGAGCGAGACCTGACGATGCTGCCGCCGTCTTGAAGAAGCGTCTTCTTCTCATGTCGGGAAAGCTCCCCGCACTGACACCGCGATCGACCCAAGAAAGCCAAGCCAATGAACCGGCGTTTCCAGACGCCCCAGATCCCCTGTTGATCAGGATCGGAGCCAAGGGGCGCGATGTCGCAGAAACGCAAACCGGAATCGGCGCGCCGAGGGCCAAGGAGCAAATCCCCGGGGGCGACGCATCCCAACTCGGTCAGAGGTGCACGGTCGAGTTGGGGGAGGAAAGCGCTAGCGGGTTCCGGCGACGGTTGTCATCGTCGGGAACCAAGCGAACGACCGTAACAACAACAGCAGCAACGACGGAAGAAAACCGAATGAGGTCACCGGGGATTCCGTCCCACCACCGAGTCGCGTTCAGCGACGCCAAGAAAGCCATGAGCGACCGTCTCTCGGGGAACGCAGGTCAAAGGTCGCAGGCGCAACGCGAGAGCATATCCGGACGGTTCAACGACAGACCGGAGAAAGAGAGCTTTTCAAAGGTACGTTGATGTTGAACTTATTTTCCGTTGCATGAAACAATGTTTTATTACCCCCAATCAGCACGCCAACAATCCTGAAGTCTTGCCTCTTTTGACATGCCCAAGAGCAGTCGTTCGCTACTTATAACTATTTGTATTTACTTCTATTATATTTATTACTGGTAATGAAACCAAGATTCCTTTAAAGTGCCCTAGGCACTGTAGCTCGCAAGCCTGAAGAAACCTATAGAGAGGAGACAGTTAGAAGAAATGACAGTTTTAGAGGTGGGAGGAAAACCGTAGAAGAATATTCTGAGGAAACCCACGGAATCAGGTAGGGACTGAAAACCTAATCCACTTGTGGTCCGGGTGGGAATCGAACCCGGCCATAGCTGTGGAAGGAAATTAACGCTACGCCAACCCGACTTCCTCTTAACCCTAACCGAACTCAACCCATCAAAGCCTAACAGCAGGTGTTGTTGAAAGCTGTTAGGATAGGTGCAGTACCCCTAAACTGATGGTCTTTTACATTGGGTTTGGCGTACCTCCAGAAACTGAGTCCAACAGTGTGTGTGTACGATTTCCCATGTGGGTGTTGAAATTTGCCTGGATGGGTATGGTTCGTAGTAAATTATGCTAGGGAGTTGGGGTTAAGATACCTTTGCCCATATTGAGCCTCAAACTACATGTAAATGAAGCCTTAGTCACCGCATATATTTCCTTTGTGGATGCATGGGAAATTGAGGTAAACTATCCTGCATAGTGACACCGACCCCATAATCCCATTAACCAAGCACAAAGAATATTCTCTTAACAGAACAGGTTACCAGCCAAAACGTAATATGTTTATTGCTCGTGACTGGTACCGGTCCGATATGTGCGAAGTAATACATCCTGCAAACCAACTCTGTGAAATTTGGCAATGCTTATTAATCTGCGTTCCTGTTTTTTCCCCCGAATTTGTTTACTATTCTCACAGATGAAGATACTGGCGTTGAACGAAAGCAGCAGTGATGACAGCGAGTCCGAGGTTGAAATGGAAATCAGCAAAGAAGCCCAGGTCTGTTTGTTCGTCTTGTTGGAGGCTCCTAAAAATATAACGCATGATTTTGAGCTTGACCCCGAATAGAACATTGAACTACAAAAACCGCCAACGGTTGAGTTATCAAATTGTGTCATTACAAAATTTGAATTATTTATGGCTCGACAATAATTCGGCTCTTGTAGGGCAGTTTCATTTGTGCACTTTTCTAGCCCGTTGCAGAAACCCATAATTGGGAAAAAGAGTATTCTATTCAAACAATTTGATATATTTTGTAAGGAGAAATACATAATTTTTTTTCTGTAAGAGCACCGGGCATCATCTTTAGCCGTGGTACAGCCATAGTGTGTCTAACATGCTATAATTTTGAAACAGGATTCTGGCATAGAATTTGGTACATACATACGATGGCAATGACAATGTTTTCTTGGTTTTTGTTTAAAGGGAATGTACATCATTGGCTTTTGCTGTAATTTTCAGAAATGAACTATTTGAGGGGTTAGTATAATAGATCAAATTATTGTTACACTGACATGTTTGAAGTTTTGTGTTCGAAAATGCTTGAAAAACCAAGAAAAACAAAAATGTTTAAGTAGTCTGGTTCCCTGACTCCACTAAAGATAAAATGGATCAATTTATAGATGTCGGAAAATTGTAAGGTAAGGGAACCAGTCCAGCTGGCCTGCACCCGTTCAAGCACATGTAACCAAAAGCAAACAAAATTTGGACTGAAAAAAAATTGTTAATTTGGAGCTGTAGTTCAAAAATAGTTAGGTTTTTCCAACGGTGGTCGGCCGACCATCGTTGGAAATGTATACAAAAATACCATTTTCTTGAAAATGACTTGACACCAGGTGCCATAATTTTACAGGATGCTTTAGACTGTCATTTACCAACATCCTAGTAAGGTATTTTGTAAAAACTTGGTAGGTTTATTTTTCGATGATTGCAAATGTTGTATATTCCCTTTAAAGGAAGCCGAGGCCTACAGCTTGTACAACAAAGCCCTGGACCTGCAGCGTGCGAAAAACAACGCAGAGGCAGAGTCCACGTATCAACAGCTGTTGAGCATCCCGCTACTAGCAGAGGTGAGATGCAAACAGATTGGCAATTCAATGGCCTCTAGAGGGCGCTACTTGTGAACACTTGTGAACACCACGGAAGGGTTCGATCATACCAATCTCTATGTACTGACCAGATTTTGCATGTGCCCAACCCCGTGCACAAACAAGCGAAGCCTTGGCGAGTCACTGTTTTGGTCCCACCAATATGGTGGCCGCTACTTTCAACTGTTGCAGTTCAGGGCCATGGATTTGACACCGACATGAAGTTTTAGGCCCCTCAAAATGGCACCCGAGTGGCTTCACCTAATGTTCACCAACTTGGCAAACAGTCGGTCCCGATGTTGGCAACCATTAGCATTGTTTGTGCCCTGATGTAAGTGTGAGAAAGAAGCAGTATAATTCACGGTATCAAAAGGGTTACACTGGTAATTTGACAATAATCAGGCATGCATCAGAGCCGCTGATTTCCTCGTTGTTTACTTGTCATGAATGCCATTATAAATTGAAAAACACTGTACAAAGTCTTGTGTGGTTTCGAATATCCTCGTTTTTTTTCATAAAGATATAGTCCATCATTTGTAATTTGTGCATTTTGTTCGTTTGAAGCAACAAAAGTGTTCCAAATCTAATGAAGGATACTGAACAACTAACCTGATGAAGTTTCAGCTCAGCTTCAGCTGTAGAGTCCGAGTAAAACAGCATTCTAGGATCTCAATTTCAAATAAAAAGTTGCTCAATCATGTTTTGAATTGAGCCGGTTGCAGCTATACGCGATGTCTCGCACTGATCCGACGAATTATAGCAACCGCGCGCATCTGTGCGTCGTTCCAATGCTTGCGCGCGCTGCGCCGAATAACAAAACGAACTACTAATTTAAGTTTTCCTACGATGCGTCTTAAGACGCACCGTTGGAAAGGCCTTCTTTCGATGATAACTTCAAAATGAAAGCTTGCCAGAAAGATTAATTTCACAGGGAGTTTAGTCCACTTACTATCTTTCAACCAAGTATGTTTTTTCAACAATAATACGCCAGTTACTTTTTCGGATGACTGCAAATGATGGACTATAGCTTTAATTCTCAGTTGCATGCCCGAATGATACCAAGCTCTATCATAGCATTGTTTGTTCTGATGTGTCTTGTCTTCAGGTTGAACCTCCCGAAGACAACGAGACAATGAGAAACCCAGGACTGATGCTGAAATACTTGACTTACAAGAACCTTGGCAGCATGGCGTACCAGAAGAAGGATCTCAACGCGGCCATGGAGCACTACTTGGAGGTATTAAGGAAAAGTCCGTACAGGGTTCCTACAGTCACAGAAATATCCTGGACAAATCCTGGAAAAATCCTGGAAAAATCCTGGAAAAATCCTAGAAAAATCCTGGAAAAATCCTGGAAAATCCTGGAATTCGGGCGATTCACAATGCAGGGCGCCACCAAGAGTTTGCCATGGAGAGTCCATTTTTCAAGTTTACGGTCCACAAAACACGGCCCATTTGAATGAGTGTCAGTAGACAACTTGAGCTAATTTGTAATAGATTGGGGCGTAGCGTTCTGCCGCCTTACAAAAAAACACCATTTCAATAAAAAGAAAAGGGCAAACATATACTCGAATCATACAGTTACGAAACTACTGACAGGAAAAACTAACAATTTCAAATGTCCCGTGCTGCGAACTTTTCAACTATCTCCCACAATGCACTGGGAAAACGAACTCTCCATGGCAAACTCTTGGTGGCGCACTGCATTGTGAATCGCCCGAATTGAAAGCCATCACGGAAAGTCACGGCAAAATCACAGATTTTACAAGGGGTCATGGAGAGTTTATATATCCGAAGAAAAAATTGTCATGGAATCCTGCTGAACCCATTCTTGATGATGCGTTGCAACTGGCTCTGCCAGTATTTCAGTTTGCATTCAAGTTTACTATACTTCCTCTTTATGCATGTACATTGTGTGCTCTATGGGCTCCGTGCGCCAACAAAAGAGGGCGCCCTTTTACATAGCAACGACGTCCCATGGGCGGGACACAAACATTTTGCTCGTTAATTGATGTGCGCGCACTGTTCCTTGTGTGTGACGCACTTACATACACCAGGGGATTTGTACTATGCACACTACACGCGCAGCGCAGTGGCTGCGTTTCGCGGCAAAATATTGCAGTCGGGCAAGATGGCGTGGTTCGGTCACCCCCAAGTGTACTTTCTTTGCTGGTGAAGGGGTACTTGTGAACGGAGCGGATACTTCTTGCATGTTCAATGCACCATTGTGATGCTTTGTGGTGCTCAGTGGTCTTGTGTCAAACTGGAAGGCTGAAATGGAGTGGTATCCCTTGCCTTAGTGTGATGACTGGCCAGTGTATTGTAAATAGGCTCCTAAGATGCCAAAAAAAAAAATCTAGGGTAGTTTTAAGGTGGCGTTCAGACTAAATGTATCCTTGGGTTTTTTTTTCCCTAGGCTGTAGCTTATGATGAGACCGATGTGACAGTGTGGTACAGGATCGGCACAATGGCCGTCATCCTCTACCAACTACCACTGGCCCGGCTAAGCTTCATGCAGGCCTTAAAATGTAGCCCAAAACACTGGCCTAGTCTGGACAATCTATGCACTGTGCAGTACGCGCTCAACGACTACGCAGGTAGGTGTAGTGGGAGTGTGGCTTAGTTGTAAGAGCTTGTGGTTCATGATCAGAGGGGCTGGGGTTCGAATCCTGCTGCTGGGCATATGTTGTGTCCTTGGGCACCCCATTTTACCATAAGATATCTATGCACTTTAAGTAACAAGCCTATTTATGGAGAGGGAGTGTGGCCTAGTGGTTAAGGCTTTTGGCTCATGATCAGAGGGGATAGGGTTCGAAACCTGCTGCTGGGCATATGTTGTGTCCTTGGGCAAGCCATTTTACCATAAGATTACCATGCACTTTAAGTAACAAGCCTATTTATGGAGAGGGAGTGTGGCCTAGTGGTTTGAGGCTTTTGGCTCATGATCAGAGGGATGGGGGTTCGAATCCCTCTGCTGGGCCATATGTTGTGTCCTTGGGCATTCCATTTTACCAGGAGAGGACTATGTAAGAATATGTGATTGGCAAGCCTAGTTCTGTAAGGGGAATTTGGCTATGTTGGTAAGGGCTTGTGACTCATGACCAGAGGGGCTGTGGTTCGAAGCCTGCTGCTGGCCACATGTTGTGTCCTTGGGCAAGCCACTCTACCATGAGGCATCTATGCAAGTAAGTGACAAGCCTACATTAGGAGGGGCAGTGTGGCCTAGTGGTAAGGGCTTGTGACTCAAGGTCAGAGGGTCAAGGGTTCAAATCCTACCGCTGACCACATGGTGTGTCTTTGGGCAATCCTCTTTACCATGTTTACTCAGACTTACTTCTTTTTAAAAAAATCCTTTTTCATTTTCAGGTTGTTTGTACTACATATGCCAAGCTTTGGAGCGGGATCGCAAGTACATAAAAGGTACACTTACTTTTGCTGGGAACTTTTCTCTATCCCCATGAAAAATTCCATACATATAGTGGCAAACCTTCCTAAATCCTACAAAAACCTTCAAAACCCTGTTGTTTTAGACATATGGTTACATTTAATATTTCTCAAACAAGTGTTGGTTGAGTTTTGAATTTGAAGTGTTGATCATTTTGTTTTTTCCAGGAGTAGTTCTGAGAGAGAAAATGTTCAAGGACCAACCCTCACTGAGGAAAGACAGTTACAACTTGTTTAAGAATTGGTATGTATTAATTATCAGAATTCTTTTAAATGTTCCACAGAAATTACAGAAAGAATTTCCTTGTAATCTTGAGGCAGTTTTGAATACATTAACATGGCGTAAACAGGACAAGAATGTCTGCCAATAACGTTTTACCTGTGTACAGAATTGGCTGCATATACATTTGTATTTTGTATATTTTTTCGACAGAAACCACAGAAAAAGGAATCTTCTAGTAACCTTGAAGCATTTTTGAAATAAATAAACACAGCAAAAACAGGTCAAATCACAAGTGCATCACAAGTCAAATTACAAGTCAGTCACAAGTCATGTCATAAGTCAATCATAAGTTAGTCATAAGGCAGTCACAAGTCAATCACAAGTCTAATCATAAATCAATCACAACTGAAATCGTAAGTCAATCACTACTTCAATCATAAGTCAATCATAAGCAGTCACAATCCAATCACAAGCCGACCACAAAGTCAATTGCAATTCAAATCACAAGTCGGCTCACAGGTAACAGGGTATGAATATTGACAAAGGAATGGTTTGTTGGGATTTGTTTGAATAGATTGTGGCTTGAGAATGATGACTTTTTATAGACTTGTGATGGACTTGTGACTGACTTGTGATTTGGCTTGTGATTGGACTTGTGATGGACTTGTGATGGACTTGTGATTGACTTGTGATGAACTTGTGATGAACTTGTGATGGACTTGTGATAAAGTTGTGATTGACTTGTGATTGACTTGTGATTGACTTGTGATAAACTTGTGATTGACTTGTGATTGACTTGTTATTGACTTGTGATGACTTGCGATGGACTTGTGATGGACTTGTGATGGACTTGTGATGGACTTGTGATTGACTTGTTATTGACTTGTGATGACTTGTGATGACTTGTGATTGACTTGTGATTGACTTGTGATGGACTTGTGATGGACTTGTGATTGACTTGTGATGGACTTGTGATTGACTTGTTATTGACTTGTGATGACTTGTGATTGACTTGTTACAGACTTGTGATTGACTTGTGATTGACTTTAACAATACAGTCATCTTTGTGTCATTGTGTTCCGCAGTCAAGACGCCATTCATCCATCACAGATAGACAAATCGGAGGCACAAAAGGTGAGCCAAGTTTCAATTTTTATGTTTGTTTTGTTTTATTTGTTGATTATGTTATATTAAGAAGACTGTACATGTACTTCATTTAGCCCCAAGTTATTCAAACTGCCTCGTAATTGTGGAAGTATCTCACTGAAAACCATCGTTTAAAAAGCTCCATTTGTTGAAAGCCTTGTATTGTATGTGTACTGCAGACTCTCAAAATACTGTTAGTAAAACAATCAAACACGCTACATTTTGGCAAACTGTGGGCGAATGTGTGCCTTTAAAAACTAAACTAACAGTTGAAAATGTTGACAGTTATAGCCGTTTTTTGCCCCTTTCTCCAACCCTCTGAAAAAAAAAAATTTTGTTTTGGGCACAAGCCAACCTCGTCCCCAGTGCTTACTTTATTTCCAACCGCGTTTCCAATAGTAAACCCTGGATAGGAAACTGTCTTCCTGTATCCTGATTCGATACCTCAGTTGGCTAGAAATGGATGTTATCGTGTACTTGGTGTTGTTATTCACAACGTGCAGTACGTGTTTTCGCGATCATTCGTCCACGCCTTCTCGAAAATACTCATTTCCTTTCCAATTTGTTCATATTAACATGAAATGTGATACTGCATGTTGTTTCGATAAAATCGTAACAGTTTAATTGAATAAATCGTATTTTCGTAACTCACGCCGTGCTCGCGCTGCGACGAATTGACTCTGTTTTTACCCCAGACACCGCATACAAAAACAAGCGCTAATGTAACGCACATGCAGGCACCAGACTAGTCCTCATTTGCATACGTGTTCAAAAATCTTGCACATGCAAATGATCCAATACTAGGGTGAGAGAGCAGCTAGTGGTGGGTGGGTATTGCTCGACACCCTGGGGACGAGGTTGGGCACAAACAGATCCGCTTTGCGAGCAGACTGGCTCCCGGTCTGTACATTATGGATACTGGTTGTGGGTCGGGAACCAGCCTACCTTGTTAGAACAGAATTATTGTCTGGCAGCCAATAACTTGAAATTGTAAAGTTTTAATTCAATAATCATGGGCCAAATTTTCTTTTTTGGTTGATATCGCAATCGACTCAATCAATAACTTTTGTATTGCTAGAGAAATACTTTTAAAGAGGAAATCATTTCTCGAATATAGCAATTGGAGTTCAACTTTAAGGCCAAAAAAAAAAATAGTCGGTCTCTGGTCATACCGAATTTCCGGAATTGATGCGGCGACACGGTTTTTTTTTTTTTGCTAGCTTTTTTTTTTCAAGCTTGTATTGTACAGACAAGGTGGGTACTATTTTGCTTTTTTGTGTCCTCATTATACATTGGTGTCCTCCATAATTTGCCTTGGTGCCCTTAATCATTTGCCTTGGTGCAGTTTCCCCATTCTTTGGTGCTCCTTGGTACAAAAATTTGATGAGACGCGGCAATAGAGGGTGCTGTTGTAGCTTCCGTGTTAATTTGAAGAAAAAAAAAAAGTTGACGCGCATGATTAAAATTGACACGCGCGCTGACCAGAGACCGAGTATTTTTTTTTTGGCCTAATAATAGAATGAACTTTCCAATCGAAATCAGGACACCTCGTCATTGCATGCTTTTTTATTTCCGATTCAACAGATTATCAAGGAAGCTCTGTCCCTGCGAAAGGAGAGACGTGCACTGGGAAGGCGGGAACCCAGACCGCTGGTCAAGTTCCTGACTCCGTTTTCCTCCTTCGCATCGTTCACGTGAGTATTAAACGAGCACCAGACTTTAAATGATGACATTGACCGCCCTTTTTCAAAGCTCAGCTTCGTTTCCGAATTCGCTTTTATATCACTTAAAGCTTTTAATGTTCGGATCAAATTTCTCAAAAAACATTACCTGTTTCATATGTCATACAGTTTGATATTTGTGTAAGAAAACATTGACGAAGGTTGACCCGTAATCTTAGAAACTAGGGACCCAAATATCATCTTCGCAGGCCAAGCCAAAATGGGCACCAGGCCGAGTTTGGAAAATCCCAGTAACCGTCGCCTGACTCAAATACGCAGCAAAGCTCGCCCCTCGTACAATTCTAGTACAAAATTGTCATTGAATTTTAAGTTTCTTGATGCAATTTATAATGTATCAAAAAAAATTATTGAGCAAGGTAATAAAATAAAACCTATTTTATACCCAATTAATTATCCGGGGGCGCTATCTGAGATGTTGACGAAATACCCTTGGCAAACTTCGGTCATTTTCGGAAACGTGAGGCATTCCTCCCGTTTTAGTCACGTGACGTATGTATCCATTCTTGGTGTTACAATGTATTACCAGCAGCTATAAGATTCAGCAGAAATAGTCAGAGTCTTTTGGTCTGTGAACCAGACTATTTTCCCGCTAAGCATATCTGTTCTATGCTTGTTTATGTGTTTGTTCTTAGGTGGAAGGGACTTGGTGAACGACTGGTCGCCCTCTATGATCACCTTGTTAATAGTTCCCCTCCGCTGGTAAGTCAGTTTTTATTTTGTTTTATTAGATAGATGCACAGATTGTCTAAGTTGGAATTACTACGGACGTATGTTTGTTGTTGTTCATGGCCACAACAACATGTATGTTGTGTCCTTGGGCAAGCCACTTTACCCCAACCTGCCTCTCTTCACCTCGTGGGTGTAAATGGGTACACCTCGGGGGGTAAATATGGGTACAGGCATTTGTTGGGGAGTAACCTGCATCCCATCCAGGGGGAATAGAAATATTCTCTGTCATTTCATGCCAAGGAAACTTGAGATGAACAGCAGCCTGGTGAACCTTATTGCCAAGAGGCAGATTTTAATTTGTATTATATTTTTATTAACCCTAACCAGCCTGGATCCTTCAAAATCCTCTTTGCCAAAGTGGAGGAATTTGGAGGATTGAGGTTACATGGCAAAAGTGAGTTACTGATTTCTTAGGATGCACTTTGACAACTACGAAATCAGTAACGTACTTTAAAAACAACACAAGGTCTGGCCCAAGACCTTGACAAGGTCTTGCGCCGGACCTTGTGTTGTTTTTGCTCAGCCGTGCATAAATATAGGCCTGGATTATGCTTGAAATCCTCCGTACTGCTCCAGGATGCCACTGGCCAAGCCTCAACATACTGACAGTCACTGCCGCAGGATTTGGCAGGATACAGGCAATGGTCACCCCTCCATGGACTATATCCAAGAAATAATGGAGGAATTTGCAGGATTGAGGCTATATGCTATTTTTTCCATGAAGTCAGTTGGAGGATTTTGCAGGATTGAGGCTACATCCTAGCAAAAAGGCCTAGGGAGTTAGGGTTAATTATTTTGATACAATTTATTTGAACACACCATCTTTAATGATTTCATTCTACCCAGAGTTTGTGCTGCAAAATTGATATGAGCGAGTTTGTCCAGCATCCTGAGGATCAGGAGCCTAAGGCAGCAGAAGAGACCCAGGTCACACCAGTGGACGCACCCCACGACACTCCAATGGACACGACCGAGAACACACCCCAGGACAATACCCAGAGCAAATCGTGTGCTACTGAAAGCAAGGCTGTGTCGGGAGGTGAAGATATACAGCAAAGTTCCGGAGACAATGAAGAATCCAGATTACTGGAAAGCCAGGAGCAGAACCCACAGCAAACCCTGAAAGAAACCCTGCCACGGACCCCACAGCAGACCCAGGAACCAACCCTGCAACAAACCCCGCAAGCAACTCCGCAGATGACACCTCAACAGACCCAGGAGCAGACTCTACAGCAGACAGCATCGCAAACACCTCAAGAGATGCCACAGGAAACCCCAAAGAACACCCCAATGGAGACATCCCAGCAGACCCCACAACAGACCCAGGAGCAGACCCCACAGCAGACCCCAGGGGCAAGCAGCGATATGGAAGGTAGGTCAACACAATGAAAATAGCTGTTACATTATATCTTTATTTCTTTGATTAAAATCCACAAAACCACTCCCCTTTATTTTTTGTGTCGCGTAAACAAAGTTTTGGGAGACACTAACTAGTCCTTAATTTTGCATGTCCGTAGACCCGTATTTTAAAGGGAAAATACAACATTTGCAAACATCGACAAATGAAACTACCAAGGTTTTACAAAACACCTTACTAGGAATTTGGTAAATGACAGTCTTAAGCATCCTGTAAAATAATGGCACCTGGTGTGAAGTCATTTTAAAGAAAATGGTATTTTTGTATACATTTCCAACGGTGGTCGGCCGACCACCGTTGGAAAAACCAAACTATTTTTCAACTACTGCTCCAAATTTACCTTTTTTTTCAGTCCCAATTTTCTTTGCTATTGGTAACATGTTCATGAACGGGTGCAGGCCAGCTAGACTGATTCCCTTACCGTACAATTTTCCGGCATCTATAAATTGATCCATTTCATCTTTAGTGGAGTCAGGGAACCAGACTATTTGAACATTTTTGTGTTTCTTGTTTTTTCCAGCATTTTCGAACACAGAACTTCAAACATGTCAGTGTAACAATATTTGATCTATTATACTAACCCCTCAAATACTTCATTTCTGAAAATTACAGCACAAGCCAATGATGTATATTCCCTTTAAAGTTTGAAAAATAAAGGAAAACTTCTACATGCTTTCATGGATTTTTGATGAAACATGGATGCAGACCCTTGGGTGGGAAGACACAATTCTTCATCGGATTACTGAGGTCAAAGGTCATGTACAGTCATTAGAGGTCATTGTTCAAATATGCTTCAAATATTTCTTCGTCTACAGAATTTGATGGATTGTAATGTAACTTGGCTGGAGTGATCCTTGGGTGGGGTTCATCACAAGTCTTCCAAAATTGGAGGTCAAAGGTCATCTAGGGGTCATTTGAGGTCGTTTAAAAATGCACACATTTTTTTTTAGAATACAAAACATGTAGGCATCGACTGCGGAAAAAGGCGACACATGCGGTCCGCGGACCACTTGTTTGCGAGAAACTTTCCTTAATTCGTCAAAATCCTTCACTTTCCAAGAGGGTCATAGAACAGTCTGAATACTTCAAACTGCAAGTGGCTTAATGGTCCCTCGTAAATGGCTGGTCAACGGTCCTCAATCTTACAAAATCCTACAAAAATTTCCTTACAGATATTGAAGGAGTTTTGAAGAGTTAACGTTCTTATGTTAAATGAGACAAGAGTTTTACAATTTTTACATTTGTTAATTTTAAGAAACATGAAGAGTTAATGTTCTTATGTAAAATGAGACAAGATTTTTAAAATTTTTACATTTTCAACTTCAAGAAACAATCACAATTGTACGGAGAGGATCACCATTTTGTGATTTCCTTCCTTCAGATTCTGTTGCTATGGAAACAAAACCAGTCCCCGGCAAAACCAAAGTGCGGAGGGGTCCCAAGCGGAAGCGGGAGAAGGCCATCAACCCGGTTCCCGGAAACCGACGCTCCACGCGGGTAAATTCTTTCGCGTCTTCGTGATGATTCTTTTCATCTGCAGTATGGGCCATGGGCCAAAATCTGTATCGGGTCTAGAAGTTGAGGTTCGTCTTAACTTTCGGATTCGGATACCCCCATCATAGCTTCAAGCCTTCAGGCCCAAGTCCATCATACTCCATCAATACTTATTCACGCCGGGCCTCCAGGAATCCGGTCCCCTAACATCCACCAAAATTGGGGGATGGATTTTGATGGAGTTGGGGTGGTCAGGGCTAAAGAGTGCCTAAGTTTTTTTCACGTCTTGCCTTTTTTGTTTCACAATTGACTTTTTTTCACGAATGCCCTCGTGAAAAATGGGCACTCGATACAAAATATTGGGGGGGGGGAATACCCCCCTTCCTGCCCTGGCTACGCCACTGGTGCAAGTACCTTGTGAACGGTAATTTTCCTATACTTCCCGACACTAAACCACTTTTGTTTTTGTGCAATACCGCAGGTTCGTAACACTGTGGGCAAGAAGAAAGAAGAATCTGTCAACTATCAGGAGATATTAAGGCAATTCCTGCCGTCCAGCCTTCAAGATAGGTACAAAAGACGCTACATCCTTTGCCGAACCCACTTGTAGGAGTTTGCATCATTTTTGTCTCGCCTGGACTTTTTGTCCAGGAAATGCAATCACTATGTCTGTACGTGTGGTGTTTTGGGTAAAGTTTCAACGAATTTGTCTCATTTCAAAAGTTGAAGTCCAATTGAAACAAAACTTGAATCATAGATGCAACATGGGAGGATACTTCATTGTCGCAACGTAAGATGACTTTGATGTTGGCACTTAAAACACCGACTCCTACACCTTGGCACATCATCCTGAATCCAGCACCCGACTTCTCAAACTCGCGTCGTATCTCTACGATGCGTCGCAGCTGCGACGCGTCCTGCGATCCATTTCACAAAACACGTCGTAAGTGCGACGCGTCGTAGCTGTATTTATAGCACAACTCGGTGACTGTTTAATGTATTTAGTCAGCGTACAGTAAATGGTCGTCTGATATTCGACAAAGAGTCGTCAGCTCAGCCCGAAATTTTTAAAACGTAAAACAAAATGGCGGCCGTGCGATGCAATTTTGAAGGAAAACAAGCTCTCATTGGACTGTATAGCTACTTTGAAATTTCAACGCTAATATTCCAGTCTAATTCATAATTATTCAATGAATTTTCTATTTACAACTTTACACACATTGCCTCGGTATTATAATCTCGTTTATGTAATGTTTATGGCATGAAAATGGCTTAGAAAAATTACTCTTCTTATTTTGCGATGACCACTAGACACGTCGTAACTTGTGACGTGTGTCAAGCTGTTGTCAAGGAATTATGACGCGTTCCACACATCGCAACTTTCATGAAATGGATGATACGAGGCGTCGCGAGTTGCGACGTGTTACACGTCGTAACTCAAGTTGCGACGCGTTGCAGCACTTCGTGAAATCGGGTGCTGATCCCCTTCCATCATGCCCATCTCCAACCCTACCTTCAGCCTCCCTTCTTGGCCTTAGCAGCGAGCCATAGCGGCTTCACCGTTCTAGTTTTGACATTAACCCTTTCCTTACCATGGGCGACTTTTGTCGACAAGAAGAACCCCCCTGCTGGTTCCCATGGGCGACTTTAGTCGACCAGGAAACCACACACAGAACACCCTCAGCACAGATATATTCACTACTTTTCAGAAAGGCGGCATGTTGATATGTTTGGCCGCCCATAGATCAACCATATTCGAGCTGAAAGAGTGTTTTCGGATCGTTCTAATGATGTAGTTTATTCATAGTGTTGCCATTACAAAAAAATGAGAAAAGTGCTTCAGAAGTATCCACGCACAAATTGAGGTATGGAGTGCCATTTGGTCATGTGGTGAAATGGCTTGCTGTTTGATAAATGGAACCAGATGAACAAACAGGCATAACTTTCTTAAATTTACACATATGGACTACATTTTTTACATCACATAAAAGAGTAAGGTTCAAGGAACAAACTTTACACACAACACCTATGATTTTAATCACTCCTTGGCAGTGAAAATCTGGGTGGAAAAAAATGAGTTTTGGACTAATGGTCATTTTGTTCACGCTCTAGTGATTTCCGCATGACTGAGCAAACAATTTGGTCCTGGGGAGAGCCAAGTCAACAAACAATGTGGTAATGAAAGGGTTAAAACTGGGTACCGAATTGACCATATCTTGTTCATTTTGCAGTGGTGTTGAAGATGACAGTGATGATGCCGAACGTAGGCCATCGGGTCAAACTGAGACAAATCAACAGCAGACGCTGACTTCAAACAGGACGGAAAATACAGGTATTGTAATGCTGAGGGGATATGTGTGATGCGATCAAGCTACATGAGTCTTTTGTCGACCCTGGTCATTTTTTTTTAACAGTTTTGAAAAGAGCGCAGTCTCAGCATTACTGCTGTGAAAACCGCAGGCTGATACCATCTTTAGTTCAAAATTTATGGAAGTCGGAAGACCAAGAGATGCGACAAAGTGATATGATAAAGTGGCCCTATTTTGGCCTGAATCTCCAAATGAAAGTTCCCGACAAACGACTCATTTAACTTCATCGTATCACATTTGTCGAGATCTTTCCTAATTTGACGATTTTTGTTGGGATTATTTCTGGGCATTTTTCCTGATTTCAGGATTTGGGGTTAGGATTTGTCGTCTTTTCAGGAGTTTTTGCTTAGGTTTTTTTCTAATTTCCAAAAAAAAAAATCCTTTTTTACCCCCCTGATTTCAGGAATTTTTTTCATAATTTTGAGGATTTCCTCCTGTTTTTGGTTAGGATTTGTCCTGATTTCTAGATTTGTTTGTCAGTTTTTTTACCCTAATTTCAGGAATTTTCTCCTGTTTTTCCGCTGATTTCAGAATTTTTTGTCGGGAGTTTTCCTGATTTTAAGATTTTTCTAAAGAAGCACTTTTGAAATCTGGAATTCATGACATTTTGCCATTAATTTTAAATCTATTTAGATTAAAACCAAAGGAATTGGTATTTATTTTCATCAGATCAAGACCGACCAATCCGATCCGTGGAATCAGACACCGACCAATCAGAGAAGGTCTGGCACTTCCTGGCCAAGCGACAGAGAAACAGCGGAATCATCGTGGTCCTGGATGAGTATCTACGGGAGGTGGTGACCAGACTGCAAGGCACATGGTAAGACCACAGTAAGAGAGTCCGTGACTAGACTAGTCAGTGTTTGGCACCAAGACTCATGTCCAGGTCCTGGATGAGTATCTAAGGGAGGTGGTGACCAGACTGCAAGGCACATGGTAAGACCACAGAAAGAGAGTCCGTGACTAGACTAGTCAGTGTTTGGCACCAAGACTCATGTCCAGGTCCTGGATGAGTATCTAAGGGAGGTGATGACCAGACTGGAAGGCACATGGTAAGACCACAGAAAGAGAGTTCGTGACTAGACTAGTCAGTGTTTGGCACCAAGACTCAAGTCCCGTGGTACGTGGGTCCGAACCCTGACAGGAAACACTGTGCTTGTGTTCTTGGGCTAGACACTTTACCGGAGGTGGTGACCAGACTTAAGGCACATGGTAAGACCACAGAAAGAGAGTCCGTGACTAGACTAGTCAGTGTTTGGTACCAAGACTCATATCCCGTGGTACGTGGGTCCGAACCCTGACAGGAAACATCGTGCTTGTGTTCTTGGGCTAGACACTTTGCTACAATTGCCTCTCTCCACCCAGGAGTATAAATGGGTACCTGTGAGGGTAGAGACCATATTGTGCTGATCTCGAGCTGCTGCAGAAAAAAATCGGTATTGGTCTCATGGCCTGATAAACAGGTGTAATAATTATGAAGTGCTTTGAGACCTATATAAGCACCCTTTATATAATTATTATTATCAATATTAATTTTAACGTGAACTGGTGAAATACTTGAACATCTTGCTGAATTAGAGATTTCAGGAAAATGTCCACCTTCGTATTACTTTCACCACAAACAAGTAATTTACAAAATAGGTCTTTATGGGCGTGTGGACTAGTTTGTCCTAGCTACCGGCTAGAAGTTTAAACCTTTTTGTGACCAACGTTGTCGGTTTTGGATATTTTGTCACTTCAGGCCGACAGGTCTCGCCAGCGTTTTCCTTCAAGCTTATTGCCGCTCCAGGCAACGCGTCAGCTTGCCAAACATCTTCAGGTAGGATATCAATTTATTCATTAATTCTTCAATTTTTCCCCAAAAGCTAGGCTTTTTTTCCCATGCAATTTGTGCGATAGTCGATCGTGCTACATGCCGAAATTAGACTGTTCCCTGAATCAGTTAAAATGTCTTTCGAATAAATTTTAAAAATTTGTAAGAAGTTGGTTAAAATATCGAAAAGGTGACTGACGTAATTATTGTTGAAAAACATACTTGGTTGAAAGATAGTTAGGGAAGTAAACTCCCTGTGAAATTAGTCTTTCTGGCAAGCTGTCATTTTGAAGAAATCAACGATAGAAGGCCTTTGTCCGTTAGTAGTTTGTTTTTTACAAGGCGAAGCGTGCGCAAGTGTTGAAACGACGCACATCGTGCGCAGTTGCTTTAATTCGTCGGATCAGCGCGTGACATCGCGTAGCTGCAATCGGCTCAGTGAGAACGTGTCTCGGACGCTGAATTCAGGCCCATTTCAAAACATGATTTAGCAACTTTTGATTTGCAATCGAGATCCTAGAATGCTGGTTTTTTTTGTGGGAAAAATACAGCTGAAGCTGAGCTGAAAGTTCATCAGGTTAGTTGTTCAGCACCCTTCTTAAGATTTTGAGCACTTTTGTTGCTTCAAACTAACTAAATGCACAAATTACAAATGATGGACTGTACCTTTAAACGATTGTTCTTATCCAACACAATCTACAACTTGTTTATAACGAATAGGAGAAATAGAAACTGCCCAAAAAACCACAAAGGGAAACTGATAAGGCCCATATATATTTATTGTAAAATTAAATAAAGAAATTGAGTGGAGCAGGGTTTGAACCTGCGACCTCCGGAATTCCGTACCAATGTTTTACCAACTGAGCTATCCAGCACTGTGTTGGTGGTTTCCCAGGATAACTCAGGTGTCAGAGGACGAAACTAGGAACTGCTTTCTTTTTAAGACAGGACGTGCATATATGGTTTCACATTTGGGCGTCACATTTTAAACTTTCTTTTTAAAACCAGTTCGGAGTATAGCAACGATTTTAAGACATCGACAGGCTACGTGATGTTGACGTTTGCGGAGCTCAAGCTGGACCAGCTGATCTCTGCTGGCAAGGGCACGCCGAGCGGCTCTGCCAAGAAGTAAGTCATCACACCTCCTTCAAAGACCTAAGACAGAATCTGTCATTCTCTCCCTCTGTCTGGCTGTCCTCTGGCTGTATGTAAACCCCCTAGGACCAACAGATCCTTTCAGTCCTCGGGAGTTGGGTCTTTCGTTGAAAAGGGTCCTCTGTCGTACGGTTATGTGCTTCGTCGATGGGAGAGTGTTTTATTACAGGGACAAAGGGAAAGACAAAGCATTGTCCTCGAGAGTAAAGTAAAACATGACTGTATGTGCAGAGTGTGTGTGACTCAGAGTACTGGTGACACGATTTAATTTAAAAAAAAGACGTAACTTTGGGGTACTAATCGCCCTAACTCGCAGCAGAAGCTGAGTTGTTAAAGACGCAGCTACTAGGTGGCCGAGCCGAAGGCACTGGGAGTACTGATGACATGATTTCATATATCAAATAAATAAAATTTGGGGGACAAATCATCCTTAGTCGCAGCAAAAGCTGAATTGCGAAGGGCAAAGCTACAACGTGTTCAAGTCGAAGACACTAAGAGAACTGATGACACAATTTCTTATAATAAATCAATAAAATATGTTTGGGGGCTAATTGTCCTCACGCACAGCAGAAGCTGAATGGTGCAGCTACAAGATGGTTGGGTTGAAGGCAAATAAAGGCGCCTTAGGCCCCCCAAAAAGTCTCCGGTTTCTGGTATGCGCGCGCGTCGCCGTAGCCATGCGCGTCGGCAAAATGAAAAAGTTTTTTTTCAATGAAAGATGATGTCTCAAAACCGCCAAACTTACTGGTTTGACTGGAATCCTGCTGCTGCAAAATTTTAACGTGTTTTTAGATGGGGTTATGATCGAGAATAAGCTTTATGTGGCCTCTCTGGACTCCCATATATTTTCACTAAGTTTAGTCGGGCACCATTTGCAGTCATCAGCCGACATTTGAAGCAAAAAAGTCAGGTAAAAAAAAAAAAAAAGCTGCGTCGCCGCACCACTTTTTGGACAAGCCCCATACCAGAAACCGGAGACTTTTTTTTTTTGGCCTTAGGCAACCACCATACGACCCATGTCTGGCCACAGAGCACAGCCAGATCGCAAGTGTTGATTTTTGCGGAGGGAGGAAAACCGGAGAACCCGTAGGAAAAACCCTCGTTGCACAGGAGAGAATCAAGGCACAACTCTACTGACATAATGACCCGTGCCCGGAATCGAACCAGGGCCACAGCGGTGAGACGCGAGCGCTTTATTACGCGCTGTGCCACTCATGTCACCCTTGAAACACAGCAGGTGTTTCAATACCAACATATATTCTTATTTAGGAGACTTTCCTTAAACCTTTCATTACCACATCGTTTATTGACTTGGCTCTCCCCAGGACCACATTGTTTGCTCAGTCATGCGGAAACCACTAGAGCGTGAAAAAATGAGCACGAGTCAAAAACTCACTTTTTTCAACCCAGATTTTCACTGCCAAGGAGTGATTAAAATCATAGGTGTTGTGTGTAATGTTTGTTCCTTGAACCTTACTCTTTTATGTGATGTAAAAATGAAGTCCATACGTGCAAATATAAGAAAGTTATGCCTTTTTGTTCATCTGGTCCCAATTATCAAACTGCCAGCCATTTCACCACATGACCAAATGGCACTCCATACCTCAAATTGTGCGTGGATACTTCTGAAGCACTTTTCTCGTTTTTTTGTAATGGTAACACTATGAATAAACCACACCAATAGAAAGATCCGAAAATACTCTTTCAGCTGGTGTATAGTTGATGTATGGGCGGCCAAACATATCAACATGCCGCCTTTCTGAAAAGTAGTGAATATATCTGTGTTGAGGGTGTTTTGTGTGTGGTTTCCTGGTCGACTAAGGCGAGCCATCAGATAACAGACCGTTCGGATACCGGGTCCGGTATGCTAATTTCTTTCACCCCAATCGGTATGAAGCCAGAAGCCACCCGGTCACTGAAGCGTGACGCCCCAATCGGTCCAAACTGGCGACTCAGGGTTTCACAATAGGCAACATGAATTGAAGTCTGGCCATTGTTGGAGCATTATTCAGCCCACTGGGATTACCAGCGGCAACATCTATGAAGCTCATCACAGTCATTGTTGCCTACTGGAGGATTAGGGCGTCGCAAATTGGTTCCTTTGTGATGAGCCAGAGCCAGGGTGCAGAAGCCTGGTGGAGTTAATCCAGGCCGATCGGTTACATTGCAAGGTCCCAATCCCTTCAACATACTGGGCGGGCTCAACCCCGAACGGTCCGGGGAGGGATTCTAATTTGAAGGCTCGCCTAAAGTCGCCCATGGGAACCAGCAGGGGGGTACTTCTTGTCGACAAAAGTCGCCCATGGTAAGGAAAGGGTTAACGGCATGATGCATTGTACACCTCAGGACCGATCCCAAAGCAATGGGGAAGTTCATCGACGAAGACCTGGGCTACATGCAGATGCTGACCAACTCTGGAGCCATACCGGAGGACAGATGGCGGGACTTCATCGTCCGAGGTGAGACATTGTCAAATAACGGAGAGAAAAAATTGGCAAGCGCCGTGGTCCAATGGTTACAGTGTCCGAATCATGTACAGTGGCACATGTACATAGGTTCATGTCCTGACCGGGAACATAGCCCTTGTGTTCTTGGGCAAGACACTCTACTACCATTGCACCTCTCCACCCAGGAGTATAAATGGGTACTTGTGAGGGTAGAGACCAGATTGCGCTGATCTCGAGCTGCTGCAGAAACTGGTCTCATGGCCTGATGAACAGGGGTAATAATTGTGAAGCGCTATAAGCACCGCATTATTAAAATAGAAGTGAAAGTTTATCAAAAGTCATTGGTTTAGCCAAAAAAAACAAAGTAGTCGGTCTCTGGTCAGCGCGCGTGTCGATTTTGAACATGCTCGTCAATTTTTTTTTTTCAAAATTTTCGGCGGGAGCTACAACAGCGCCCCATTGCCGCACCGCCTCAAATTTTTGTGGGCAGCTAGAACTAGGGAAAGGCAAAATGGAGGGCACCAAGGCAAATGATGGAGGACACCAAGGTATATGAGGACACAAGCAAGCAAAATAGTACCCACCTTGTCTGTACAATCCAAGCTTGAAAAAAAACAAAAAAACGGAAAAAAACCCTGCATCGTCGCATCAATTCCAGAACTTTGGTCCGACCAGAGACCAACTATTTTTTGGCCTTTTATATGTCTGGGCGTGTTTCGCTATTAGCCAAGTCAGTACCGGATGCTATCTAGTTGGATAATGCAGTGTAGCTAATTGTATTACCTCTGAGACTGATAGATTTTTGAATGAAGATTTCTGAACTTGGAATTTCAGTTCACTGGTTGAAAGCTAGATACATGACGCTGCTGGGGAAATCTGAGGATGCAATCGGCTCCTTCGACGAGGTAAGGTTGGATTTACTCCTCTTATGATCAAGTGATTTATCAATCGATTGATCAAGGGCAATTCCCGAGCTATGTAATGTCTATGACGGCTTTTTAGAGCTCAGTGAAAATAAACTTGAAAATTTATTTTTCAAATCTTACACATCCATCATTTGGTCAAGGAGATTACAGACTAGGAGGTTTGGATCATTTCTCTAAATCATAAATTAGATGTCATGGACTTACGATCATGGTTTATTGGCTCAGTCATGGACGTTACACTTCCTTTCATAAGGCTGGACTTGCCCATAATCAATCAATTGATGAATCGATCGATTGATTATTTAGAGCTATTTGATCAGTGTGATCAATTCGGTCAATTCGATCAACTCGATCATATATTTCACTTCTTGTTAATGGTTGTCTGTAAATTCCTGTGCACTTGTTAGTGTATTTATCTAGAGGGCATCTGTCTGTTTGTCTGTTGTGCAACTGTTGTTTGTCTGTGTGTTGTTCAGTTTTCAGCCTGTCCCTGCAGCAAATGTTTAGTTTTTTTCTTGCTCTCAGTGCACAGACATTCTGAGTGAACCTCGACCAGATGGCGATGATACAGAGAGAGTTATCATCTTACCAAACTGCAAAGTGGATAACAGAATCACTGTCGGTAAGAAGAAACTTCATTTCAATTTTGATTTTTACTGGAATTTTTTCAAGTTGACGAATTAAGTGGGTTTTTTTTTATCACAAATAATATCACAACTCACATCAGGTAACTGAGGATGAATGGTGAATAGCTTGTAACTTGACTTGAGTGTCTTTGAATTTGATCGACTTGTGAGGACTTGCAAGGGCTTGTGACTGACTTGTGAGGACTTGTGAGGACTTGTGAGAGACCTGTGAGGACTTGTGATTGAATTGTGAGGACTTGTAGGGACGTGTGACTGACATGTGAGGACCTGTGATGACTTGTGATGACTTGTGGGGACTTTTGAGGACTTGTGACTGACATGTAAGGACTTGTGACTGACTTGTGAGGACTTGTGATGACTTGTGATGACTTGTGGGGACTTTTGAGGACTTGTGACTGACATGTAAAGACTTGTCACTGACTTGTGAGGACTTGTGACTGACTAGTGAGGACTTGTGATTGACTTGTGAGGACTTGTGACTGACATGTGAGGACTTGTGATTGACCTGTGAGGACTTGTGAGGACTTGTGACTGACATGTGAGGACCTGTGATGACTTGTGATGACTTGTGGGGACTTTTGAGGACTTGTGACTGACATGTAAGGACTTGTGACTGACATGTAAGGACTTGTGACTGACTTGTGAGGACTTGTGACTGACTTGTGAGGACTTGTGACTGACTAGTAAGGACTTTTAACTGACTAGTGAGGACTTGTGACTGACTAGTGAGGACTTGTAACTGACTAGTGAGGACTTGTGATGGACTTGTGGGCACATATGAAGATTTGCGAGGACTTGTGAGAACCTGCGAAGGCTTGTGAGGACTTATGATAACCTGTCATGACTTGTGAGTACCTGTGAGGACTTGTGTTGACCTGTGAGGACTTGATCACATGCTTGCGAATAAACCCTTTTTTGTCCATCTCAGACCTGATCAAGGAGCAGCTGAAGTCCACCCAGCACAGCCAGTCCCTGGAGGAAGTCCAGCGCTTCTACGATGCCGACAACTACGAGCGTGTGACAACACTTCTCCTCCCGACGCTCCAGGACGCTGCCGTGGCGTCCAGCAGGAGGCTGCTCAAGGAAGGAGCTACGCCCCAGAGGCCATCGCAGCTCTTGCTCCTGCATCGATCCCTGCTCAAGCTGAATGATTATAAGGTAGCGTTTGGGGTTGGAAAGGACAATGACAATGACAGTTATAGCTAGCTTGATGACACCAACACATGCCACACCGCTGTCCGATCACTTGCGCTTTCCAGAATCGATTATTGCAACTCTCTCCTCAATGGCATAAATCAGTATGAGGTTGATCAACTCCAACGGCTTCAAAACAATGCCGCTCGTATCACATTATCTCAACCCAAATACACACATGCCTCTCCACTCCTTCAACAATTACATTGGTTACCAGTTAGACAACGCATCAACTTCAAAACAGCAGTTTTCATGCACAAAGCACTTCATGACACAATGCCGCAGTACATAATGGGATCACTCAACCTTAATGCACCCAGCTGTAGTGGCCTCCGCTCCAGTAACAACCTTAGAGTTCCACGCACATTCAAAAAGGCAGGGGACAGGGCCTTCTCAGTGTCTGGTCCCCGATGATGGAATTCTTTGTCACACAACATCCGCAACATCAGTTCTCTTGACAATTTTAAGGGCAGACTGGAAACTGATCTGTTCTGTCTACGTATTACTTTGTCTCCTGGAGTTGTCCTTAGTCGTGCATTGTATCGCGCGAAAAATGCACGCTATAAATCGTGTTATTACTACTATTACTGTAATAGGGGGACAGGTTTTGCGAACTCCGTCCACAATAGGGCGATACACCTTATTGAGGCGACAAAATAACTGTCGCCCTTTTATGAAAACGACCCTTAGGACAAGGAATTTTGCTGTCGCTAACCATCTAGATCGATTCCTCATGGTCCAATTAGTATAAATACTAAATTTCGTGGAAAAAACATAAGGTAAACTTGGGTTAGGTGACAGTTTAGGTTTGTGCACAAGTCTATGGGAAAGTCACCCTATTGGGGCGAAAAGAGTAATTATTATTTTTATTATTATTAATATAATAATAATAATAATAATTTGGGAGGCTAATCATCCTTACTCGCAGCTGGTATGCTGAATTGCAAAGAACGCGGCTACAACGTGGTCGGGCCGCTGGCACGTAAAGGCGCCTATGGCTGCCGGCCACATCGACCCATATATGACCACGGAGCACAGCCTGAGATCGAAAGTGTTTGATTTTTTCCGGAGGGAGGAAAACCGGAGGGCCCGGAGAAAAACCCTCGTGGCACAGGAGAGAACCAACGCACACCTCTACTCGCATGCGATCTGCGGCCAGGATTCGAACCGTGGTCACCTTGGTGAGAGGCGAGCGCTTTACGCACAAGCCGCCCATGCCACCCTAATAGTTGCGGTGATGTAACCCATAACTATTGTCTGTATATTCCTGACAGCAATGCGTCATCTGTGGCGCTGCAAGCATCTGCGAAGCACTTCAAGAGGTCGCCGTCGCTAAAACAACACCGCTCCGAGACGAATGGATCGATGTCACCATGGAGCTGTTTACCATCTTTGACAAGTGAGCCATGGTGTGAGATAATAATGACACTTAGAGCGCCCTCTGTTGATGGGTTGTGGCAGGCAAAGTGGCAGGCAGATGCTTTATACTTTTATTTATCGTGAAAATTTTGAATACATCTGCATTAACGATCTCTCAGCATCAAATTCCTTCAACTTATTGACTTTAGGTTTTCATTGTATTTTCACAGTATGTTGTGTCATGAATAAGGAAATACTGAAAAATGTCATATAAAAGGACCAAAAAAAAAATCTGTAAGCAAAAATATGGTATTAAAGCTATATTTGTTATTTCTAATGAAGATTTTGTAAAATGCCTTTATGGACTTGCAAATAATTTCCACCGTCTAGGAAAATGTTATAAAAAAAAAACAATTCTGTCAAAACTTGAACAATTCTGTCTGACAACTTTTCAAATTTAACATGAGCAAAATCTTAACGGTGATTTTGTTGATTCTACAGGGCTCTCTGCCAAGACGTGGGCAGCTTGAAGCAGTTAGAGCGCCCCCTACGCGTCCGGTTGACCAGCGCGATCATCAGCGCGGTGGAGCTGTGCATGGACACGGACAGCAACTTCCCGCAGGACGTTCTGCCGTGGGTCGTCCTGTACAGACTCATCAAACAGTGAGTGAAACCATTGAGAGGCAATTGTAGTAAAGTGTCTTGCCCAAGAACACATGCAAATATATTGCTATTGCAGTATTAATGTGGGGCATTAATAGTGCTTTGCACCAACGTCTCAAAACGTGTCGGAATTATTACACCTATTCCTCAGGCCATGAGACCATTTGTTTCTGCAGTAGCTCGAAATCATTGCAGTATGGACTCTACCTTCACAGGTACCCATTTATACTCCTGGGTGGAGAGAGGCAATTGTAGTAAAGTGTCTTGCCCAAGAACACAAGCACCATGTCCCAGTCAGGGTTTGTGCCCACGTACCGCTACACTCGAGCCGAACACTGCAAATTAATCATGAAATACTATTATATATCATGAAATGCTGTATATCATGAAATACTATTTGAAATACTATATGAAATACACTATGAAATACTTCTATTGAATTAATCAAATTTTAAAATTCTAAATTTTAAAACGTTTATCATTCAAATTTATCGTTTCTAATGTTCAAATTCGTCCACCAACATCGACTTAGTGCACTTCCAATGTTTCATTTTGTCTTTTGTCGGACAATTTCAAATCCAGTTCAAGCAAATTCAATGGGCACACGTTTTCGTCCCAGAGTATTCATTTTCGTCTCGTCTATGCCAAATCTTGGTATTCAGAAATCAATTCCGTCTAATTGATTAATATAGGATGAATTTGATCTCTGAATGCTGCCATTTGGCAACAGCTTAGACGAATTTGATCTGTAATGACGAATATTTTCGACCCGGTGACTAAAGAAGGTGACCAAACTTTAAAATTGAATGGTAAACGACTAAATTGGTTTTGGTATTAAAAGCTTATGAGATATTATTTGTGAACGAAATTCAATGTTTGAGTTACTGATTTTGACTGAAAAATCTTTTTCAAATAGCGAGGAAAACCTATAGGAACGTTTTGTTGAGATTCACTCAAATATACTACAAGATATTCGGTAATAAGTATGATCAGCTACAAATTGATTTTTTTTTGGTGTAGCGAGGAGGATCAGCTTGCAACCATGGCAACCCAAGATGGCGGAGGGAGGCCCAGCACTCCCATGATTCCCTCCTCCCTCATGCTGCTGGACACGGCGCACGATTACCTGGGCCGGTGAGCTTCTCTCAGTTTACTCTCAAAACAAAGACTTGAACATGCTTTCTTGAAGGCAGAACATTAAAGGGAATATACAACATTTGCAAACATCGAAAATAAAAGTAACAAGCTTTTACGAAATACCTTACTAGGATGTTGGTAAATGACAGTCTTAAGCATCCTGTAAAATTATGGCACCTGGTGTGAAGTCATTTTCACGAAAATGGTATTTTTGCATACATTTCCAACGGTGGTCGGCCGACCACCGTTGGAAAAAACCTTACTATTTTTCAACTACTGCTCCAACTTTACACTTTTTTCAGTCCAAATTTTGTTTGCTATTGGTTACATGTTCATGAACGGGTGCAGGCCAGCTAGACTGGTTCCCTTACCCTACAATTTTCCGGCATCTATAAATTGATCCATTTTATCTTTAGTGGAGTCAAGGAACCAGACTACTTGAACATTCTTGTTTTTCTTGGTTTTTCCAGCATTTTCGAACACAAAACTTCAAACATGTCAGTGTAACAATATTTTATCTATTGTACTAACCCCTCAAATAGTTCATTTCTGAAAATTACAGCAAAAGCCAATGATGTACATTCCCTTTAACAAGGCGTTCTGGCAGAATGAGACAGAACTGGGCAGAGGTTGAAATGAGGGTTTGTGGGTATTAGGAAAGAGAATAAGATTCTCCTTACAATACTGTTTGTTGCACTTCAATTGGACATTCCGTTGACAAGTTATGGCTGTTCATAGTTCGCATTTATCAACACGTCAAAAAAGTAAAATATTGAGAAAAAAACCTGTAAAGTTTTCTCTCAAAACCATCAGTCGTTCCTGGTGCTGCAACTCCAACGGAGCGTTCCTCCGGCTCTACATCTCGGTGCTGAGCCGCGAGATCGCCATGGGAAAGGAGGAGGACCCGCATCCGTTCCTTAGCGACCTGCAGTACTCGCTGGAGCAGTGCTTCTTCTGTCTCAACGGACACCCGAGCAAGAAGACCAAAGCGCGGCATCTCCAAGATCACGGCGTGGAGGAAGTAAGAATTCGCTGTACTTTTCCAGGGCTCGAATTTCGGGTCTCAACATCTACATGTCTAAGAGCTCACAAATGTTACTAAATGTTAATTTTTTTGTGAGAAAAAATAAAGTACGTTTAGTCAACAACTTATGGCTCGTCAGGCCGGTGTTATCTCCAGTTTTCTTGGCATGAAACAACTGGGAATAATTCTATCCTGGATGGGATGCTAGTTCATCGCAGGTTACTGCTCAGCTATCAACCCTAACTCCCTAGCATGATTTACTAGGAACCGTACCCATCCTGGCAAATTCCAACACCACCGTTTGTTTGGAATTTTCACTTGGAGATTCAGGCCAAAATAGGGCCACTTCATCACATCACTTCATCACATCTCTTGGTGTTCCGACTTCCATAATTTATTAACTAAAGATGGTATCAGCATGCGGTTTTCACAGCAGTAATGCTGAGATTGTGCTCTTTACAAATCTGTAAAAATAAAATATTAACCAGGGTCGACAAATGACTCATGGCTTGATCTCATCATGGGAAACTGCACACACAGTTTTCTGACTTTGATTCTGGAGGTGTGCCAACCCCATGTAAAAGACTGTCAGTTTAGGGGTACTGTACCCATCCTGACAGATCCAAACATGCTGTTGGGGTTTGATGGGTTGAGTTCTGTTGGGGTTAATGCGGATACTCCTTTGTGCTCCTGGGCGGAGAGAGGCAAGTGGGGTAAAGAAAAGTAGATTGGCACAACATGTGAAGTACACAACATGTGACCAGCAGGTGGATATTTTTATACCCCATGGATGAGATTAATTCCAGCTACTGCCGGTACCCATTTATACTCCTGTGTTGAGCGAGGCAAATTGGGGTAAAGTGGCTTGCCAAAGGACACAACATATGGCCAGCAACAGGATGTTTTTATTCCCCTTGGGGGCATGAAGGAGACTATTTATGGCTAGAAATACGTATACATATACCGCAAAATGTCCGCCGTATCAGAAGTAAACAACCAGGTTTGTTTTTTTGTGTCTTCTCAGGAGCAGTGCGGCATTAGGTTAGTTTCCTTTCAACCAGACGTTTGAAATAGGATAAGCAGACAATCTGAAACATAAAATGTTCGGCAATTTCAGGACGACGTGTCCCATAAAACTGACTCCCTATGCTTTTTTGCTAGGATGTAGCCTCAATTGTTTCTTGTGTATGGTCCGTGGAGGGGTGACCACTGCCTGAATCCTGCAAAATCCTGCGGCAGTGACTGTCAATATGCTGAGGCTTGGCCAGTAACATCCTGGAGCACTATTTCAAGCATAATCCAGGCCTATATTTATGCATGGCTGAGCAAAAACAACACAAGGTCCGGCCCAAGACCTCGACGAAGTGCATCCTACGAAATCAGTAACGCACTTTTGCCATGTAACCTCAATCCTCCAAATTATTCCACTTTGGCAATGAGGATTTTGAAGGGTTCAGAGCGGCTAGGGTTAATGTTTTGTCTTTTGCTTTTCCTCTCGAAAGCTTCCCATGGACCTGGAAGATGCCCGCCTCATCTTCGACTACTTCAAGCCCAGCGTCCTCCCCGAATTCGACTCCTACAAGACCTCCTCCATGTCCGGTGACCTGGAAAGCCTCCTCCTCAAGATAGTCCGCATCATCCCGCCGATGGACGACCCACCCATTACCATGGAAACGCTGCAGGGGTACATCGAGGCCAAGACGGACGTGCCCCCGTCGATCCCCGAGGATCGACCGATCGTCAGGTGAGTGAGCTCTTGGGGCATTTGGGTTCCCTGACCTGGGGCCAATTTCCTGCAGCTGCTAAGGTAGCAGACCAGTAAATAAACTTCCATAGACCCCAATGGTAAATGCTCCCACTTCAAAAATTCGGGAAAAATACTCACAACTCTCCAAGGTGTTCGAGACACACATCAAATTAGAGCTTATTTCATCATCTTTCATTTTCTTTTCAATTTTCGGGGGGTCAACCTGATGACTTTTAGGAGAAATTTCCATCTGAAAATGATCACCCCTGAAAATAGTCCTGAAGCCCATCGCCATTTTGAAAAAACGATGCCTACACTCCATTGCAAAATAGAGCGCTTTTAGGGTCCAAATTACATCCAAATTACACAGAACTGCAAGCTCCCAGTCCTGTGCACGGCTTCCACCCATATTTTTTACAAACCCTCAAGTTCATGGCCCACAGCATGCTCAAATACTGAAGATTTTGAGGGCATGCAAATCGTGATTTGGCCGGCGTAGGCAATTTCGTACCGATTTACTGGTCTGCACCCCTAAGCACAAATATGTGCTAAGCATGAAAAATCTGCCTTGGCAAAAAAACAGGATTACCAACCAAATTTCCATGTGATGTCTATTGCTTGTGATTGGTATTCAGCTGTTGTTTGCTTAGCATGAAAAGCACATGGAGTTTTGGCTGGTAACCTACTTTTATAAGCCAGATTTTTTTTTGCGCTAAGCAAATTTTTGTGCTGAGCAGCCACGTGATATTGACCCCTGATGCTCACCGGACAGCCCGTGATAGATTGTCGGTCGGGTAACTGCCACATTCAAAAATAGGATATCCTAACTACCCGACTTGAAAGATTTGTCCAAATAGCCGGATTTTTGGGGACTGGGAACCAGACTACACTTTGGATGAAGCAGGCTCTTTCCATTTCTTTAAGAATTCATTAAATCCAAGAATTAACTCAGTCGAACTCTACAGTGAGTAGAAAGCCACTAGCTGAAATTGAATTAAGAAAGAAAAAAATGTGTAAAGGCATTTTTTTAAAGGGAATATACATCATTTGCTTTTGCTGTAATTTTCAGAAATCGATGGAATTGGGGGGTTGGAAATATATAGCAAATATAGTTACACTGACTTTTTTGAGGTTTTGGGTTCGAAAATGCTATAAAAACCAAGAAAAACAATCATTTTCCTGTAGTCTGGTTCCCTGACTCCATATAAGAAGAAACAGAGCAGTTTACATACATTGGGGAATTGTAAGGTCAGGGAACCAGTCTAGCTGGCTTGTACCCGTTCATAGATGTGTAATCGATTGCAAACAAGTGCGATGGTCAATTGGGGCCAGTATTTGAAAAAAAAATACCAGTTTTTTCCAACGCTGGCCGTCCGACCAGCGTTGGAAATTGCTACAAAAATACCACTTTTCTTGAAAATGACAGTATACCAGGTGCCATGATTTTACAGGATGCTTTACTCTGTCATTCACTAACAGTCCAGCAAGGTATTTCAAAATGATTTGGTAGTTTTATTTTTTGATGCTTGCAAATGTTGTATTTTCCCTTTAATGGGATGGATGTGGGTGAATGGCTAAAATCACAAAATAATTCAATGGAAATTTAGAACAATTAAGTAAAATATTTAAAGTTATTATCTGTATTCTGATATGTCTTTGTTTCAGGCCTGTTGTCAAGGAGGTCTATTATTTGCTGGCGGATTTCTACTTCAAGAACAAAGAGCTTTTGTGAGTATTAAAGTGAAATCATAATAACTTTCATTGTAGTCAAAATGTCCTCTCACATAGTGTCTGCTTGGTCATGTTCTCAAGCGGGTAAATCTTTTAAGTAAGTTGACCCTATGCGAGTAGGAGGGACAGACTGCATGCATGTACTCGATCGTGCGGGTTTTGCGCGACGCACGCACAGCTTATTTGTTCTGAATGTGCAGTGCAAAGACCCGTAGCGTCTTTACGTGAGCATGAGGCGTCGTTGGCAATGCGTTCGAAGGGCTCCCGGTAGTCTCCCTTAGGCCCCAAAAAAAAAGTCTCCGGTTTCTGGTATGGAGCTTGCCCAAAAAGTGGTGCGGTGACGCGGCTTTTTTTTTTTTTACCTGATTTTTTTGCTTCAAATGTCGGCTGATGACTGCAAATGGTGCCCGACTAAACTAAGTGCAAATATATGGGAGTCCAGAGAGGCCACATAAAGCTTATTCTCGACCATAACCCAATCTAAAAACACGTTAAAATTGTGCAGCAGCAGGATTCCAGTCAAACCAGTGAGTTTGGCGGTTTTGAGACATCATCTTTCATTGAAAAAAAAAACTTTTTCATTTTGCCGACGCGCATGGCTACGGCGACGCGCGCGCATACCAGAAACCGGAGACTTTTTTTTTTTTGGCCTTAACTCCCCTAATAAAGTGTTTTGTGCTTTTAATGTGGCTTTGTTGTTTGTCTTTCTTTTCTTCCGCGCACAGCAAAGCCATCAAGCTGTACATGCAGGACCTGTGCGTGTGTCCGAACAGACTGGACAGCTGGGCAGGAATGGCGTTAGCTCGGAGTGGACGACTCGAGCTCAAATTCAACATGGTCAGTTCAACTTTTTTTCATAATGAAGAAAAAAAATTGCTCAAACTCTTTACTAGTTCAGTTTAGTTTAGGCGTATCAGACCATTTGCTTTCCTGCATTTTGTTTGTTTTCAATAATAACACCCCTCAAAATGGAAAGAAATTTGTTCAAAACCTAACATGTTGAAGTTTCAACTCAGTGGATATTACACTTTTCGAGAAAAACTGAAAAACTATGCACAACCTTTTTATCATGAAACATTTTGTCAATAGCACTCTTTATTTCCAAAAATCAGTCAATTGACTGATCGTTGGAAATCACATACATTACTAATTTTCTTTTTAATGACAGTAAGCCAGATGGTGTAATTTCACGGGTTGTTTAGTGCCAGTGTGATCTTTAAAGGTATAGTCCATCATTTGTAATTTGTGTATTTTGTTCGTTTCAAGCAACAAACGTGCTCAAAATCTAAAGAAGGGTGCTGAACAACTAACCTGATGAAGTTTCAGCTCAGCTTCAGCTGTATATTTCGAGAAAAACAGCATTCTAGGATCTCGATTTCAAATCAAAAGTTGCTGAATCATGTTTTGAATTGGGCCTGAATTCAGCGTCCGGGACACGTTCTCACTGAGCCGATTGTAGCTACGCAATGTCGCGCACTGATCCGACGAATTATAGCAACCGCGCGTGTGTGCGTCGTGTCAATGCTTGCACGCGCTTTGCCGAATAAAAAAACGAACCACTAACAAAAATTTGTAGGAAAGGCCTTCTTTCATTGATTTTTTCAAAATGACAGCTTGCCAGAAAGAATAATTTCACAGGGAGTTTAGTCTCCTTACTATCTTTCTCCTTACTATCAACCAAGTATGTTTTTCAACAATAATTACGTCAGTTACTTTTTGGATAGCTGCAAATGATGGACTGTAGCTTTAAAGGGAATGTACATCATTGGCTTTTGCTGTAATTTTCAGATATGGAGTATTTGAGGGGTTAGTATAATATATCAAATATTGTTACACTGACATGTTTGAAGTTTTGTGTTCGAAAAAGCTGGAAAAACCAAGAAAAACAAAATTGTGCAAGTAGTCTGGTTCCCTGACTCCACTAAAGATGAAATGGATCAATTTATAGTTGCCAGAAAATTGTAAGGTAAGGGAACCAGTCTAGCTGGCCTGCACCCGTTCATGAACATGTAACCAATAGCAAACAAAATTTGGACTGAAAAAAGGTAAATTTGGAGCAGAAGTTGAAATAAAGTAAGGTTTTTCCAACGGTGGTCGGCCGACCACCGTTGGAAATGCGTACAAAAATACCATTTTCTTGAAAATGACTTCACACCAGGTGCCATAATTTTACAGGATGCTTTAGACTGTCATTTACCAACATCCTACTAAGGTATTTCATAAAAACTTGGTAGTTTTATTTTTCGATGTTTGCAAATGTTGTATATTCCCTTTAAGCTTTTTGATAAAAATTTGGTAGGTGACTTTTGGGATAAATGCAAATGACCCTGATTTAGATTGGCTTTTATTTCTACCTAGTGTGACTCTAAGACTGAAGGGACCATCTACAAGCACTCCGTGGCCGCGTTACGCTGTTTTCAGCGTGCCCTTGAGATTGATCAGGCCAACCGATCGTTGTGGATTGAGTACGGGTCAATGGCGTACATGGTGCACTCGTACGCTTCGCGGCAACTTAAACAGGTAAAATGCCATTAATGAATCAGTCACTTAGCTTGTTTTTCTTTCAAACCCTAAGTATATGTCTGCCATTTTTCAAATCATTTTCTAAATCTTTTCAAAGGAAGGGTCGACGCCTCTCTACCAAATGTTTACTGTTCCACATGTAAAACGGTCACTGAAATTATTGCAATGAAACACTTACAATATGTCATGCTTTCGACAAGTCTTATGTTTGCAAGATGCATGGCAGTTGGATGCGTTGTGCAGATGTGATATGTCGTAGCGCTGTGATGCATTTTAAGTTATGACAAGTGTCATGAAATCGGTACTGGTCACAGATAGCTGCGTACACTAATGCAACCATTGTAATAATAATAATGATGGTAGTGCCTATAAAGCACTTTCCATCATATCAACAATCTCAAAGTGCTTTACAATTATTACCCCGTTCATCAGGCCATGGGACCACGCGGCAGCCGATATCAGCGCCCAATCGGTCCTCGGCCCTCACAGGTACCCATTTATACTCCTGGGTGGAGAGAGGCAATTGTAGTTAAGTGTCTTGCCCAAGGGCAAAAACACGATGTTCCTGGCAGGATTTGAACCCACGCACCATCATGCGTGAGTCAAACACTGTAACCGCTTGGCCATGGTCGACCGTAAACCTTTGATAAAAGCTTGCTCGATCACTCAATCAAATTTGCAGAGGGACCAGTTTTCCCTGACGGACGACATCGTGGAGTTCTTGCAGGAGAAGCGATCGGAGTGCCTTGGCCTGGCCGAGAAGTGCTTCGAGGCCGCCAGGCAGTGCGAAGTGGACGGGGAGGAGGAAGAATGGTTGGTGCACTACATGCTGGGCAAGGTGGCCGAGAAACAACAGACCAACCCGGAGGAGTTCCTGGAGCACTACAAGAAGGTAAGGGGAAGTGTAGCAAGGAATTGTGGGATACCATCGGGGGCAAGCATTGCTAGGGGGGATGGCTGGTGCACTACATGCTAGGCAAGAACATTTCAAGAAGGCAGGTCAGAGGTCAGATGATGGCAGATGCATGATGGGATATGAGGGAGCTTGGCAGAGACATGATGGGATACCATGAAGATAATTTGTGAATTTGAAATTTGAGTTTCCGAGAAAAAAAACCAAGACTTTTTCCATTACCTTTTTTCGAAGGTAGGTCAGAGGTCAGATGATTGCAGATGCATGATGGGATATGGGAGGGTGGCAGATGCATGATGGGATACCTTGGGTGATGGTTGGTGCATTTGTATAGAAAAAGTATAGAAAATTGGAGTTTCTGAGTACAAAATAAAAGACTTTGTACCATTTTATTGTTTGTTGATTTTTTTTTACCTTTTTTTTCATTTGTTTCATGTTTATCTATTGTTTCATTTGATTACATCTGATCTGATCCCAACTGATTAAATTTGATTCAATACAATTTTTTTGAACAGGCTGCTTATTACCTGCATGAAGACGAGGCCAAATATCCCAAGAAGGTTGCCTACCACAACCCACCGGATCTCTCCCTGGAGGCTTTGGAGGTCAGCAGTCATGCATAATTCATGAGTTCTAATGAATAAATCATGGTTTGCCCTGGATAGGTTGATGAATTGAAATTGAAAATATTCACGACACACTGAACTCTCCAAGGGGTCTCTCCCTATTGGCCTTAGAGGTCAGCAATCATGCATAATTCATGAGTTCTAATGAATAAATCATGGTTTGCCCTGGATAGGTTGATGAATTGAAATTGAAAATATTCACGACACACTGAACTCTCTAAGGGGTCTCTCCCTATTGGCCTTAGAGGTCAGCAATCATGCATAATTCATGAGTTCTAATGAATAAATCATGATTTGCCCTGGATAGGTTGATGAATTGAAATTGAAAATATTCACGACACACTGAACTCTCTAAGGGGTCTCTCCCTATTGGCCTTAGAGGTCAGCAATCATGCATAATTCATGAGTTCTAATGAATAAATCATGGTTTGCCCTGGATAGGTTGATGAATTGAAATTGGAAATATTCACGACACACTGAACTCTCCAAGGGGTCTCTCCCTATTGGCCTTAGAGGTCAGCAATCATACATAATTCATGAGTTCTAATGAATAAATCATGGTTTGCCCTGGATAGGTTGATGAATTGAAATTGGAAATATTCACGACACACTGAACTCTCCAAGGGGTCTCTCCCTATTGGCCTTAGAGGTCAGCAATCACGCATAATTCATGAGTTCTAATGAATAAATCATGGTTTGCCCTGGATAGGTTGATGAATGAAAATTGAAAATATTCACGACACACTGAACTATCCAAGGGGTCTCTCCCTATTGGCCATAGAGGTCAGCAATCATGCATAATTCATAAGTTCTAATGAATAAATCATGGTTTGCCCTGGATAGGTTGATGAATGAAAACATAAATATTCATGACACACTATAATCTCTGCAAGGGTCTCTCCCTATTGGTCATGGAGGTCAGCAGTCATGCATAATTCATAATCCTTATGAATAAATTAGTATTTATCTGGACAACTTCAAATGAGTTGAAACAGAAATAGAATGACTGGATCTTTACCAGTTGGCCATGGGGGCAGCAAATATGCATAATTCATGAGACCTCATAAATAAGCAATAATTTCCTCAGCACAGTTTGCGAATTTAAATAATGAATATTTATGACTCACAATGAATAATTGATTACTCATCTATTAACTTTGTGTTGTCTCGCCAGATGTACTTCAGGCTCCACGCCTCCATCTTGAAACTCCTCGATAAACCGGAGACAAGTTTCCGTGGCGATTATGCCATGCTGCAGCGCTATGTCATGGACGCCATGGACGAGCCATTCGTTTCTGCCCAGGAGAAAACGGACACCAGTGAACCGTAGGTTGACCTTTGACCACCCAATTTTACTGCCCCCCCCCCCCCCCACATATTTTAGACATTTTCAGAGCGTCGTATGTTATTGAAATCTGAAAACTTTTCTCCTTTAATTCTTTTTTTAATCGCATACCAGACCCTCGTCAGCTGACAACGACCCGGACACCAAGTCGCCGGTGCCGAGTGTCAAAGTTCAACTCGAGGACAAAGGTCAGGGCGATGCCAAAGGTCAAGAGGTCAAGCCCAAAGTCCCCGGCAGTCCGTTATTCGTCGCCACCCCGACGGACCACGACTACGTGCGATCGCGAGGCCGGAAGAGGCAGCTGGTCATGACGACAACAGGTGAGGGCGGTGTAACTGAAAATTGAGGCTCGGTCATTCTTTGCGCAGATGCTAATGCAAACCATTATTCGTGACGTCACAGCAAGTTCTCACTCTGTGAATTCACTAAAGTTGATGGCATTATATCTCCCGCGAATTCAAAGTGCAGCCACTCTTTATTTTTGATAGACTAAATAAATATAGGAAAAAAATGATATTGTACAAGACGGTATTGTACAAGACGGTATTTCAATGACCCGAGGTCATTCAAGATAACCTCACTGACGTGATGTTGCGCGATGTAACGCGCACGCCCATTCTGCTGGTAATTTACATGCAAGCGCCGTTCTCCCGCGTTCATGCGCCTTTGAAACATTTGATTATCCCGAATGACCCTTGACCCATATCATTGTGCACATGCGCAGTTGATATCCCGAACTGGATTATTGACAATGTTCATTGTTTTTTGTACTTTCAATTTGGTTTATGTTTTTTTTACACCCTTGACGACAATGCTACCCTCCAGTGTTCAAAACACCATGGCCCACATATCAAAACAGACAGCAGTGAATTTAGTGAAATGTATTTAGAGCTTTTCGTTTTCCGTAGTATGTTGATACCGTCTTTAGTTGTGTAAATTCTGTAATGCTTTCTTGATCCCCTTGACTTTATTTCAGATGCATCCTCAGAGTTTCCGATGCTGTCTCATGATGACCATGCATCGGGGACCTCAAATCCCCAATCTCAGGACAAAGATGCCGTCGGTGGTCCCACCTCCGCGGCCGAGCTCCTGAAGTCCTTTGCCAAGATCCACACGGACATCCAGGACCAGCCTCCTGAGAAGAGGAGACGTGTCGAGGATCTTGCGGGACCGGAGACTGCGTGTCCCAACGACGGACAGTCCGCGGAGCCACGGTCTGACTTCGAGACCAGCAAAGCAGCTTCTCCCAAAAGCCTAGACCGGCAGAAGGAATCTGAGACGCAAGAGGGTGCCGATGATAAATTAATGCCAGCATCTGGTGAAGGCAATCAGTCGGAGGCGGAGAGTCGCACGGAGCCCGATCTGAAGGGATTACCGGAGGCGAAACCTGGAGATGTCAAAGAGGAAGAGAAAACAAATGAGAAAAAACTGACGGAAAAGGAACATGAGGATGGTGGACCTTTAAGTGATGCAGGAGGGAAAGTCTCATCAGAGAGGCAGCAGTTCGCGACAAGTGGAGAACCGGAAGTAACAAATGCAGTTACCACGGAAACAGCTGCTCAGACGAACTTGGAATCAGAGACAAGCACTAGCGTTATCATCATCTCATCCGAGGAATCGGAGGATCAGATGGATTCCGAAGAGTCGACGAAGATGACGAAGGAGGTGATCGCAAAGATGAAAGATTCACCAACAGCTGCAGGCAGCAAGGTGCGAGAGGCAGCTGGCGAACAGAAAAATGTGGTTATCAAGGAAACGGCCACACAGGCCAGCGAGGAATCAGTCAGCAACATCTCCGCCATCACCATTTCGTCTGGAGACTCCGAAGAGCAGATGCAGTTTACGGGCTCTGCAGCATCCAGCAGAGAGATCGAGGACGATGTTGGGGATGACTCCAAGATGGATGCAAAGGAGGCAGACAATAAGACCTCTGAAAAGTGTAAAGAAGAGGAATCAACAATGAAGAAGGCAAGAGAAGGAAATCTTCAGGATGATTTGAAAAAGAATGAGAAAACGTCAGAGATTCTTGAAAAACAAGTAGCAGATGATCTGACGACGACGAAAGAAACTGAACAAGATCTAGGAGACGGTTTGGAAACAGACGAGAAAATGGTAGTGGATGTTAAACCTGATAAGAAACAAGACGCTGATGATAAAACTGTGAGTGATAAAGATGACGGAAAAGCGAGCGACGGGCGACAGCCAGAGGACGAAGGAAAGAAGACGGAGGCAACTTGTGGGCGGAGTCAGGAGGAGCAGAGGGCGTGGTTGATGGAGCGTTGCCTTGAAGCCATGAAGCTGTGTCTGTCCCGGTTCCCCCAGCACTACAAGTCGCTGTACCGGATGGCCAACGCGTACGCCGTGTCTGAAACAGCCCAGGTAAGAACCGAACAGGCCATGCCAAAATCATCGCGGGTTTGGGTACGGCTTGGACTAGTTACCATTGGCATTCTGTAGTGCCTATCCATAGCCATATTAAATTTATGACATTGCCAATTTTAAGAATCGTTTTGCCATTTTCAAGGGTGTTTTGGTGTCTTTATGCTAATGCGAATTTCCATATTCATGAGCAAACGCGTCCTGTCATTTCAGGCAGAAACCTCAATGTTACAGCTATTTCAGCATCAAAAGTTGCCAGAATTTTGGGCGTTTTGCTGTCATAAATTGTCTTTTCTTTGGTGATGCGTTGTTGTGTCAGTACACGGCAGTAAGCCCATGGGCAAACTTTTCTTGCAAATCACAAATGAGAATTTTATTCCTTATACCTGCAAACCCTCTTTTGACCTCTGCCAAATTTTTATTTTTCTCTCAATATTTTACTTTTTTGACATGTCGATAGATGCAAACTTTAAAAAGCCACAACTTGTCAATGGAATGTCTGATTGAAGTGCAACAAACAGTACTTTAAGAATAATATTATTCTCTTTCTTAAAGGTATAGTCCATCATTTGCAGCCATCCGAAAAGTAACTGGCGTAATTATTGTTGAAAAACAAACTTGGTTGAAAGATAGTAAGGGGACTTAAAACTCCCTGTGAAATTATTCTTTCTGGCAAGCTGTCATTTTGAAGTAATCAACGAAAGAAGGCATTTCCAACGGTGATTCTTAAGAAGCACCGTAGGAAAATTTAAATTAGTAGATCGTTTTGTTATTCAGCGCAGCGCGCACAAGTATTGGAACGACGCACACGCGCGCGCGGTTGTTATAATTCGTCGGATCAGTGCGCGACATCGCGTATAGCTGCAATTCAAAACAATTCAAAACATGATTCAGCAACTTTTGATTTGAAATTGAGATCTTAGAATGCTGTTTTTCTCGGAATGTACAGCTGAAGCTTAGCTGAAACTTCATCAGGTTAGTTGTTCAGTATCCTTCATTAGATTTTGAACACTTTTGTTGCTTCAAACAAACAAAATGCACAAATTACAAATGATGGACTATATCTTTAACGCAACTGGAGTGTTTATCCAATTGGCGCTAGTAATCACGTACGCACGCTTGTATGATGAAGCGGATAGACCCCAAAACAAATATGGGAACTGTCTTTGAACATGTTGATCAGAACAAATGTCCACATTTTATCAAAATATCAAACTACCCGGTAGGTGGAAAATGACTATGTCATTAAAAAGTTCTTAAGATCATTTTTGTGGGACCTGGTTTTATCTGATGTGCTTGCCCTCTTCGGTTGTTCATCCACTTGCAGGGTCTGAAGTGGAGTCGTGACCTGTTGCTAGGCAGCAGCCAGCCCTGGCAACACATGGCTCACATGCCGTCACCGGGGCTCTTCGCCGAGCACTGGAAGACCAAGAACCTGTTCCACGGAGTCTGGAGAATTCCCATCAGTGAAATCGACAGGTAAAGAAATCGGTCAGAAATCGCTCGACAAGTCCATCACAAGTCCTCCATTCCCGAGTCAAGCCCCAAGCTATTCAAATGAACCGAGATAAAAAGCAATCCTTTGTCATTGTCCACGCCCTGGTATTCGTGAATCGACTCGTGGATTCGGGCGATTCACAATGCAGTGCGCCACCAAGAGTTTGCAACGGAGAATCAATTTTTCAAGTTTACGGTCGACAAAATATGGCCCGTTTGAACGAGTGTCAGTAGACAACTTGAGCTAATTTGCTCAAGATTGGTGCATAGCGTTCTACTGCCTTAAAAAAAACATGTTGATAAAAAGAAAAGAAAAGGGCGGCAAACAGATACTCAAATCATACGCTTACAAAACTACTGACCGGAAAAACGAACAATATCAAATGTCCCACGCTATGAATTTGTTAACCATTTCCCACAATGCACTGCGTAAATTGAACTCTCTGTGGCAAACTCTTGATGGCGCACTGCGTTGTGAATCAACCGAATTGACGCATGTATAAATCTGGGCCTGTTTGTTTCATTCCAGATCCTGATCGAGATCATGTGATCCAGTGCCGTGCAAGAAAAAAACAGAATCACTCTCGACGCCAAATCCTTTAGGCGCACACGAATGTTGTCTGCTTCAGATTTGTAGGCAGAGAGGCTATGTTTACAAGCTGTCTAAAATTTCTTGAAAAAGCGAGTCAAGTCGTACTATTTTTAATCACCAAAAATGCATTCTAAAAGAAATGTGAAGAAATATTGGCGCACAATCTCATATGATGCTTCAAATCTACTACAAAGACCCAACTTTTTCTCTTCGCACGTGGCGCATGTCGCCATCTTTGATCATGCGAACCCACCTCGCGAGCAGGATCTGTTAAAACGTGATCCGAGCAGCTATTAATGCGTCAGATCGCTGATCATGATCGTGGGCAAAACAAACAGGCCCCCGATTGTCTTATACTCACTGACGTCCTCAATCCTTGTCTTTGTTTAAATTCGATAATCTTAACACTTGTAGTGTCTCACGCTTTCCTGTAGATCGGGGAGTTTCTCCTGGCACATGTACCGCTCTGTCACGCTGCTCATCGACGTCCTCAGCAGATTACGGGATCACTCCATGCTGCTGCAGATTGCCGTCAAACTCAACCGAACCCCGGAACTGGGAAAGTGAGTTGCATCTAAACCAGTCTCGCTAATTGGTCCGTCCTGCCTGTCAATCGAGCTGTGCGAACTGACCAATCATATCACAGCTTTAGGTCAGGTGACCACAGCAGCTCGGTTGAACTCGGTCGCAAGCACTGTGACACGTATACGCAAACCAGAGTTGGGCGGGGCAAAATCCAAGACCGGCCAGCACTTGCAGTCATTGTAGAAGGCAATACGTTACGGCATGCAAATCATAAAATGCATGATTTTGCTGACTAATCGTGATCATAGTAAAACCTTCATTTCCCAACTTCTCAAGTTCGATACAAGAAACCTGCTCTTGGAAGGGAATATAAAGTCCTGTTTCTACCCGTGAGGGAATTTTGAGAGTTGCCGCCCGATTCTGAAGAAAGTAAGATAAAACTGTTTTTGAAATGGCGGGAAAAGCTAATTCAACTACTGTTTCATGACAGCTGTGAAATTGCACAAACAGCTGTCTCCAAGTCGTTTGAAATATAGTTGTTTATAATAAATTACATTGAACAGCCGTGCAACAAAATTTGTGATGCGATCAAGCTACATGAGTCGTTTGTTGACCCGGTCAAAAAGAATTTTATTACAGATTTCAAAAGAGCACAATCTCAGCATTACTGCTGTGAAAATCGCATGCTGATACCATCTTTAGTTCAAAAATTATGGAAGTCGGAACACCAAGAGATGTGATGAAGTGATGTGATGAAGTGGCCCTATTTTGGCCTGTATCTCTACATAAACATTTCCGACAAACGACTCATTTAGCTTGATCGCATCACATTTGTTGGCTAAATTCTATGCACGCTGTAAGTTACACATGCTTTCACAATACTAGATTCTATTTTTTATGTACTCAAACTGAAAGTCAACTCATGACTAAAAATACAAAGCCTTTTCTCTTTGTGCAATTTGTTCCTGATTTGTAGGAAGTTCCTGCGTGATTTTGACAGACAGTTTCTTGCCAGGCATTGCTACAAGATCTGCGTGGAGGTCCTCGCAGAAGAGATTGAACTAGCGAAGAAGGGAGACAAGGAACAACAGCAACAAGTAATTCATATCAGATTTTAAAAATGTGCTGTCCATGATAGTTTTTTTTTTCGGAATTTCCCCCCCCCAAAAAAATAGACATGTTCTTAACCCATTAGGCCAAAAAAAAAAGTCTCCGGTTTCTGGTATGGAGTTTGCCCAAAAAGTGGTGCGGCGACGCGTTTTTTTTTTTTTTTTTTACCTGATTTTTTTGCTTCAAATGTCGGCTGATGACTGCAAATGGTGCCCGACTAAACTAAGTGCAAATATATGGGAGTCCAGAGAGGCCACATGAAGCTTATTCTCGACCAAAACCCAATCTAAAAACACGTTAAAATTGTGCAGCAGCAGGATTCCAGTCAAACCAGTGAGTTTGGCGGTTTTGAGACATCATCTTTCTTTGAAAAAAAACTTTTTCACTTTGCCGACGCGCATGGCTACGGCGACGCGCGCGCATACCAGAAACCGGAGACTTTTTTTGGGGGGGGCCTTAGCAACTGTACTACATTGTTTTTATTCACGAAAGAATCAAAGTTTGTCTCAAAACTTCTGAACAATTTCTCGTATTCAAACTTCCAAATACCCTACAAAACATTTTAAAAAGGGTTTCTCCTGAAGTTATAACAGATTTTTACAGTTTTGTAAAATATTTTCTTTTTTTTTGATAAAGTTTTTCCAGCTACAGAACATTGTTGATTTTGATGACAAGTCAGTGAATGATATGTTTAGTTTGATACAAGTGTGAATTGTTTTATTCCTTTCATTCGGTCCCGTCTCAGGCCGTCCTGTCAGCATATCGTCTGGTCCAGACGGTTCAGAACAAGCTGCAGACAGACCCTAGCCTGCCGACCAAACTGCTGTGCCTTGCCTTCAAGATCTTCAGGAATATGCAGGTAATATTAACCCTCCGACGCAGAAAGCACATTTACTAACACGCTTACAGTAAGGGGTCCCTCCGGGGACCCAGATATTTAGCGCCTTGGTTTGAGGCTACACAACACAGTATCTATATGTACACAATCTCGACATGTCTGTAGACTATAAATAAGGAGGTCATTGACAGGAAACAGATGTTGTATACATAGTCTGTGGTCAAGTCGTGCTCTTGGCTACCGGCAAGTGACTTTGTTTTGTGCACGTGTATATGGGCAGCCCAGGTTGTCAGGCTCAGATATGCCTGACCCGGGGTCACACACTAAAGGTGACTGCATATATCCGTAGTGGGTGTCTCTGGCTAGGATTAGATGGAAGATCACCAGAATTGGTTGGGAATTTTTTTTTTTATTAAGGTAATTAACCAAATTGGGTCCCCAAAAGGGCTAGTTTCTGCGTCGGAGGGTTAAAGGGAATGTACATCATTGGCTTTTGCTGTAATTTTCAGAAATGAACTATTTGAGGGGATAGTATAATAGATCAAATATTGTTACACTTGCATGCTTGACATTTTTCGTTCGAAAATGCTGGAAAAAACCAAGAAAAACAAAAACGTTCAAGTAGTCTGGCTCCCTGACTCCACTAAAGATAAAATGGATCAATTTATAGATGCCAGAAAATTGTAAGGTAAGGGAACCAGTCTAGCTGGCCTGCACCCGTTCATGAACATGTAACCAATAGCGAACAAAATTTGGACTAAAAAAAGGGTAAATTTGGAGCAGTAGTTGAAAAATAGTTAGGTTTTTCCAACGGTGGTCGGCTGACCACCGTTGGGAAAAGTATACATAAATACCATTTTCTTGAAAATGACTTCACACCAGGTGCCATAATTTTACAGAATGCTTTAGACTGTCATTTACCAACATCCTAGTAAGGTATTTCGTAAAAACTTGGTAGTTTTATTTTTCGATGTTTGCAAATGTTGTTTATTCCCTTTAACTCTTGCAGTGCCCGCGAAATTTGACAAATTTAACCCTGAAGTGCCCAACTTAAATCGTTTTTGTTAATTGTTCAAAATTCTGTAAAAAAAAAAGTCAATAAGTTTTACTCACTAAATTTGTTGTTGTTTCTCACTGGTATATCCTTGGTATATTGGAAAGTCAAAAGTAGTCACATACGTAGTGATACACCCTGAAACACTGTCCTGCACACAGGGGAATTCCGCACTTTTCGCAGAAAATACGAGTGTCTGTGCTGCGCCCTCTCGCAAGAACTCGAATGAAACAAATAAATACAGGTCGTACCTGAATGAAAATGATATTATTAGAAAGAGCGAGAGCGCCCCCTTGTGATAACATGCTTACTCTACCTCGTACACGTACGAGGTGTGGCGATTTTAGGTACGAACATTACCTCGTACATGTACGAGGCTGGCGATTTCGAACTAACAAATATACCTCGTACATGTACGACTTTGGCACCGAAAGAGTGAACTCATGAGCATCTGTTAGTGTATTTATATAATATTGGATGGTATGAGGGGAAACAAGAATATATTGCACGAGCTATAAAAACAGCCAGCCAATATTATTATCTTGAAAAGTTCAGCAGTGCGACATAAACACAGATAATGACTTTATCATAATTCTATCTTGTCATTGTTACCTGAAGACGGGTTCGGATGTCGCAGTTCTGGATCAAGCGGTTCGATTTTGTCTCCAACATCGACTGGCCAGCAAGACACCTCAGGTAAAATGGTCCGAATCGATTGCTTTGTCTGTTTGTTTGTCTGTTTCTCTAGCTAGCAAGCAGGCATTTTAGCACATTTTAGCACATTTAAGTACATTTAAGCACCTGGACTTCATTGTATTACATTGTGTTTATTCACTGAAGAATTAAAAAAAACATAGACTGCTCAGGCGGTTTTGGGCACTACAGTGACTAAGGCCAAAAAAAAAAGTCTCCGGTTTCTGGTATGGAGCTTGCCCAAAAAGTGGTGCGGCAACGCAGTTTTTTTTAAATTTTTACCTGATTTTTTTGCTTCAAATGTTGGCTGATGACTGCAAATGGTGCCTGACTAAGCTTAGTGCAAATATATGGGAGTCCAGAGAGGCCACATAAAGCTTATTCTCGACCATAACCCAATCTAAAAACACGTTAAAATTGTGCAGCAGCAGGATTCCAGTCAAACCAGTGAGTTTGGCGGTTTTGAGACATCATCTTTCATTGAAAAAAAAACTTTTTCATTTTGCCGACGCGCATGGCTACGGCGACGCGCGCGCATACCAGAAACCGGAGACTTTTTTTTTTGGGCCTAAAGGGTTAACCCGTTAGCACTTGTATTGCATTGTACAGTACACCGTATTTATTACTTGATGATCCATAAAGACATAGAGTGCTGGGCAGTTTGGGGAGGTATAAGGAGTAACAGGCCAGATGTTTTGGGGCGGTACAGGGGCTAATTAGTACCGACAAAAGTCTTGTTCGATCACGTCACGTTTAAAACTTGGTCGTTACCTTAATTTTTTCTGGTCAACAGAAGGTGCTTTAATTATGTCAATCAGCAATGAACACTAGTATTAACTTACTTGAGATTTGATTTTTTTTTTTTATTTTGAATTGCTTTTTTCCAACAGACCCCAACATCCCAGCCCGAGTTTACATTCTCATCGCCTCAGCCCAGCAAGGAGAGAATTAGTGCCGTGACCCCCGACAGACAGGGTGATACACAGAGTTCAACACAGGGTTCCACATGTAGCAGCACACAGTGACATGCACAAAACTGCGGCATAGAATGAAGGGCATCTCAAACTTGAGCATGGGCTATTCTGAAATTTCATTATTTTGAAAATTTACAGGGCTTTTTTAAACCGTATTCAGCGGCATTTGATGTCGTCGAAACCTGACCCGAAACCAAACCGACCCTAAACCAACTTCGGGTCAGGTTGGTTTTTCCATCATCTCAAGTCGGGTCGGTTTTGCGTTTGGGATAAGCTCAACCAATGAGAGATGCCGATTCTTGATGGCCCCTCAACATGGACAAAATATGTTTTTGTAGCCCAGGTATCTTGCTATCTCACTACCAAGTTGCTCAACCAATTAGAGATGCAGATTCTCGATGGCCCCTCAACATGGACAAAATCACGCCAGGAAACAAGAAAAATGTAACACATCAGTGATCAATGAATCATGTTTCACAACTATTATCTGGTATTTTTTGAAAAATCAGATCACAGCAGGCATATGTCAGAATCATGGTGTATTAATTTAAAAACATTCTACAAAACCAAATTTGTAAATCTTTGTACTTGCATTTGCAGCAGGGTACTCAAAAATGCCAATTTTGCAATTTTTGTTTTTGGCAAAAATATTCAGTATAGCTACCGGTATGCTGGTGGGTTTGTGACATCATTCTCCAACGCAGTACGTTTTCAAATAAAACAGTAGACTTGATGACAAGTCGTAAGACAGTCATATTTTGTCCGTGAACTTTAGTCGAACTCCATCGGCGCGGCTGGTATAAGACTAGTATGTAATCGGCCGGGTTGCGACAAATCTAACGATTTGACGATTACATTCTCGCACCGTTATTCATACATGCAAGCAGTGCAATACATATGCAGTACATGTTTGCGATGAGATCCAATGGCGCACCACTATGCAAACGTGGACTCATTCATTCCGTTACATGGGCAGTAACGAGGAGTTCTCAATACGTCGGGGAAATGTTTGCAGATCTGGCGACGTTTTAACGACCAATACACTCAGCCTGATCAATTGTGTATAGAAATGAAATGTATCATTTTGATATACTTGATGTATTTGGGTCGTGTATGCCCTATGAGGAATTTTGTAATGTTGCACAACACAAACTACAAACCCTCGAAGTAATGAGAACGATCTGCCGTGGCGGCCTACAATATGCTCTGGAATCTGAACCAATCAGAGTGCTCGCATAGAATTCGCTAGCGATTCAAAATACTCCCGTATGTTGTGTACAGAATTGAAAACACATTCGCCAAGTCCGTAGTTTTAACAGAAATAGTCAGCATCATTTGGTCTGGGAACACTGCAGCATGTGTGGAGCCACTGAGTAACTGGTACCATGCGCAAAACAATTACCGACTTGGCACCAAGTCTAATAAAACAGCAAAACTTTTCGTTTTTATAGGGAAAATACAACATTTGCAAACATCAAAAAATAAAACTACCAAATCGTTTTGAAATACCTTGCTGGACTGTTAGTGAATGACAGTGTAAAGCATCCTGTAAAATCATGGCACCTGGTATACTGTCATTTTCAAGGAAAGTGGTATTTTTATGCCCCGCGGCGAAGCCGAAGGGGCATACTGTTTCCGCCTTGTCCTTCCGTGGGTGGGTGGGTGGGTGGGTGGGTGGGTGTGTGGGTGTGTGTGTGGGTGGGTGGGTGTGTGTGTCCGGACAAATCTTGTCAGCACGATAACTTGAGAAATACTTAACATATGAACTTCAAATTTGGTCTGTGTATTGTTCTTGGCAATCCTAAGAGGCCTATTGCATTTGGGGCCGAAAGGTCAAGGGTCAAGGTCACAGTGGCTGAAACAATAGAAATTTTGTCAGCGCGATAACTTGAGAAATACTTTACATATTAACTTCAAATTTGGTTTGTGGATTGTCCTTGGCAATCCTGAGAAGCCTTTTGCATTTGGGGCCGAAAGGTCAAGGGTCAAGGTCACAGTGGCTAAAACAAAAGAAATTTTGTCAGCGTGATAACTTGAGATATACTTTACATATGAACTTCAAATTTGGTTTGTGGATTGTCCTTGGCAATCCTAAGAGGCCTATTGCATTTGGGGCCGAAAGGTCAAGGGTCAAGGTCACAGTGGCTGAAACAATAGAAATTTTGTCAACGCGATAACTTGAGAAATACTTTACATATGAACTTCAAATTTGGTTTGTGGATTGTCCTTGGCAATCCTGAGAAGCCTTTTGCATTTGGGGCCGAAAGGTCAAGGGTCAAGGTCACAGTGGCTAAAACAAAAGAAATTTTGTCAGCGTGATAACTTGAGATATACTTTACATATGAACTTCAAATTTGGTTTGTGGATTGTCCTTGGCAATCCTAAGAAGCCTATTGCATTTGGGGCCGAAAGGTCAAGGGTCAAGGTCACAGTGGCTAAAACAAAAGAAATTTTGTCAGCGCGATAACTTGAGAAATACTTTACATATGAATTTCAAATTTGGTTTGTGTATTGTTCTTGGTAATCCTAAGAAGCCTATTGTATTTGGGGCCGAAAGGTCAAGGGTCAAGGTCACAGTGGCTGAAACAATAGAAATTTTGTCAGCGCGATAACTTGAGAAATACTTTACATATGAACTTCAAATTTGGTTTGTGGATTGTCCTTGGTAATCCTAAGAAGCCTTTTGCATTTGGGGCCAAAAGGTCAAGGGTCAAGGTCACAGTGGCTAAAACAATCGAAACCTTGTATTTATTCTGAGATCATAGGGATTAGGGATTAATTCATATAAAACCTACAGAAGACACTAATGCTGTCAATTAATGAACGTTCCATGTGACCAAGGTACATGTAAGTTGATGTTAAAAGAGTGGTGTTATGTCATGGGAACAGTCACGGTTGCGGGGCATTTGTGTTTGTAAACACACCTGACTTGTTGTATCAAAACTGGCTTTTTTTCAAATACTGGCCCCAATTGACCATCGCACTTGTTTGCAATCGATTACACACCTATGAACGGGTACAAGCCAGCTAGACTGGTTCCCTGACCTTACAATTCCCCAAATTTATGTAAACTGCTCTGTTTCTTCTTATATGGAGTCAGGGAACCAGACTACAGGAAAATGATTGTTTTTCTTGGTTTTTATAGCATTTTCGAACCCAAAACCTCAAAAAGTCAGTGTAACTATATTTGCTATATATTTCCAACCCCCCAATTCCATCCATTTCTGAAAATTACAGCTAAAAGCAAATGATGTATATTCCCTTTAATTAAAATATGGAGATTAGTATTATCATTTACAATGGAACAGCGCCCTGTTAATAATACAACAGAAAATGTATACGCAATGTACCACATCTTGATGTACAATTTTTGTTCACTTTTTTTAATATTGCTCTTACACATCAAGCTCATTAGTGACTCATTTAATACACAGACAGTTAACATTTCTGTAAAAATGTTAAAGATACACTCTTTGCGAGCTCAACATTTCTAAGTAAACTACCAATCCAGTATACATCACCACAACCATGCACTTGCACACGACAAAACTTATAAAATATCAGCATTTTACCCCCACCCCTTTTTTTTTTCAAATAAATTCCATGATTTTCTCGGGCTTTTTAGATTGTCTCAACTAGAAAGTCCTATTTTTTAGTTGTTGAAATCACACATTCTATTGTTTCACATCAAGAGAAATATTCACACTAAACTACATTTTTATATTACATATAAATCTTTGTACAATTCTTATTAAAAGAGTGCAGTTCTAGTTATTTCTGACAACAAATGACCTTATAATAACCGATATTTTTTTGGTTAAATTCTAAGTTTCCATTCCTAAAAAAAAAGTTCGCTTCACATATTATTAAGTACATTTACATTTTGTACCGTCGAATAATTACTGTGTTTTTTTTGTTTATACAGATGTTGAAAATGTGCGAACAAATTTACAATAAGGAAAACTTTAACTAGGTTTTGAGAAAAAAAAATTAGCATCACGAAAAGTGCACATCACCTATGCCTCAATGACAGATGTTTTCTTACATTTCAACCTTTTCAAACACACACACACACATACACACCAACGTTTGTCACCACCGATCGTGGACGTCCTATTGTCCCTCTTTTGTTTGTGTTCTTGTTCGATGTCTCATTCAAAAAAGTTCCTATTGCATAATTGCTAGAAAAACTGCAATTTAAAAGCAAAATCTATTTTTCAGGGTGAAAGAAATATATAACTGTCTTTTACATTTTTCGTTCCAGCACAGAAACTCGCTAACCACAGAAAATCGCGTTTAGAGAATTTATTATAAAGCCTGGGACTGAATTTTGGCTCACTAATGTCGCTTACACCAACTTGCATTTATCAGCAATATTTTTGCTCTTTAAAAATGGCTCCGTGAAACCAAGCATGTGTGATGCGATCAAGCTAAATGAGTCATTTGTCGGGAACTATCATTTGGAGATTCAGACCAAAATAGGGCAACTTCATCACATCACTTCATCACATCTCTTGGTCTTCCGACTTCCATAATTTTTAAACTAAAGATGGTATCAGCAAGCAGTTTTCACAGCAATAATGCTGAGATTGTGCTCTTTTCAAAACTGTAAAAAAAAAAATTACCAGGGTCGAGAAACGACTCATTTAGCTTGATCGCATCACATTTTTTTTTTTAATCAAACGCCTGATCGTCGGACTTTTCCATCAGCCAAGGCCGGGTGCAGAAACTCAAAGCTTGAGCGAACGCGGCCGGCAAGATCGCAGAACTTTCCTGGCCTGTTCCGTCATGAAGATCTGATCGTCCGATTTACCGCACGCGACCTTCTCCCACGCTCTATCCAGCTGAAGTCGCACAAAAAAGAAATAACCGATTGTTACAAAAGTCAATTTTTGTCGCATTAATTAAATCTTAAATTTCATTCTCGCCATTATTGAGCAAAATGGGTTGGAAATGGCGGCTATTTTGAAATCAAAGATGGCCGCCACATGGTACAATAAAAAAAAGGTTACCATCGGAATTCTATGTCTGTAGGGTAAAATCTATCTGCCAAATCACCCAAGAAACAAATCACTCTCTAGCAAACAAAAAATGCAAATTTATGTTTCTTCCCATATTATTATAACAATGTTTTTAAAAAATTCTTTCAAATTGCACCATGTTTGTTACAAATAAAAATTGTTAACAAAAACTGTCAATTCAAAATGATAAATCAACCAAAGTCTGAACATCACGCTTTTATGGGCAAAGATTTTGTACAAAATGTATTCAATTTTCACTGTTTTTGTACCTTCTCTTAATTTTTCTTTGTACACACGCACTACAGTGGTCATCTTAAAAAAGCTCAAGTTTGAAATCAGTCAAGTACTTTTTTGTGAAAAAAAAAACTATCCACCGTGTTTTGTTGGCATCTTTTGAAATGCTTCACGGTTAAAAATGCTAGCCCGAAGACCAGACGTTTCCTACTCACCATGGTGGGCGGTTTGAACGGTGTCTCATGGGTGCCGTGCCTGGACTCTCTGTTGGCCAGGCTATCCGCGGTCTGGACCGGCGACATGGGCATCAAGAACGCGCTGTTGAAGGATCCCGTTGCCCCGGCAACTGAGCGCATGGGCGGGGACATCAGCAACGAATCCGAGAGAAGACTGTGACTTTGCTGTGAAAAAAAATGTCAAACAAATTTCGATTTAAATACTTTTGACTGGACTTGCGACTGGACTTGTGATTTACTTGTGACTGTTGCAAAAGAAGAACTTGCCCTCCAAAGGGGCATTTATTTTTTGTACATACCCACAAAATGAAATATAAATAAAATTGTACCATAAATTAATCAATCTGCACAATATTTTCCAGAATTTGCCACTTGGATAAAAACTTATGCACAGTATTATTTGCAACTTAGGCTTATCTTTTTTTCCCACAGTGTAATGAAATCCGACTAAGTCCTCAAACTGAGCGAGTGTTACTGGACTTGTGATTGACTTGTGATGGCCTTGTGATTTACCTATGATGGCCTCGTGATTGACTTGTGATTTACTCGTGATGGCCTTTTGATTTACTTATGATGGCCTCGTGATTGACTTGTGATTTACTCGTGATGGCCTCGTGATTGACTTGTGATTTACTCGTGGTGGCCTTGTGTTGGCCTCGTGATTGACTTATGATTTACTTGTGATGGCCTCATGATTTACTTGTGATGGCCTCGTTATTGACTTGTGATTTACTTGTGATGGCCTTGCGATTAACTTGTGATGGCCTCATGATTTACTTGTGTTGGCCTCGTGATTGACTTGTGATTCACTCGTGATCGACTTGTGATTTATTCGTGATGGCCTTGTGATTTACTTCTGATGGCCTCATGATTTACTTGTGATGGCCTCGTGATTGACCTGTGATTCACTCGTGATGGCTTTGTGATTTACTTGTGATGGCCTCGTGATTGACCTGTGATTCACTCGTGATGGCTTTGTGATTTACTTGTGATGGCCTCGTGATTGACTTGTGATTTACTTTTGATGGCCTCGTGATTGACTTGTGATTCACTCGTGATGGCTTTGTGATTTACTTGTGATGGCCTCGTGGTGGCCTTGTGTTGGCCTCGTGATTGACTTATGATTTACTTGTGATGGCCTCATGATTTACTTGTGATGGCCTCGTTATTGACTTGTGATTTACTTGTGATGGCCTTGCGATTAACTTGTGATGGCCTCATGATTTACTTGTGTTGGCCTCGTGATTGACTTGTGATTCACTCGTGATCGACTTGTGATTTATTCGTGATGGCCTTGTGATTTACTTCTGATGGCCTCATGATTTACTTGTGATGGCCTCGTGATTGACCTGTGATTCACTCGTGATGGCTTTGTGATTTACTTGTGATGGCCTCGTGATTGACCTGTGATTCACTCGTGATGGCTTTGTGATTTACTTGTGATGGCCTCGTGATTGACTTGTGATTTACTTTTGATGGCCTCGTGATTGACTTGTGATTCACTCGTGATGGCTTTGTGATTTACTTGTGATGGCCTCGTGATTGACTTGTGATTTACTTGTGATGGCCTTGTGATTTACTTATGATGGCCTCGTGATTGACTTGTGATTTACTTGTGATGGTCTTGTGATTTACTTGTCATTAATGGACTCTCACTTTTGGCTTGCTATTTGTTCCTCGCTTATGGGGGGGTTGGCATCATTTAATCTCTCAGAGAGTGAACCTTCGTGTCCACAAAATGATTTTTGATTTTCTAACTGAAAATTTGACCAAATAACTAAACACAATCTTAGCTGCCAAAGACAGCAAAGAGAAGCCCAGCAAGATTTGTACAGGTACCAGCCAAAGCCGGTAACCTGATTGGTCGGAGAGATTACTTTACCTCATCGTCGGCAAAGTGGCTGGAGCTCAGTTCAGTCTCAAACGCCAGCTGGTTGGTGAGGGACTTGCGAACTCGCTTGGCTGGCGACTCACTCTGTAAAAAAAAATAAGATAACGGCATTTTAATTTTTTTCCCTACAACTTAAAATATTTTACTTATCCTGGTGCCAGACACCGGCCTTAAATTCTCTTTGTACTTGACTCACTAAGGCCCCCCAAAAAAGTCTGCGGTTTCTGGTATGGAGCTTGCCCAAAAATTGGTGCGGCGACGCGGCTTTTTTTTTTTTTTTTTACCTGATTTTTTTGCTTCAAATGTCGGCTGATGACAGCAAATGGTGCCCGACTAAACTTAGTGCAAATGAATGGGAGTCCAGAGAGGCCACATAAAGCTTATTCTCGACCATAACCCAATCTAAAAACACGTTAAAATTGTGCAGCAGCAGAATTCCAGTCAAGCCAGTGAGTTTGGCGGTTTTGAGACATCATCTTTCATTGAAAAAAAAACTTTTTCATTTTGCCGACGCGCATGGCTACGGCGACGCGCGTGCATACCAGAAACCGGAGACTTTTTTTTTTTGGCCTAACTGTTACTTGTGAAGTAGACTTGTCTAAGCCTTACAGGCATGCCACAAGGAATCTGCTGATTTCCTTGTGTTTTTACTTCTCATGAATGCCATTACAAATTGAAAAAACACTGTTCAAAACCTTGTGTGGTTTAGAATTTCCTCGTTTTTTTCTAAATTCCCAGTTGCATGCCTGGCCTTGCCTTGCCCCCAAAAAGATATGATTGTTATTAGCTTCTCCCTGCCTGTCGCTCTCTGTACCGCCCAAAACAGCCCCAATATAGTTTTATTGATTCATCAGGAAGTAATACAACATAGTACAGCATCCCGACATTTGTTCTATAGTACAAGTGTTGAGCGCAGGACATGAGCGTTCACGAGCGCAGAGCTGATCGCGAGTGACAACAAACACGAGTCAACACCCACCAAAGAGACACGCACGGAGACTCGCTTTAGGGTGGATTCCGAACCGAAATCCTGCTTGATGATTTCCGTGATGTCTTGCAGTTGGCCCGGAGTGCACGGCTTTGAAAATAAAGAAGAAAGAAAACCACTAAATCTGGTTTTTCTTAACAGTAAAAAAATTGTGTCCACTTGACATCTTTATAAACCAACTCAAACGAAGGATAGAAAATGTAAAAAGGACACCTTCGATTATTTTGGACACTCGTAAAATTAAACTTGTGCAAAGAAACCAAAGTTTACCACAGGATTCCACACTTAAAATTGCCATACCGTGCTAACCGCGCTAGCAGAAAAATTCTGCGCTAACCCTGTAAGCACAGAATCTTATGTAACAGGATGTGTGCATACACGCATAAGCCAAAATTCCTCGCTTACCCATGAAATACGCTTACAATTAGCACAGAATTTTCTGTAGATGTTATTCGCAAACGGTAAACAGAGCCATGAAATTTGGCCATAATTTCGACAGAAAACACGGCCACTAGCATCATAAGTACGTAACTAGGCCACTAGCATTATAAGTACGTACCATGAATCTGTTTGTTCCACTTCTTTTCTCCAGTGCCTCCAGGGCATCTTTGAGGGGGGTCGGTGTTCTCGGGGTAGACTCCAGCAGGGAACCCTTGGCGTTGTTTGGGGTCCGGAAATATCTGAAAAACGAAATGGTAAAACCGATAAACACATCATTGTTCTGATTGAAGTCGACTTTCTTTGTAGCCGTTATGCTTGTCTGTTCCAAGTAAATAAGCCACACACAAAAAAAGCAAATAGAACATATTCATGTTGCGGCCATCTTGATTTTCTTCCATTCAAATCAACGTAGCTAAAGCTGAAAGGAAAAATAGTCTGCTTCCTTTTTGTACAAAAAAATTATCATTCAGTACTGTTATTGGATACAGGGAACATGACTGAAATGGTGGCAGCATAATAAAGGTCTATTAGAAAGAGAGAAAAAAGGCCACATCTTAGTATAAAATGTCACCAACAGGGTTGCTCCAAAAATATATATGACTAGACAAGAAAAAAATATTTTAATAAGTGCTTTTGCCAAAACAAATGAATAAAACAATTGCAGTTCTGATGCGATTCATTTTTGAAAAGGGTAAAAGTTTTATCATTGAACAACACAAAAGTTCACTAGTGAGAACAAATGGGCAAAACGGTAAATGGGGAAAATTACAGAAAAGATGAAAACTAGTTTGAGATGATCATTTTACTTGAAAAATTCCGTTATTAATTATAAACTTCGTGGAAAGCTAGTTGACCACCCTTTTGAGGCAGGTTGCGGCTATGACTTTGGGTCACTGCAGTCAACCCACTACTGTGACAATCCATAGCCACAAACAAAATGTAATTATGCTCTTTACGGCTATACCTGTTGACGGGCGTTCCCGTGGTGAACATCTTGGGTGTTGCATGATGGGATTTGATGACAGGCGTGGAGGTCATGACCTGTTGACTGACGCTGCTCTGATTCGGCTTGTCTAAATTCAAAAACTAAATACAAAAAAAAATTTAAATTAGGAAAGAAATTAGCAAAGGCCAAAAAGACAACAATATCTTTGACACACACACTATGGGCAAAATCAGAACAAAGTTAGTCGTGCGTATTTCGACTTTAGGTGCACGAACCAGTACACGCGCAAGCGGTGTGCCCCCCCCCCCCCCCCAACTGGAGCTGTTGAAAGTGGTGAAACAGCAAGATTGAAATGGTTAGTTATGTTCTCACCTAATAATTTTGGATTAAACTTGACAATTTTTAAGTAGGAGCCAAACGTGGTAAAAATGGTGCCATTACCACAATTGACTTGTTTATCCTTTATAAAATACCACACTGAAACATTCTTGAACTAAAAGTCAAAACAGACACTAACAATAGTCGCTCTCAGTGATTGGCGTGTCATCTACAAATATGACATAAAATGTTCCCCAACTTCATGAATGAACTGATATGGACCGACCTGCGAGGGCGAGAACGGGAGGCTCTTGATGGGCGTGCCCTTGGGCGTGGTCGCGATGCTGCCGTCTAGAATTCTCCTGGAGCGCTGTGGCAGATACGTCAAGGAAACTCAACGAAGTTGTTTCCGTTTTTGTTAGAAAGTACCTAACATTTTTTTAAGTTTCTCCACTAACTTAGAATGTACAGTCTGAACAAAATTTGACGAAGCATGTGCATAATGCCTTTACGATTTCGAAGAAAATCTAAATGGAAAATGGTCATTACTGCTTCTTCTGCAATCGATAAATGCAATAATCGAATGCATTGCTGACGACGCCTGACTCTCACTCGACTACGCTGTGGCTTTATGCACATTCAGAATGAAATAAGTTGTGAGTAAAAGTAAAGTCTGTCACGAGCCAATATGGCCCATCATGTCAGCGTTTATCTCCGGTTTCAGTAGCATTAAACGACTGAGAATATTTTTATTCCCCCTGGATGGGGTGCTAGTCGCTGGTTCCTCCCCAGCTAATGCCGGTACTCATTTATACTCCTGGGTGGAGAGAGGCAAGTGGGGTGAAGTGGCTTGCCCAAGGACGCAAGATATGGCCAGCAGCTGGATTCGAACCCCCGACCCTCTGATCATGAGTCACGAACCCTAACCACTTCGCCACACTCCCCCTAGTTGCGAGTACGTCGCGCTATACATTCGGATCCAGTATGCACACACAATGTGTCCTGTCCACTGACTCTCGAATGTGGTAAGAAACGCATCCTATCTTGTTCGCATGTGCAAGTGTCCTTTCTACAAGATGTTGTTGCTATGTGGCACAGCGCCCTCTCTTGTTAACGCACAGAGCCCACTGAGCACGCTGCAACGTATATTGTTAAAAAGGATACCAGTCGTGGTCGGCTCTTGCGGAGTATGGTCGGGGGCGTGCTGAACTTGGACGTGATGGGCGACGTGATGGGGATAAGGCCCCCGTAGCTGCCCTTGGACAGCTCGCTGATAGCTTGACTGTCAAAATGATAACCTGGGGGTAGGAACAGCAGACAGTGGTTATGCGCTCCGCGCACAAGTACCCCCTCAACGGTAAGAAACGGAGAGTTGGGGGAGACCACTGGGAGAGACACTCAAGCGCATTGCCGACGACGTCTGACGCTCACGCGGAGACGCTTGGCTTTGTGCACTTCATAATAAAATTAGCTGTGCGTACTTCCCGCTATAGGCACGGAGAACCAAGTGTTGGGAACCAGTACGTGCACGCAGTGTGTCCCGTCTACTGGGCTCACGAACATGGTCGAAAAGCGCCCTCTGTTGTTTACGCACAGGGCCTATAACTTAACAGAACTTTTGGGGAAACCTAAGAACCGTTTGTTGAACTATTTCCATTTGTGAATTTTTTCCATTTTCAGATCTACAAAGTATGTTTATATTGCTTTATTATATACAATATTCAATTCAAATTTGCTTATCTCTACGAATTTGATATTTTTGTTGTTGACAAAATAGACAACAATTTCTGAAATTCCAGATTTGTAAAGTACATGTAAGTGTTACTGAAATGAAGACGAACAAAATTGAACTGAAAATCTGGCCGGCATTAAATACTTGAAATGCGTTTCACTTTTCAAAATGTCACTAAATATGTGCCAGAAACATTGCTAGACTTGGACTTCTAAAAGGAAACCGACAAAAAAATCCACGACATCGGCCGTTCGCAAAATGCATGTCTTATTTCGAAGCAATACATGTACCTGTCGTTCCTTTGTGAGACATCCCTCTTCCTACGCCTGCCGGAGACTCGTTCTCCTGGTTGCTCAGCATCATCTCGAAATCGTTGAAGTCGTGCACCGACATGTCCAAGTCAAGCAGTTGCGCCGGGTCCGTGAAATCAGACATAGCCCTAGAGACGAATGTGATTGGAAGATGATGTCAAAAAAAAATATATTAGCTGCGAAATTCACTGGCGTTGACATGTGTTCAATTTCTGCAAATTTGCAGAGCAAAATCTTGACAGGGAATCACAAGTTCGCATTTGCGCCGAGTTCGAACTGGTCTTGATGTTTATCGCAACTCAAATTGTTAATTCAGAATATTCAGAGCACAACGATATTACTGTGTAACTTTTAAAATTTGAATAGTTGGGATGTGTAGTGTCATAAAATGTTGCCTAGTCAGGTCTATGCGTCCTTTGCAGTTATTAGGCAAATATTTCTGAATAATGGCGCACTACATCAATACAGCTAGGTCTATCTATGCTTAGAAAGCATTTTGTACAATGTCGCACTCACGCAGTTTTCTTTTCAATGGTGTCTTATCCAGTTTTTTTTACAAAGCAAATTTCTTTGATGCGTCGTCCATTCAAACGATCATTTCATAATCTCCAACTGTATGATTATAAACATGTTGGTTATATCGTGTGCTTGGATACTGTACTTTCATTGGTCTAGAACGGCCACGTGTCTGGACGATAAAAATGCACGTCGCACACTGACGTCCATTTTAACATGGAGATCAGTGATATCGCAATGCGTTCGTTGCGCACGTTCATGCGTGTGGAACCTGCCTGCGCGCTAGCTTCGCGCAATAAGACTGCAATGTCAAACGCTCAGTCTCATATCCGGCAGGACACCAAAACCTTCAGTTATGAAAGGTTGCATTATAGTGATTTAATTTATTGATTTAAATTTTTTTCCCCTTGTAATTAGATGATTTGAAACTATACCTCATTGGACTGAGAACTTCGTCGTCCCGGACGATCCAAAACATAGGACTGGCTTCTGTGCCGTAATCGGCCGAGCGGTGGTCCGGCGACGCCCACTGCTTGACCGACGGTTGCTGCTGATTGGCTAAACTGTTGCCGTGGGTCTGGTGGAGCGTGCGGACCAATCCCTGCCCAGGGGCCCGAGCCTTTGGTACATCTAGCAATCACCATGGTAACAGAGTATCAAATTTTATGCAGTTAGTAAAAAATGCAACAAGTTTGTAATTCAATTTAGATATAGTAAGTGATAAAAATATAGAGCCAATTAGCATGCTTTTTGACAGCCAACTCTTAACATGGTATTCTAACACTATTGCATTAAAGTGGCACATTGCCCTCAAATGGTCAGAATTTTTTTGTTCAGTATTATTTGCTTATCCTATTTCAAAGGTGCAATTGAAACAAAATTTAACTAAGACAAAAAAACTCAGACCAAAGCAAAACTAAGACAAAAAGAACCTGGTTGTTGCATCTGACGCGAAGATTTTAGTCTGGAAAGATGTAGTGAATAAGAAGTCAATGTTGTTCAACTTGAGCAAAGTAATCAAAGAAGTAATTCGGAGAAGAAAAAAAACTTACTTTGCAAAGAGCGCTGCTCCTCCATTGCCGTGGAGACTGAGTCTGGATAGATGTAGGTGATCTATAAACCACCGTGGAGAAGATAGCAAAAAAAATAAAGATAAAGTCCATCATTTGTAATTTGTGCATTTTGTTCGTTTGAAGCAACAAAAGTGTTCAAAATCTAAAGAAGGGTACTGAACAACTAACCTGATGAAGTTTCAGCTCAGCTTCAGCTGTATATTCCGAGAAAAACAACATTCTAGGATCTCAATTTCAAATCAAAAGTTGCAGAATCATGTTTTGAATTGGGCCTGAATTCAGCGTCCGAGACATGTTCTTACTGAGCCGATTGCAGCTACGCGATGTCGCGCACTGATCCGAGGAATTATAGCAACCGCCCGCGCGTGTGCGTCGTGCCAATGCTTGCGCGCGCTTCGCCAAATAACAAAACGAACTACTAATTTAAATTTCCTACGGTGCGTCTTAAGAAGCACCGTTGGAAAGGCCTTCTTTCGTTGATTACTTCAAACAGACAGCTTGCCAGAAAGAATAATTTTACAGGGAGTTTAGTCCCCTTACTATCTTTCAACCAAGTATGTTTTTCAACAATAATTACGCCAGTTACTTTTTGGATAGCTGCAAATGATGGACTATAGCTTTAACAAAGTTGTCGACAAATGCAAAGGTTTGTACGAGTGCTTTTGACAGAATTGAAGTTGATGGCCAAATGAAACTAAGTGCTGACCACTTATTAAAACAAGCTCCATCAGATCTCGGAAACTGCAGGCCAATAAATTCATGTTAATGCACGGGTCACGTGATTGTAACATTAACTTTCTCAAAGTAATGTTTTGAGTAAGAAAACAGGCTTGGCTACTGATACTTTTTACAAACTTTGGTTGCAATCGGTCAAAAGACGTAGGAGTAATAGACAATGTCCACGTTTGTTACTAACTAAAAAACTAACGGACTAACAGAGAGACATTATGATTTGTTGTGCTGCTACCGACGCTAAAAAGCTTCATTTTGAACCAAAAATGACATACCTCTGAAATACTGCAGCAACAGCCAGTGAAACAGCTTTGTTAAACAACGAAACAATTTACAACCACAAAATACTTACAAGTATTTCTTACACAAAAATTAAATTCTTGCAAACCATCAAAAAATAAAACTACCAAATCATTTTGAAATACCTTGCTGGACTGTTAGTGAAAGACAGTGTAAAGCATCCTGTAAAATCATGGCACCTGGTATACTGTCTTTTGCAAGAAAAGTGGTATTTTTGTATCAATTTCCAACGCTGGTCGGCCAACCAGCGTTGGAAAAAACTGGCTTTTTTTCAAATACTGGCCCCAGTTGACCATCGCACTTGTTTGCAATCGATTACACACCTATGAACGGGTACAAGCCAGCTAGACTGGTTCCCTGACCTTACAATTCCCCAATGTATGTAAACTGCTCTGTTTCTTCTTATATGGAGTCAGGGAACCAGACTACAGGAAAATGATTGTTTTTCTCGGTTTTCATAGCATTTTCGAACCCAAAACCTCAAAAACGTCAGTGTAACTATATTTGCTATATATTTCCAAACCCCCAATTCCATCCACTTCTGAAAATTACAGCAAAAGCAAATGATGTATATTCCCTTTAATATTTGGGATCTGTTTCAAGAGATTCCAAACCAAGTCATGTGTGAAGTTTTGGGGTGATGACTGAGTCAAATTTCGGTCGACAGTAAGGAATCAAATCAACATGGTATTGTACCTGGTTGTTAAGAGGAATCTGTTTGATCGGAGTGTAAGGATTCTGCGTCTCCACTTTGCGTTTCATCGTCGAGTTCCAGTGGTTCTTGATGGCATTGTCCGTTCTAGAAATGAGGGAAACAATGCAATAACAGTAATGAGTTCAAATCTTTGATGAAGATAAACCCCAACTCCCTAATAGCATGATTTACTAGGAACCATACCCATCCTGGCAAATTCCAACACCATATGGGAAACTGCACACACATATTTCTGACTTTGATTCTGGAGGTGTGCCAACCCAATGTAAAAGACTGTCAGTTTAGGGGTACTGTACCCATCCTGACAGATTCCAACAAAACCATGGCGTGGGGTGTGATGGGTTGAGTTCTGTTGGGGTTAATTAAGGATTTCTCAGGCAGAGTTATGTACACTTCATTGTTATATCACATCTCGGATTATTAGATAGTGTAATTATAAAGGGGAGTCAGGTTGGCGTAGCAGTACTTTCCTCGCCTTCCACCGCTGTGACCCGGGTTCGAATCCCGCCTGGGCCAATATGTGGATTGGGTTTTCAGTCCCTGCCTGATTCCGTGGGTTTTTCCCTGAATATTCTTCTGGGCTTTTCCTCCCACCTCTAAAACTGTAACTTCTTCTCATTGTCTTCTCTCCACAGGTTTCTTCAGGCTTGCGAGCTACAGTGCCTAGGGCGCTTTTGAGGAATCCTTGGTTTCATTACGAGAAATGATTAATAATAATAATAATAATAATTTCATCGTTCTGAAACAGTCGTGTCACGCTTACAAAAACATAAATGTGACAGGATTTAAGTCACTCAAATGCGTGAGGGTATGTACTATGTAGGGTACCCAGTGGGTCAGATGTGTAGGGCGCGCTTTGCAAGTCCGCAACATGGTATTTCATGTCTGGCGGGAAATCTCACAGGTTACACTTGGACAATGCGTAATCACGTTCCGATTACTTGAGTCGTCAACTTTTACCTTCCGGGAAGCTGTTTGGCAATCTCGGCCCAGCGGTTGCCGAGGCGTTTGTGGGCGTCGTAGATGATGCGGTCCTCGTCTTGCGTCCAGGCGCTCTTCTTGATGTCCGGGTTCAGATGGTTGTGCCATCTGCGAAAAAAAAAGGACAGACAAAAACAAACAATGAGTCGGACCAACAAACCAGAGTCATTGAAACACTGCTTGTGAAGTAGTGCTGTGCTTTTTCGAACAATTGTGACCTGTTCTGTCAAAATCAGACTTTTCTGGGCATAAGGTCAAAATGAGATTTTTGCATATTGTTAAAATATGTTCTTTTTCCTTTTAATAGGTGGTTTAATTTTTGAAACCGGTCATTCCTGGACAGAGTTATGCTATTTTGAAGTTCATTGTGTCGAAAAGTAGAAACCGGAGAAAATGGCCACGAACATCACAAAACATTAACTTCTTTAACTGTTATATTTTAACAAATCATCAGAAATACTATATTGAGAGTTCAAATTAGGGTTTCAAACTTTTATAGTATATTTTACACATGTTTAGGATTACAAACATGCAAAAATTTGAAAATCGAAAAAAAATAGGGCCAATTTTTTTTTTGGCCATATCTCAATTTCAACCTCTGCCCAGAAGCATCTGCTTTTGACAGAACAGGTCACAATTTAGTATCTGGTTATTGGAACTTGGATTTGATCGAATATTTGAATATTCAAACATTGAGGTAAAAACTTTGTATGAATATTGTGTGTGCATCAATTTTCAGCCCAGCGCTACAGTTAAAGTCTCGTTTTCCTGTTCAATAAAATACAAAACCAAAAGAAAACAGAGACTCAGGTCTAGTAACCAACCTCTCTCGGCACTGTTTACCAGTTCTGCCAGTCAGAAACTTGGAGATGAGAGACCAGCGTTTGGGACCGTACTGTCTGACCAGCTGAGTAACTCGATCATCCTCCTGTATAAAAAAAATGATTCTAACAATTATCATCATTTTCTAAGTTCAACAGAGTCATATAAATAAACCTGTAATTGGGCTCTTAAAATTGTCTCCCAAAGCTATGTTTGAGTATCACAATGAATGATTCTTTATTTTTCAATCTCTATCTTCCTAGCAACATAAAAGTAACTCACTTCGAATGAGACATCAAATGAACATAAACCATCCCGTTTAACAGGCATGCAACTGAAAATTTAGGGGAAAAAACAAGGAAATTCCAAACCACACAAGACTTTGTACAGTGTTTTCCAATTAGTAATAGAATTCAAGAGAAGTACAAAACTACAAAATCAGCCGATCCGAGGAAAAATTGCATGCCTGGTTTAATTATGGAGTTGTTTCTTAACGCATTTCGATTTATTTACAGCCTGACAATAGCTCTGGTGATCTTTTTTGTATGTAAAGACGCAAACAAAACCTTTAGCAATCTCTCAAATAGAAAAAAGGAATGTTTATTGAATGTGTACTGTCTGTGCCATTTTTCAGTTCTCCTATTTTTTGAAGCAATATAAAAGCTATTCACCTTTTGGAAAAAAATTCAAACAAAAGTAAGAAAAGGGCAGGGTCCATTCGAAAGTAGTCACAAGACTTTACAAGTCAGTCACAAGCATCACAAGTCATCACAAGTCAGTCACAAGTCATCACAAGTCCAGTCACAAGTCAGTCACAAGTCATCACAAGTCCAGTCACAAGTCATCACAAGTCATCACAAGCCCAGTCACAAGCCCAGTCACAAGTCCAGTTACAAGTCCAGTCACAAGTCCAGTCACAAGTCCATCACAAGTCTAGTCACAAGTACAGTCACAAGTAGTCACAAGACTTAACAAGCTCATCACAAGTACATCACATGTCCAGTCACAAGTAACAGTGGATGAACAATAACAAAGTAATGCCTTTGTCAAAGCTCATTGGAATAGCTTGTGAGTTGAATCTAGACTGGAGGACTTGTGATGGACTTGTGATGGACTTGTGATGGACTTGTGATGGACTTGTGATGGACTTGTGCTGGACTTGTGTTGGACTTGTGCTGGACTTGTGATGGACTTGTGATGGACTTGTGATGGACTTGTGATGGACTTGTGCTGGACTTGTGATGGCCTTGTGTTGGACTTGTGATGGCCTTGTGTTGGACTTGTGATGGACTTGAGATGGACTTGTGATGGCCTTGTGATGGACTTGTATGGACTTGTGATGGACTTGTGATGGACTTGCAGGGACTTGTGATGTTCTCGACTAGGGTAGGCTTTACCTCTTTAGTCCAGGGTCCTTTCACGAGTTCGGGGTTCAGGGCCTTCTGCCAGCGATGATAGCACTGCATCTCCGACCGATCCGGGAAGAAGCTCGCAATGTGCTTCCAGTCCTCCGAACCGTAGTTCTCTACGAGCCGACGGAGTGTGTCATCCTAAAACCACACAAATCAACACTCACTGGTTTGGGTTTTAACCTTTTATACCCTGTTTGTAATTTTGTTTTAATGCTGATAATTATCCTCGCCTTCGACTTGACTCCAACCCGTCTTATGTACAGTGTTTAAAACTGGCACACATTTATTCCCTTATTGATGTGAGCCCTGTTCCGTTATGCTTTGACTTTTAAGTTACAAATTGGAGTACCCTTCAACACTTTTATTAGAATATGTACTAAGATATGTAAAGTCTGGAAGGAAAGAATTCCATACCTGGACATCACTTGACTCCCTGAGCACTAGCCCCATAAATGTGGCCTATTTACTGGACTGCCTCCGTAAACATAGGCCACACATCCACATGTACAAAAACGTGTCACACTTTGTCAAATTTTGATTTTCACATTTAGGCTTAGTTTGTAGGTTTTTTTGCTTTAGAAGCATACTCACCCTCTTTATAGGCTAATCAGAAAGTGCTGCCTTTTTCAGATGTCTATTTTTCGTGAAATTTCCAGATTTATTTGCACACGTTTGCGTATCAAAATTTCAACATGAAATTTCACAAAAATTAGACATCTGAAAAAGGCAGCACTTTCTGATTAGCCTATAAAGAGGGTGAGTATGCTTCTAAAGCAAAAAACCTACAAACTAAGCCTAAATGTGAAAATCAAAATTTGGCAAAGTGCGACACGTTTTTGTACATGTGGATGTGTGGCCTATGTTTACGGAGGTAGTCCAGTAAATAAGCCACATTTATGGGGCTACCTGAGCACAAACCCTATGCGACTGGTCTGAAAAATCCCAAGTGTTTTCTCAGTAAATGGTTCAATATTGTCCCAGCTAAATTTGAAGTTTAAGGACTTGCTTCTAATGGCTGATACATGTAGGTCATTGCAGGGAAAAATTAGTGATGTCCATTCATAGAATTCTCTCCAATTGGAAATTCAAGTTCTTTAATTTGCAATGACTAACTATCACACATGTAACATGGTGCAAAACTGGCATCGGGGTTAAGCATTTTTCCAAATGCCTAAAGTATTATTTTTTATTTTTTATGATTTTTTTTTCTCTCGTTGGATCAACCGACCTCATCTTTGGTCCAGCGCGCTCTGTTGATGTATTTCTTGTTGGGGTCGCTCGCCGAGCTGCTGTCGTAATCCTGATCGGTAGTGACATCATTGTCGCTAGAGTCACTATCGTAACTGCTAATGTATAAATGAATGGGGAAGAATAAATACATCACATCAAAATCTAAAGTCGGAAAGTGTTTACATTAGAATAAAGTTTCTAGATTTGCATCCCCTGCCCGCATCCCCTTGAAGCTAACTCCCTATTTATGAGAAAAACTACTAATTTCACAAAAAGATTCCTTATCACGCAAGTTTAAGCAATTTCAAAACCAGTTAAAAATTTCAATGTTTATGGAATAGGCCTACATTGAAATTAACCAATTGAAGACTATTTTCGTCAATCCAAACTGAGTTGAAATGTAGGACAAAAGACATCTGACATGTCTGAAACCTTACTTGATCATGAAGAAAGAATCAAAACAAAACAAAACATTTACATAATCACGATTAATGAACAGTGTCTCATGTCAGTCATGTCAGTAGGCCTATGAAAATTTACCTATGTAAATGTAATGAAAAAAGCTTCATTATGTTCATGCCTTTGGTTGCCATGTTTGCCAAAATTGTTCATGTTTTATGCAAATATGAAATAAATCTTAAATCATTCAATTCAATTCATACATGTCATTGTCATAGAAAAAAAAATTACAATGTTCAAAATTGTACAAAATACAAGAAAAAGTGGGAGGTCACAAAGAAATGAAGGGTCAACAAGGATTTGCAGTATTGAATGATTTGATCGATCATGATGCAGTTTGTGGTTTGATGACGTGTGTAGACCTTGATTTAGCAACGCCATTGTCGCCAACGCGATGTGCACGAACAAAAGCACAGCCGACTGAAAGGGCGGCCCAAGAAAAAACACTCAGAAATTATCACAAACCTGTAACATTTGCCAGAATACATGACTCGATCTCTTCCTGGTAATCCTGGGCATCAGATCCAACCAATCTGGAATCCCCGATCCCAAATATTTCGGAAGAATTTCGCCCCTCAGGAATGCTATGACCTGTACTCTACGCGGAAGTCTTTATTGAAATCGCGCGCGCCGAATAATGAGATGCATGGCCCTGGAATGTGATTGGACAATCCCTCGTCTGGATGACGTAAGGCACAGGTGCGTGTGTCCTAAAAATAGAATGGAATTCGGCTGTCAGTGATAGCGCCCTCACTCGGCTCTGTGCACTCACTCTCTCTGTACTGTAAAACTAAAGCCCCATTGAAAACAGTGTAAAATCAACAGAGTTCAGGGCTAAATAACATGCAAGCCGACATCACTGGGGTTTCTCAAACAAAATATAATTACTGTCTTGTCCTTCATCTTTCCATTTCCTTTCAATTTTTGGTGGGTTAACCAATTACATTTTTAAATATTCACATCAAAACAAACTCGCCCGAGCTCCTAAAAAGTGTACTTCTCAAGAAGCCTGAATGCTGCAGCCTAGCCTAGCCCCGGCCATTTTATAACTATTAATGGCATCCCTCCACTTTCTCAGGCAAATAGGACTCATTTGCGACCGTAATTTTGTCAAGCCTGCCCTCAGATATAGAAGCCCCCAAACCAAAGAATTGATCCTCAGCTATATGTTTACACAAAGCCAAACGGTCTCATATCCTTTATTTAAAAAAAAAAGGTGGTTGTTGTTGGGGGGGGGGGGCACTTTTCATGCGCTAACGGGCTTCTGTAGAAATTCTCACTTCAATTAGTATTGTGCACCCCTAGGAAAGATAAAATAAGTCCGCACTGGGTGGAAAGTATAACATTTTTTGTGAAAAAGGGGGAAACTTGAGAAATGACATATATTACCACACTTTTTTTGGGAGGGGAGCGGGGCTGGGGTGGTCCAAAGTGAATATTTTATCCAGTTCATCACAATTTATTAAAAAAATACCTCGCAGTGTTTCAAATTGATTTTGAAAGCCGCAATTTGTGTTTTAAATGACCCCAATTATTATTAACCCCCTCCCTGGTTTTTCGCAGACCCCGCCCCCTCTCAAACAAAAAAGTACCCTGTAAAGGTCCGTGACAGCGCCACCAAGCGGTAGAACTCCTTTCAACTATGATCGCCTGGCTTGTTTTTGACTTTTTTTTAAAGTGAAAACAAAATATTTATTTACATCCAAAGTTGCCGTGATTTGTTTAAGAGATTTGATTTTTCCATTCTCTTCTCTCTAAAACACCAATTAGATGTTCCAAATCCATCTATAAAAGCGGCCATAAGCATCATTAATTAATCGTCGGACCATAAAAGGGGGAGGCACCTGTTAATGAGCCAAGCCCAATCAGGCGTTTGTACGCGCCCAATTTACCTGCCCGTTTGTACACAGTGACATTGTGTCTTGCGGTTGATTGGGCTACTAATTTTTCGTGTGCGCTTTTGACGTGCTTACTCATTTTTTCGAACAAGCCACACGATTTTTTGAGCGATTAGTCACGTCAAAAGTATGCAGGATTTTGAGAGAAGAGGTCTCCTTTTATAACTGAAGCGTGGTCTGCAACGTTGTGCCCAAAACAAAAGGTGAGAAAATCTTTCTTTGCTTATTTTATTTGGAGAAGAAGGGTAGTGACCATTTCAGAATTTCCCGCGTTGTGTTGTGTCCGCGGTGTTTTACTGTCGACGATGTTCACCAAAAAAAGACACCATGTTCACCATGCATGAACGTGTTCACTGTTTTTCGATTGTCAGGATTGTCAATGATTGTATACAATTGGGATGCTTGGCATAACTGAATGCATGTTTTGTTTGTTTGTTTGTTTTTTCACGTGCTCACATTTAAACTTTTAAACTAACTGTAATTTACAACCTGACAACGGAATATATTGATTTTTCAAGGAACAATTTCTGTTACCTTCTTTGACATATTTGAAAGAAGGCAACCCCAACGAAAATTGTTCCCAAGTTGAAAATCAATAGGAAAAAAACACAAAAATTTGAAGAAAGAATCTTTCTTCAATCGCGATTCTTTTTTGTATCATTTTGTGGTATTAAGCATAACGACGCCACTTTTTTGTTTTGTCTGGCAGCCAATAATTCAAATTTTATAACTAAATGTCGGGGGTTTATTAAAATTGAATTTGTTAATTGCTAGGAAAATATAGCAATTCCCCCCCCCCCCAAAAAAAAATTCAATTTTTCGGGGTGGAACTGGAAGTGGAAACTATATATTTACATACCGATAGCACAGGAATTGCATTTTAATTTATTCAATACATAATGATTTTTTTTTGGTAGTGGATATTTTGCCGGAGGTAATGACGGCAAACTAACAACGATTACTAAAGGTTTGCCGGCGGCAATCCATATCAACAGAGGGCGCTGTACTCTTCAATATAGGGTTGAATTATAATATGTATTAAATTCCCACCAAAAGTTGTGTAGCACGTTTGGTGTAGTGGTTAAGCAAAGGCTTTAGAGAGCGGGATGACTCAGGTTCGAGTCCGGATCCCCTCCATGCTCCACATTTTTAAGTGTTTTTTTCTCATCCCCAAATAAATAAGAATATTCTTCTTTTATTATTTTAACATGTCTCAAACATTTTTTGCAGAGTATTACATTTTCTTTTTCAAATTTGTGGCTCTGGAGGATTTTTTTTAAAAGGGAAATAAAGTCCGAAATTATAAAATGGTCTGAATCCCATCTTGTGAATACGAGGTAACAACGATAATTTTGGCATGGAGCCAGACTAAAACTTGTCACCGGAGAATTTTTAAGTACAAAAAAACAGTAACTGCGCATGTTCAGTGCATATCCGGCAAACTAACGTTTACTAAAGGTTTGCCGTCTCCGGCAAAATATCCACTGCCTCTTTATTTTATAATGTCAGAAAGAACCCGAATCTACCATTAATGAAAACTCCAACAAATAAACAAATTTGCTTTTAGTGATTGGCAATGCAAAAAAAAAAAAAAAATGCTGTTCATTTTATGCCTCAATCCATCAGATACAGGTAGATGTAAACTTAAAAAAAAAACCTGCCATGAGATTTTCATTGAATACTAGTAGTACATGTAGGCCAAGTACAGTACATAAAGTATATGTCACGTGTACAGTTTGTCAGTGTGATACAAATGTATACGTACATGTATAGTACAATGGTTTCTAATGGCACTCCCAAATCAGTGTGTAAAATGAAACACAAAAATCTAAATACAAATTGTAATAGTTCATTGTGAAACAGTGTATGCTCATACTTTGGCTGCGCACATCCCTTTTGATAGGGCCTACTTACCACGAAATGCCAGAGGAAAGAGCATTTCCGATGTGGGCGTACCGGTGCGTCCTGTCATGCCTGTTGTTTCCTCTTTCATTTGCCCATCATATAGTCTCCCTCCCTCTGGCTGGCAAATTCAGCTACATCATCAAAGCAGTCAGACTCAATCAAGTGACTGTTTTTAACAGTTGAAAAATTCCCTTGTCAATTTTCTGTGCTTTGACTGGAGATGAGTGTTATGCCAGCTGTAGGTCTACCAGAACTTTACCTCTTTTGTCTGTTGATGGAATTTGACAAAATTCACAGTGTTTACACAAATGTGATAGAACTGGTTTTTTGACTAGTCTGTTTACAAATTATGCATGACAGAGGAAGTGGAGGACATTTTTTCACTGTCTGTGACTGATCAAACAATAAGAGGATTGTTGAAATTTGAAAGGACCATAAGGCATCAGTAATGTCAGTGCTTTGAGGCTTGTTCAAAATTGGTCCTGAATATTATCTAAATGTAACACTGTACACGCATACAGTGAGTTAAAGGGAATGTACATTTGCTTTTGCTGCAATTTTCAGAAATAAATGGATTAAGAGGATTAGTATGTTACAGCCAATATTGTTAAAATGACTTGTTTCACGTTTTGGGCTTGTTGTAGATGCTAAAAAAACTAAGAAAACCAATCATGATCTTGTAGTCTAGTTCCCTGACCCCACTTAAGATGAAACAGAGCAATTTATAGACTTTGGGGAATTGTAAGTCAGAGAATCAGTCTAGCAGGCTTGTAACTCTTCACAATTGCAAAGAAAACGCGGAATAACTAATTATGAAAAACTAGGAGCACTTTTTGAAAAAAAGCCAGTTTTCTCCAACGCTGGTCGGCCGACCAGCGTTGGAAAAATACAATTTTTCTTGAAAATGAGAGCACACCAGGAGCCACGATTTTACAGGATGCTTGAGACTGTCATTCCCTAGCAATCCAGTAAGGTATTTCGTGATAATTTGATTATTTCGTTTTGAGATGTTTGCAAATGTTGTATCTTCCCTTTAAGAGAAAAACAGGTCACTTCACAGTGTGTTTAACAAGTCCTTGGATGATGCAGGGAGAAATGTCTTTGTATAGCAAACAACCTTGCATGACTCACACTAATGTACACGCATAGGGTGTCATTCATGTTGGCTGGCCTTGTCTGGCAACTTGGGAATCTGTTTGTTATTTATTTATGAATGAAGGACTACACTGCTGCATATGTCTGTGGTGAAGAGGTTATTGAAATCTGTGATAAGTACGCCCTCAGTGGTGGGAATGCTGCTGTTGAAGGACGCTTGAGAATTGTACCTTGCGCCTTCCGGTATACATACATACCTGTCAGTGGCAGGAGAATGTTTCTGAAAGTGAATGGGTGCATGAAGTCCATACGTCTTTGTAGTGGGGTATCCAAAGGGGGCGGGGAAGGGGGGTTGGAGACTGAGACTATGAGAGAGGGAAGTAGGGGAAGATTTTCAGAAAGTTGTGTTGAAACGTTTCTGAAAGTGAATTCATGTACCGGTATCCCGGTAGTGGGTTTTCAAAAAGTGGGCGAGCATTCAAGGGCAACGGAAAAAGTTTCAGAATTTTTTTGGGGGGGGGGGGCAAGTGGCACCCTTCTCCTTCCTTCCACCACCTGTGTCTCTGGTATATTTTTCTTTTCAGGGACACTACTGTACTTTACTATACTTATGATACTTTTGGCAAAAGCTTGCCTTGCCTTTAGTGAGAAAACAAAGATTTTGAGACCGCAAATAATGCACACACCTGCACTAGAACTTAGAAGATACAAGCTGCGATACCATGTTAAAATGCATAATATACAAATGTTGAG